CTCCTCCTAAACCGTTGCCACATAGATATAAACCCCATTGAAAATCTATGGGAATACTTAGATAAGCAAATACGAGATAAAAATTATTCATACAAGGATAAACTTTTTGCCGCTTTAGAGCAAAAGTGGAGATAGATTGATGAATCTTATATCAAGAAACTTCTACAATCTATGCCGAGACGATGCCAGGCGATGATTGATAATAATGGTTATGCTACAAAATATTAACACAAACATGATTGGTTTTCTATAATTCAATGAAATTTGCTTCTTTTTTCTATAATTGTTTTGCTTTGTCTATATATTTTTGTCCTTCACAGTTCCAGTTTTTTTTCAATAATTTTTTATTGAAGGAAGTCTAATGAATTTATTTATTTATAAGTGAGTATTATGCTATAACGAATTATGTATACAGGTTGGTGTTTTAATAAAACAAGTTAAAAAAGAAATACAGCACAATATTAATTTGTCTATATAGTTTTGTCCATCACTGTATGTAAACCACGTAGTTTACCGAACAGAAAATAGTCACACGGTGCCATATCAGGAGAATATGGGGAGTGGTTGATGGTTAAAATACCATTTTTTTGTCAAAAAATCGGACACAAGTGTCGATCGATAAGATGTGAGAGAGAGGTGCATTATCGTGCAACAAGCGCCAGCTTTCTTCTTCGCGATATTCTGGCCGAATACGACGAATACGCAACAGCAAACGCATAACATCAAGATAAAACTCAGCATTGACCGTTTGGCCCAGTGGAATGAATTCTTTGTGAATCATAGAAACAAAATATTGTCTTCACTTGGGACTTTTCAAACGACTTTTTTTTCGGATTTGGCTCGCTTGGGTGTTTCCATTCGGCACTTTGACGCTTGGTTTCGTGATCGTATTGGAAACACCATGTTTCGTCACCAGTCACAATGTTGTTCAGAAAGTTTTAGTCTTTTTTGGCCTCTTTAATGATGTCTCTCGAAAGTTGAATTCAAAGCAGTTTCTGGTCATCCGTGAGCTTGTGCGGCACAAACCGTGAACACACCTTTCTCATGCCCAAATTCTTGGTCAAAATGCGATGGATTGAATCTTTAGAGATACGAGATACGAGAGATACGTATTTAGTTCCATTTCTATGTATCTCAATGAAGATTTTTGGATAATTTTTGATAAATTCACGCACTTTTTTGACGGTTTCTGGCGAAATGACAAATTTTGGCTGGCCAACAAGTTCGTCGTCTTCCAGCGAATCAAGACCCTCTTTGAACCGTATGAACCACACGTGGACTCGGCTACGAGATAAACAATCATCACCATACACTTATACTTTATCTGAAGTCACTTGAAACACTGTGAAATACCGGGTGCGTTTTATATATCTATATTTAACACGCTCTGTTGCTGAAAAAATCGCCAAATTTCGCAGCAAATATCCCCCGTATAAGATCAAAGGCAGTTTCACCGGTCCACGTGGAGTAAAGCACGCCTATGCGTGGACATAGCCAATGAGAAAGCGTGTATTTCAGAGCTCTGAACAAGTGCAGGTGGCTACTGAAAATTGAAACAGTTTAGCCAGTGCCGTGTAGCGGTGAATAAACGTGTTTTCTTTAGTCTGTCCGTGTTTTTTCATAGATTTTATTAGTTTGTGTGTTTTTGACTTTTGAATACTCAGTTTACTTGTTGATTTAATTGTTGTGTTGATTGTTCTTGTGTGTCCTAAATATGGCTCTTTGGAGACCTTGGGAAAATGCTCCAAGCCACGAGGAGATGGTTGATGAACCTGTGCAGGCAGAATTCTTTCATAAAGATTTAGAGGAACAGACCCAAAGAGTAATCCTAAATATGTATGATTGTCTGAAAAACGAAAATCCAGATTCCTCGCAAAATCAAATTTTAAACAGAATTTGTATCCTGACAAAAATCAGTCGGTCTACCATTTATCGGGTTATAAAAAGGGGAGATGTAGTCAACCATTCCTTCCACAGAAAGCGCATAGGGCAAAAATTAAAAAGAATAGACGTGGGTTTTCAGGAAGATATTCGTCGTATAATATACGGATTTTATAAAGAAAATTTGGTGCCCACGTTGGAAATGATACGGGATAAATTAAAAGATTATCCTGAAGATTTTTATAATTACAAATGCTTAGACTCACTGCACTGTATCGTAAAACTGTGTGATTTTCAATACAAAAAATTAGATAAAAGAATGGTGATTATGGAGTCGTCTCGAATCATTGAATTGCGCCAAGAATTTTTGCACAAAGTTAAAATCTATAGAGAGCAGAAAAGAAATCTGATTTACCTGGATGAAACGTGGTATGATACCCATGATGTTGTGCAGTACGGCTGGGTTGACGACAGCAACAAGTGCATTTTAAATGCACCATGCAACCGTGGAAAACGAATCATTATTCTCCATGCTGGCAGTGAAAATGGATTTATACCTAATGCCTTGCTGTTATCTGCCAAAAATATGAAAGAATCATGTGCCGACTATCATGAGGACATGACCTCCGACTTATTTGAAAAGTGGATAGAGCAGCAGTTAATACCAAACATTTCCCCAAATTCAGTGATTATTATGGACAATGCGCCATACCACTCCCGACAGAAAAACAAAATTCCGAATACAGGCACAAAAAAACAAGACATTATTGATTTTATGAAGGATAAGGGAATGGAAATACCACAAAAATCAACCAAAGCCATATTATTGGATCTTATTAAAAGACAAAAATTTGAAAAAGAGTATGTTGTTGACAATCTGCTTCAGCAAAATGGCCATGAAGTATTACGTCTACCTCCCTATTACTGCATTTTTAACCCGATTGAGTTGGTCTGGGCTGCTTTAAAAAAAAGAGTAGGAAAACATAATCAGACCCCTCAATTAAGTGAATCGCTATTGGCCACAATAAGAGGTGCAGTATCTCATATTGCTGCCACAGACCTATGGAAGCAGTGTTCTAGGCATATTATTGAAAAAGAAAATGAATATTTTGTTTTGCCTCCTGTAAATCCCGTTGTAATTCCTCTACAAGATGACTCTAGCGACAGCTCCGAAGGCGAGGATGATATATAAATACCTATAATGTAAGTCTTTATATACCTTTTTATATACCTACCTGCTATGTAAATATTTGCCTATGTCAAACGTTGGAATTCTGTAATTTTTCCATTTCTTAACTTTCAGTCAACATAAATTAAACTCCCAATATAAGTATTTTTTAACCCAAATCAAAAAAATAAGAAGATAGTAAAATCAATTTATTGTGATATAAAAACATTATTATCGTTCTAAATAAATAACCGCACGCCTATGATACGTCATGAAATTACAAAGGACGCGCCGACCAAAGGTTTTTATGCTATTTCAAGTGACTTCAGATAAACCATACATCAACATCTGATATATACTAAGTGACATATAAATCCGAACACCCAGTTTAAATGGTTTTATTTTAATAAAATTTTGTATAAGTACTTAATGAAACATAATAAGTAAATGATAAAAATTTCAAAATGATTGCACTGCTTTAAAGCCCTTTGACCTTTAATAATGTGTGGATGCACCCTGATGTGCTACGCATTCTCCAACACGCCTAGGCATGCTTCTGATCAGGTAGTCAATGTCCTCCTGTGGTATCTCATTCCAGGCAACCACCAACTCCTCTCGAAGTGCTTCTAGAGTCTGAGGAAGACGTTGCAAATTGAGCAATCTCCTACCCATCATATCCCACACGTGCTCAATTGGGGATAAGTCGGGAGATCTTGGTGGCCATGGTAACCATGTGACATCATTATGTTGAAAGAAGTCTATTGTGACTCTTGCAACATGTTGTCGGGCATTATGTTGTTGGAAAGTTGGATCTGCCAGGGTGTCAAGATAGGGTAAAAGATGGGGTTCTAGAACTTCGTGGATATAACGCTGCGCGTTCATGTTACCTCTGATGAAGATTAAAGGTAACCTGGAACCATAAGCTATAGCACCCCAAACCATAACTCCTTTCACCACGTCGCCTTCTAACCCTGGCACGACCATCGTGCATGCCTAAACAAAATCGAGACTCGTCACTAAAGACAATACTGTTCCATTCCTGATCCCAGAGTGACCGTTGTCTGCACCACTCAAGGCGATTACATCGGTGTTCTCGAGTTAAAGGGAGGACCCAGTGTGGCCGGTATGAAAACAAGCCAAAACTTCTCATTCGTCGGTAAACACTTCGCATGCCAATAGGTCTTCCGTGTTCTGCAAACCATTCATTTGCAATGGACCTGGTAGTGGAGAAACGGTCCCTTAAGGCCAATAATCTTAGGCGGCGATCTTCACGGTCTGTTGTTCTACGGCGGCGTCCAGTGCCCCTTGCTCTTTGCGTACGGCCTTCTCGAAGCCATGCCTGACAACACCTAACCACAGTGTCTACACTTCTTTGCACTCTAACTGCAATTGCCCGAAAAGAAAGTCCTGCTTCCCGAAGTCCCACTATACGGCCCCTATCAAACTCACTAAGTTGACGAAATCGTACGTACTCTAGGCATCGTAACCGATCGTAAAGGATGTCAAGAACCAAAATCCGCCAACGTTGATTCTTTACTGCGGCTGAAATATTCATTTTTAGAGCGTTAGTGAATTAAAAAAAAGCAGTATAAAAACCGGAATGTTCAACTGATAAGGCTGAAAATTTGTTCACTTGTTATTTACAGTAAGATAAATACATTCACCAACTTTTATTAAAATAAAACCATTTAAACTGGGTTTTCGGATTTATATGTCACTTAGTATATTTCGTTAAATGTTTTACCAAGCTTAACAAAGACCTTAATATTGGCTCTTTGTTCGATGCTCATTTTTCGACCGATGCTAAAAAGGTCATCACTGAAAGATGTTACCTATCCAAAGCTGGTCTCCGATAATAGATGGCGCTACTTGTATCGGATATCTATCAAAAGTCCTGTTTACTTTGCGACGACAGACCTTGTATGTTAATAAACGGTTTTAGTTTACTTACCAGAGTAAGAGCTTTGATCCTTTTGCGCATGATGTAGCAAATACTTGATAGGCAGTTCTGACATGAACTCGGGAGTATAGCGTTTAATTTTCCTCCCACTGGAGGCCAAGGCGTGTGCGTTACTCAGTCGAAAATCTTCATATAACAGCAAGTAATATAGAAGCAATAGTTGTGGTGTCAGACTTGTACTGTCAACGACAACGTCGTGATTTTCAGAACTCAAATCAAAGTCCATGGTGAACACGGACTGCTTTTGATTAAAGTAGTGTCCAAATACTGAGCTTTGAAACACCCTCCTGATCTCGTTTTCTGTCAAAGGTTTGTTTGTGTGCTCTGAGTTTTTAGCATTTGGTAAAATAATACTATTGACATATACTTCAATTAACATTCTTAGTACTGGATGTAACGGACTTGTACTGGTACATATCTGCTTGTAAATCCAGCTTTTAATGTTGACGTTATGCTTTGCAAAAGCTCTTGATTTCAGAAGCTGATGTATGCAATGTATGGGGAGGAACCCTGAAATAAAAATACATTGATCAATGTTTCATGTTTCAAGAATAAAAGAATATTCATTAAAATTATGTTATTTAGACAATCAGCGTTTTTATTAACAATTTCTCTGAAATGTGACCAATTAGGATCACCATGGGCGCCCCTTTGCTCCAAGGGCTATGAAGTAAAAAAATTATTATATATGTTTATAAAATTGTGTAAGTTGTAGGATGTTGGTATTCGCTTTGTGGTCGCAATACATTTTGAACTTGTAAAAACCTGAGAGTCGCAGTCTCAGAGCTTCGCTACCTTGCACTGACTTGTTCAGTTCGTCACTCTATAAATACGAATGTGGGACAAATACGTTTATTCGTTTCCTGAATCTTGAAAAGGAAAGTGCTAAGAAAATATTTAAAAAAATATAAACAGATAGTATATCACACAAATTATAGTGAGTCAATGTTATTTTGTTTGAGAGTGCTGGAGAAAAGTAAGTACATTATTTTTTATTAAATTTTAGTTTTGTACTCGTAATTTGCAAAGATAGATAAATTACGCCAATCATGACTTTAGTTATTAGTAATTAAATATTCAATCATGCAAAATTACACGAGTTCTCCTCAATAGTTTCTTTTTGAAAGTTTTAGCAATCGGTAATATAATTACAGTGCAATCTCCGTAATTCGAACTAATTGTTGCAAGAAGATGTTCGAATTATGGAATGTTTTCGGAAAAATCAAAAAATATTTTTAATATACAGCGGCTGGATTTTCTGTCTTATTTAAATAAATTAATTTTGCCCACAGATGACTGATGCCATGTCCGAATCTAAAAAGAAATGTAGACAGTACAGAGTTGATTATTTGAAATTTGGCTTCATTCCATCATTGCCGGACAAACAATCGCCTATGTGCCTTTTATGCAACAAAGTTTTGGGCAATGACGCTATGAAACCATCTAAACTGCAAGATCATCTGAGAAGATGCCACCCTGATAAAACAGAGAAAGATTTGAAATACTTTCAAACACTCAAATATAAATTTCAGAAGAGACCTACACTGGACAGAATGTTCGCTTCGACGTCACAAAGAAATGATGATGGTTTGCGGGCATCTTACAATATCTCGTTACTTATAGCAAAATCCGGAAAACCGCATACTATCGGAGAGAAGTTAATTTTGCCAGCCGTTGAAGAGGTTTTAAAAACTGTTTTACACAAACCTGCTTCTGATATCATTAAAAGAATTCCCTAAAGCAACAATACTGTTGAAAGACGTATTGATGAAATGAGTGCTGATATTGAAAGCTTCTTATGTAATTATTTGCAAACGACCCATTTCTCTATACAACTGGACGAGTTAACTTTACCTGATAATGCAGCATTATTATTGGCATATGTTCGTTTTATTATGAATCAAGATATCTACGAAGAACTGCTCTTCGCAAGAACTTTGATAACCGACACTAAAGGTGAATCAATATTTCATGTTTCGAAGGATTACTTCATTGAAAAAGCAATTCCTTTATCAAATATAATATCAGTAGCTACAGATGGAGCACCTGCCATGGTTGGACGTTATCGTGGATTTATAAGCTATTTAAAACAAAATGTGTCAGGGGTGTTAGCAATACACTGCGTCATCCATCGACAACATTTAGTTGCTAAAAATTTGAGTGTTAGATTACATGAATCACTTCATTTAGTCATTGATGCAGTAAACCGAATCCGAAGCAACGCGTTGAATACGGGGTTATTTGCGCAGTTGTGTGAAGAAAATGACGAGCACTTTCATCAATTACCCCTTCACACTGAAGTACGCTGGCTGTCGAAAGGCTTATATTTGACAAGATTTTTTGCACTTTTTGAGACTATTTTAGAATTTCTGGATACTAAAGATAAAATTTTAAAAGAAAATTTAATGAAGAGGAAAACAGACATCGCCTATTTAACAGATTTGTTTACAAAATTGAATATGGTTAATTTGCAATTAAAAGGGGACAGTTTAAATTTGATTAAAATAAAGTCCATCTTATCAGCGTTTCTTGCCAGAGTTAAACTAATGAAGCAAAATATTGGACGGGGCGAATTTTCTCAGTTCCCCAATTTGTCACAGACAAGCTGCCAGGAAGACGACGTTTCAACTTACGTTCAACATTTAGATGCCCTCTATTCAGATTTTGAATCTAGGTTTGAGGATATTTTGACTATGGTAATACCACCGTTTATAATTAATCCATATGGTGAGATAGAAGAAACGTCATAATACAAGAGGAACTGACTGAACTAAGTACAAACGAAAAACTTAAGGTTCAGTTTAAAAACAGATATCAGCAATTCTGGCTGCAAAACAACATACCCGTTACTTATCCCGTATTATGGAATATAGCGAGGAAATTTTTTATTTCCTTTCCATCGTCATACCTAGTGGAAAGGGGGTTCAGCGCTGTTACCAATCTTCTAACAAAAAAAAGAAACAGACTGGACATCATTAGCCGAGGAGATTTAAGATTAACCCTTACAAAATTGACGCCAAATGTTGATAATCTATTATTAAAGCATCTGGTTCATCCTTCTCACTAAAGTATTGACTTATTGCTTATGTTATTTTATTTATAGTTTATTTTATGTTTATTGGTGTCTGACCAATAAATGCCCGCATTGGGAATAAGTGCCCGCATTGATTTTTTAAAGAACCCCCCTTTATAGAAAATATATATTTTTTAAATTATTCTGAAAATTCAAGGATAGGTACACACTAAAATTCGTTAATTTTTTGCCTATTTTTAGATAACTTAAACGTATAAGAAGCTGAATTTAATCAAACTAACAGTGAAATTATTGTAGAACATACGTTTATGTTATAATTAATAAACGAACTCGCTTATTGTACTATTTTAAGTAAAAAACTTTTTTTTTATATTCTTCACTTTTTTTTATTTTATCCCTCTTATTTTTTTTGCGGCACTTATTTTCAATGCGGGCACTTATTAGTCAGACACCTGTTTATTTAATGTTACGTATATTTTACATAACAGATACAAAATTTTATTTTGAGTAGTTTTAATTTAAATTCAATTAATAAATGTATGAATTAACATGTGTTTTTAACAGTAAACTTCACTACAGTTAGAAATTTACAGGAAATCAATAACAACAAAAAAGTTTGGGGAACTCTGCCTTAGATAAACAAATCGGCTATATTTTCCTTTCAAATAAAATTGTTCATCCTTAAACGTGGCATCAACTTTCCAATATAAAATTAGCCCTCAACCAGCCTGGTAATTACAGCAACAATGTGAAATAATTATAAACAGATTTATAGATTTTTTTCGAAAATATCTGGGAGACATTTTTTTATCGAAACTGCATCATAGTACATTTGGGTGATTTTAATATAAATTTTGATTACCAAGACTTCTATGCAGAGAAATTTAAACAGGTACTCAATTTTTATGGACTATGGCAAAAAGTCTGAGATCATATCAAAATTACAAATCAGTCAAGAATAATAATAGATTTGATAATAACAAATGAACCATTTTAATTTAATTGCAAAACTTATGCATACTCCCGAACTCAGTGATCATTCTTGGATACGATTTGAAGTTGAAAATATATTTGATACTAACAAAGCGGAAGAAATTACTAGTATTAACTATATAAAATTACGAGAAGTCCTTTTACTGCAAGATCTGATTGAAATGTTTGTTGATGTTTATAGCTGCATTGCAAGCCTATTGGATAATGTTGAAGTGTGCATGAAAGAAGCTACAGTCAAGACAACAATTTATAAATGGAAAAATCAACCTTGGTTCGCAGAGACATTAAACGATTCTAAATTAAAACGAGACTATAATTATAAAAATTTTATGATAGCTGGGAGTGAAAATGGTTGGCTAGAATATGCAAGATCATGAAACCAACACGTAGCAGTTCTACGAGACGAAAAGAAAAAATATTACAATACCAAAATTGATGACAGTAAAAATAATAGCAAACTATTAGAAGAAATGGGTAATCTAAAATGAAGTTCGACGATGGGCTAAAGCCAAATGAAAAAATAATAGCAGATCGAATGAATACCTATTTCATAGAAAGTATCAACGACATTTCAAGATCAATTATTGATGGAAAACCCAACCACTTTGATCATATTATAATGAATCATTCAGTGAGTTTAGAACAATAAACATGAATCGTCTCAAGAAGATTATATCAAAATTGATGATCAAAATAAGAGTGAGATATTGTCTAAAAGGGTGCTTAATGAATGTTTTGATATCATTACCACAAGAATATTAATCCTGAAAAATTACCGTCTAAAATATGGCGAATTTCCAAGGAAATTGAAGTTTTCTACCATAACTCCTGTTTGATTACACCAATAAGCGGACAATAAATGCTCTGCCAGTTATTGTAAAAGTCTTTGAAGAAATTGTTTACGAACAGACCATCGAATGCATGGAGGGAAATAGAATTTTGACCAAATTTCTTGCTGGATTCGGCAATACAAATGATTTTTGGGGACTGGATAAGATGTATAGACAAAAAGAAACATACAGTGACAGTGTTTGTGGACTTCAAAAGGGCGTCTGAAACTACTGACAGGGATAAATTACTCGCAAAATTGCATCTCTATCGATGTAAAGGATCTGTATTTAAAATTCTACAAATCCTACTCAATTGACAGAAGTCAAAAAACCAAAAATGGATCTACATTGTCAAGCTCAACAAATATTTATTTTATATATTATAATGACATTTGTGATATTTTAGATTATTGTAAAATTCAGATATTTGCAGATGATACATTAATATGTACATATTAGTTAAAAATATAGACACTGCTTTAAAAATGCTAAATTCTGACTTTGCGTGCTTCTAAAACAAATTTATGCTTATAAGGTCATATTTGACTGAAAATACTATCACAGTTAGGATAAATGGTGAAATAATTGAAGATGTTGACCCAGTTAAATATTTACACATTTACACATTATAATATACACATACAAATGTTACATTTGGTTCTTATTTTTATATTTAAAATAAAAAATCATCTTTTGCCACAATATTTGGAACACTACATAGAATTGAATGATCATTACCACATTTATACAAGAGAAAATATAGATTTCCATTTACAGAATTGCAATAGTAATATAACAAGCAAATCAATATTTCAGAAAGGATTACTTGAGTTTAGTAAACTAAATAATGATATAAATTCCACTTGTAACTTAAAGATGTTTAAAAGAAGATTAAAGGACTATTTGATGGATGATGAAAATTCTAAGAGATGCAAGTTTTGTCTTTCTAAATATTTGTATGTTATATGACTGTTGTAGTTTTTTAAAAGGATGTAATTGTAGCAGTCATACTAAATAAATAAATCTCTAACAAATAAATAAACAGTGATACCTAAAGATACGAATGGCTTTTTTCGCGCAGATACGGATTTGAATCAGATACGCGAAATTCTGTTGGAATGTGTTAATCAATGGCTAATCACAGTCATATGAGGCGAATATTTAAAAAAAAAATTAGTTGTAAAAAAAGAAGTACCTGTCATATTAGCACTTAACCCAGCTGTCACTGGCACCTTAACTGCATGTGCTGTAACCACCTGTTCTGTGAATATCTCCTGCGTAAAAACTTGCTTCATTCTCGTCATATTATTGTGCCTAATCACAATCTTCATTCCAAGTGTCGAACACACTAAATCGCAAATAGCACTTAACTGATTGCTATGGAAGTGAATCGCCATAAGCAACAGCATCTCTCCGAATGATGCAGTAATTCCACTGGCAGATTCAAAATAAGCTTCTTCTTTTACCAGCCACTGTACCCATTCAATGCTACGCCTTTCATGTTCTGGGGCACTGATTAGAGATGGACAGGCTATCAACATACATAAGCCGATAGAGACAAACCTTACACCAGCAGGTGTAGGGTTGGGATGAGAAGTTAACAACTGCACAATTTGATTCACTTCTTCATCTTGAAATTTAATTGCTGCTATACCTCTTAATGCACAATACAGTCTTAGTAATGCTGATGCTTGAACAACTAATCTGTCAGGAAGTTGACCTTCCGGAGATGCTTCAATGATGATTTGTAGACGTCTTAATAACTCTTCTCGCAATTGCTGGAGAGCATTGCTTGATACCTCTCCTTTACGTTTCTGACCAGTTCGGATGAATAGTGCTATCCAGTTCCTGATAGTTTGATCATTGCCCAAGAGCAATCCACTGACAAAAGCTACCATATCACCATCTTCATCAGTTTGCTCAGCCTTGTTTATATGTTCCAATGTCAAAGTGATTGTCAAAGCTGGCATTCTACACAATTCAACACATTTACTGCGAACAGACAGTGCTTGAGAAGGATTCATCTTGCAAAGCATCGAAATAGTTGAAGCACGAATTGTACTCGAGATGTTTTCTTCTTGTTTTTCACCAGCTTGAATGAGATTTGCAGTGACTTCTCTAAAAGAATCAGGAAAGTTTGCTACAATCCTGCATATAATCGCTGGCCCATTGTGTACATGTAACAATGTTTCTACCATGTTGTTGATACTCAGTGTCATTGGTAGCTCAGCTAGAGCAATGCAAATGATGTCAGATAGCTCCTCAGCAAAAATATCATTGTCAAATAAATCAGAAGATTTGATGAAGGAGTCTTGCTCAGAGGTTGAATCAGGGCTTTCTTGCATTTGCGCTTGAATATAGAGTAGCTCCCCTAGGAGAATACTGAGTCTTCGAGTCATATCACTTCTTTCATATTCTAAAGCCATGTTAGTGTTTGATAAATTTCCCATTAATATTGAATCACTCTGAAGAGTATTCCCTTTCTGTCTTAGCTGTTGTTCTTTCTTAACTTCTATCTCTAACTTATGAAAATCAATTGAAAGCAAAGCTACTATCGAGTTCACAGTTTCCATGCCCGATACTATTGTTAAAATTTTTATTTTCATGTTCATGCATTTTTTGGATGTGTCTAATGGGGATATCAGTCCCATCCTAACAAGACAAGGAAGGATAGGACGAATTTCTTCATCTGAACATTTAGCAAGTTCTTCCATGTCCACATGTTGGATTGCTCTGAATACTTTAGGGTCAATACCTGGGGAAAAAATTGAATGAATGGAAACATAAGTAGAATATAGTCAACGCCAAACAAAGTGGCGTGCACGTCATCAAGGTGGGTGTGTTGAAAAATTTACATTGTTGCCAAACTTTTTGTAAAATAATAAAATTTATTATTTACATATCTAGGTTTATAAGCAATATTAACCTCAAATGAGAACAAAAATAATAGTATAATAAAATTATAGATCTGTACTTGCATAATCATTAAGTATGACAATTATTGATCAGATGACACTATGAAACTACCATATTTAATTGATAGCTTAAAGGTACTGAATAAAAATCCAAATGGGGTCCTCCAAATTTTATGCATGGTATTTATTTTACAGAATTCATACAGAAAAATGCATTCTAAAATTAGGTAAGCTACTGGTGTAAGCTTTTTCTGTACAATAAAGTTAGTCGGAGTTTCTTTCTTCAGCGCTGTCTGAATCTGAATCTTCATCACTCTCAAAGTTGATTATTAAAGGTTCGATGTCTGGTCGATCAAAAATTCGTTCTCTTTCATACCATTTAAAAATTTCTTGCTCAGTATGTCGAACACTATTTTTCCACATGTCTGGGGTAACCGTTTGTAGAGCCTCGTTCCACATATCCAAACAGTCTTTTTCACTGTTACCATCTCTACCAATATGTCTGTTATAGTAACCTTTTGCTATGCCCCAAATTAACTCAATAGGGTTAAATATACAATGGTAAGGAGGCAGACGAAGAACTTTGTGCCCATGTTGTTCCGCCAATTCATCAATCACGTATATTTTAGGTGGTTTGTTTCTAAAAAAGCAGTTATTTTAAGAATAGGAATAAACAAAAGAAATATAAACTGTCGACCAAAATATACAGGGTGTTCCATAATTATTGCGACAAAATGATAGGGGTTGTAGAGGGCATCAAAATGAACAATTTTTCCTTATAAACCCCTGTTCGGAAATATGCCGTTTGGGCTGCAGCAAAAAAAAAGATCAGTTTCTTGAGACAGCTTACCTACAGTAATTGCTCAAAGTGTCCTCCACCTTGCTCAATGCACAGCTGTGCACGATTGTTCAATGATCGGCGAACTCTGTGGCATACCCCCGGTATGTCCTGAACATGTGCGGACGCGGCCATCACTCTTCCCAGTAGCTCTTGTTGGTTGGGAACAGGAGTTTCGTACACTAAAGCTTTCAGATAGCTCCAGATAAAATAATCCAGTGGGGTCAGGTCAAGTGACCGCGCAGGCCAAGGCACAGGGCCACCTCGGCCTATCCACCTATTTGGAAATTTGTCGTCCAAATACTGCCGCACTTGTAAAGAAAAGTGGGCTGGACCGCCATGGTGTTGAAACCACATGTTGGCTCTTATATTCAGTAAGCACATTTTCTAATAGTTCCGGTAGCACATGCTGTAAGGATCGACCATAAGCAGATATGGCCCGATGATATGCTCGTCCACAATGCCGCACCAGATGTTAATTGAAAACTGATGTTGGTCTCTATGGATGGCTATGGCATGAGGGTTTTCTTCATCCCAAATGTGACTGTTATGGCTATTAAAATAACCGTCCTTTGTAAAACAGGACTCGTCAGTGAACAAAACGTAGCGACGAAAGTTTGGTTGCCTCAACTCCTGCTGCAGCCACCAACGGCAAAAACGTCGACGCGGCAGATAGTCTGCTGGACCCATGGCTTGGACTTTTAAAAGGTGGTACGGGTGTACGATAACAAAAATGTAAACACAGCAGGCTTTTTTTACAAACCGGTGAGACCATGAAATGTGCTAGACGAACATTTTGCAGCTGGTGAATTTTTTGTTTCTCCTATGAGCTCTTAAGGTAAAATTAACTGTAGTGCTCAAACGGCATATTTACGAACAGGGGTTTATAAGGCAAAATTGCATATTTTTATGCCCTCTACAACCCCTATCATTTTGTCGCAATAATTATGGAACACCCTGTATATAATTAAGAAGCATTATGTACCGAGCAACAATACTCAATAGCTCTGTTTTAAACATTGTGTTTAAAAATGGTATGTTTTGATTTGTCAACCAGTCTTGGATATTTTTTTTTGTCCATGCATTGTTGGGCACTTTGTTCAATATCATGCTGTGATAAGGGGCGTTATCCAGTATAATCATAGATGGACTCTCCAATTTTTCTAATAACTGATGTTGAAACCATTTCAAAAAATTGTCCTGGTTCATCTCTCCATGGTAATCGCTCAATTTTGTTTTCGAAGAAAATATCGCTTCACTACCCTCAATAAACCCATTTTCATTTCCAGCATGTAATATAATGTATCTAAAATATATTAGTTTTAAATTTTATAGTGCAAATTGTGTAAAAGTACATACCTTTTACCATCTGTTTTAATAGCTTTCACGCTTTTTTGGTTTCCATTTTGCCAAGAGCGACCTATGGTCCCATTTTGAAATATCCAAGTTTCATCGAGGAAGACAAACTGGTATAAGGCCTCAACCTTGGCTTGATTGTATTGCCTTAGAAATTCCACCCTTTTCAAAGCTATACTTGGTAGTTCCATGAGCCCTCGTCGCGGATTGTCCTTAAGCCACTTAAATCCAAGATCTCTAAGCAACCGCCTTAAAGACGTGGCACTACCATCAAATAATGCCCTATCTCTTAATCGAGACCATAAAGTTTGTATCGTAACTTGTTCTTCTGAAACCATGTGTAATATGACATTATAATTTAGTTAACAAATTAATGCAAATTTCTGATAAGTTATTATAATAAGATCTTACTTTTGTGATACATATTATAGATCACTTCTCCAATGGCACTTATATCCAATGTCGCTGTGTTGGTTACACGTTTAATATAACTCCGCTTTTTCTTGGGCGATTCTAAATTTGCATCACTTTTCACACCCTCGGAAATACGACTAACTGTCCTTAAACTAATTTTTAAAGCAGCAGCATCACGCTACAAAAAATGAAATAAAATTTCACTATTATTAATATACATTACATATAATTATTAGTAACCTACCTCTTGAGCAGCATTTAAAGGCAACAAAGGCCCGTTGTTGTCCCTTTCTTGCTCAAAGTAGTGCATTAACGAGGCCACGAGTTCCTTACACCGACTATTTAACTGTTTGGGCATCTTTATATACCAAAATTGCCTTTATCTACTCGTAAAATGAATAATTTTGTTTTGAAACAAACAGTTGTTGATTTACAGTATGCGGAGCCAAAGGATTTATAAAGATTTGAAATGCCACAAATTGATTCACTGTCAAAATTAATACAAATGTCAGTTCCCAGTTTAAATAAGTTTCAAGGTGACAATGTGTCAACGCTGCGAAATCGGTTTAGTGCGTTTACATCTCGATAAGTGATTGGAGCGTTTGCAAAACATTTTATTTCGCATAATGCGTCTAAATTTATCAGAAAGCAACTTATGTGATATTTTAATAACAATGTTTATATGACTATTAACCATAATAAGAGAGTAATGACCATTTTACAATTTATATATCACATTAATATGAAACTGCAATAGAGCAATTGTTTGTGATAGAAACCTAGGCATTAGGTCGGGGAATTTTTATCGTGATGACGTGCACGCCACTTTGTTTGGCGTTGACTATACAGTAGAAGGACATCTGTACAAGTGTAAAAAAATTGAAATAACATGTTGCAGGTCCCAAAGCTTGAATTTTCTCTGACGAAAAACCCGATATACCAAAGTAACTATTGAAGTGTAAGAAAAAGTCTATAGATTCATATTGGGGCCCTTCATGCTATGACTCTGAAATTCGATCTTCAGGTACGACTCAAAATAAAATAAAGGTTTACCTGTTCTGAACGTCATATCTATTCAGGAGTGCTTAACAAGATTGATATTCCAGCATGCAATATTTCACAGGCACATAAGCACTTTATGTACAAAATGTTTACTTGGCTTGTTTTTAATGTTTTATTTATTTGAGGGTGATTTGAGGTTAAGTTTCCACAGCACGGGTAGAGATGAGCGAAACTTTGATTTTTGAGTTTTGGTCACTGTGACGGAAACGTATTTGCGATACTCATTTCCTGAATAGTTATTCGTTTTTTCGAAAATCACATCTACAAGCATTGAGATATAGTTCTTCGATACTAAGTCGATTGGAGTACGGCGAGTCTAAAGGTAGCGATATCTGCATTTTATTGACTTTAAAGCTGTGAAATATAGATGATACTGCCAGTAATACGTAATAGCCTATGAATAAAACAGATTATCTCCTAGTTCGAACTTTTGCTAATGTTTATGAGTTTCTTCAGAAATTTACAATACATAATGAATGCATGTACATTATCAGGAGAATAAACAAAACTTACAAAAACATCTGTAAGTTTCTTCATATGATATTGATGTAAGATTAGCAAAAGCTTCAAGTGCGCAGATTACCAACAACTACGACTTCTTAATGATTCATTTTTTTCGTGTACAGGGTGATTGCGTTAGGTCTTTGCTTAATTGCACCGACAATTCATGCTATATTTTTGGTAATTATGGCTTTGGCTGGGTATATAAATTAGAAAAAATATTTTATGACGCACGTTATATACATTTCGGATTTATCTGTTTGATTTCAAAACAACAATTATGAATGCCAGAAATAAAAATATTAGACATATGTGCTCAGTTTCTCAATTTTTTTATGGTAGGTATGTTAGTTTTATTAAATTATAAACACGCATCAATCACGTGTCGATGTGTCTAGTTAAGACGAGAAAAAAGTCATTTCCGATTTTATTCTTGTTGGTCCCTGAGATAGCAGACAGGGTACCAGCAAACACTCTTATATTTTTAATTAATGCAGGATTATTAGAAATTATAATGCCTATTTTTGATCCAGTGTTCAAAATTTCCAACTTGCACATGAATGAATCTTTTGCGGTAGAGATTGAACTTGTCGGAAGGTTTGACACAGCACAAATTTTACGGTGAGGTTTAAATTTGGCTCACGTCGTAATGAGTACGAGAGAGAAGCGTCCAATATGTATGTTAGAAAGAGTGCACCGATGGTGTCCGTGATCTCGTCATTCGGCACGGGTATCATGTAAAAAACCTACAAAACGTCAAAAAAAACCTATATGATGTCAACCTGCAGACTAGGTAGTTTTTTAGGGCCCAAGCAGTCATTCCACGCTTGCTCACTAGGATCGTTGTGAAGGTCCACCTATGGAGGAATCACTCAACTAAGCTACACGCATTATTGGTTGCATAGTTTTGTGAGGCCAAATAGTCCTTGTCTGTAGTTTTCATCTCTAAGAAGAAAGTTGGTTGAATAGCAAGATCGAATCTGGATGATTATGTGTATTGGTCTGCATGTGTATAAAATCAGTGATAATATTTGCTGTGTGAGAAAATCGTTACTGAATATGCTGCCAATGAAATATATCTATTGGCTGTGCCCGACGGGTTATGTTTATGTTGTGCTTTCTGGAGAGAGGTTATGTTCAAAGTTATAAATTACGAAAAACTGAGGAGAATTACGGGATGTGATCACCGCGCACGCGGTGTGTGTAATTACTGTTAGCATGTATATGGCTTGTAATTCGACAGTGTGTAGTGAATATACTTATTTTTTATCTCTCTCATTTTTGAAATTCAGCAAATTTGTATATGTAATTTTCAGAATGGATAAGAAAAAGTGGATGCACAAATAATTTCTAGCTTTGAATCTCAATTAAGTATATTTGAGACAAGAACCCAATGTAATTATCATCAACACATACAACTTACAGCTTAGACCTCCGGTAATGCGATCTCAGAAGCAGATTTTACATCACACATCAGAACCAAAGATTGATGACAGGCCTCATGGCGTTTAGGCAACACGTTCAACTAAGTGCTAAGTTAATATCTTGTAGGAAAACCTACATAATAAAAAAAACAGCGTAATGTCAAAAAAAAAATCGGCATAATGTCACTTTTCAAGATACGCGATACCCGTGCCGGTTGCTAGTCAACGATGTGCTTCTATCTCTTTCTAGCAGACGTATTGCACGCTACTCGCGCTTCCCTCTCGTACACGTTACGACGTCAGTGATATTTGATTTTCAGTGTATACAAGGATATACGGTATCCGCCGAAAAAGCGGTAGATTTGACAACATTGATTCTTTATTTCCCTTCCCCCCCACGTTGTACCGGCTAGACGGGACTTCAATTGTTTACATTTTTTACTAAGATTACCTTTCTTCAGTAGCCGGCCGTTTTCCTGTATGAACTTCCGGTAAAAACATTATAAAAACAAATACTGTTTCGTCTATAAACGCGGCGAAATAAAATCGGGAACATTGATACATGCCAGTGAATCTATAAGGCAACTTTCGATTACTAATATATGGATTTATCGGTTTCTGTGTCTATTATCCCTTCTTTTTTGAATTCCTCGCGAAAACAAACGAGTGCTTTTGGTGTGCTGATAACCTGGCTGCAAATGGCGGTGAGTTTTTGCATGATCATTTTTGATTCGCATGTTTTAAACAGTTCATGAAACTTGAATATCACCGATTAGTCAAATAAATGTGGACCTAAGAGTTACTCTGAAAAAGCCCAAGGTTTTCAAACATTTACTCATTCTTCAATATTCTCTTGCTTGACGACGCAATTTTGACACATAGATAGGTACTTATTCATTCATCATTTATCGGTCTCTGCGTTTTTCACACAATCATCCAGCGGTCCAGCTCAATTGAAGAGCCTTGGGTAGTCTTTCCCGAAGTCATACCTTCGACACTGATTTTTATTTAACGTTAATAGATATGAAATGCACTCAAATGAGGCGCATAATCCACATGACTAGCATTTCATCCATGACTCGCAATGCTATTTTGATTTGATTTGAACCCGCGGCCCATCTACACGATGTATAATATGTAGCTCGACTCGACATTCGACAGACCGCTACCCAGGTCTCCAAACATAGGTATTTCATTTGCGGGAAATTTAATAAAGCTAAAGTTGCCTTGATTTTTCATTTTTTATCACGAGTGCTGGAGTATTGAATATAACAAAAGGTATATGATGATGAGTTTCAAGTCGAGGAAAGGAGTGAAAAATAAGAAACAAGACAAGTTCTAGATAATTCATATTTACTGGACATACAAAAATATCATTCCATATCATTACTTATACCTACTCATCAATCGCAAAGGCAAGGCATTAATGACATACAAAACCACTATTTTCAGAATCAAACATTTTATGCATTGCTATCAAATTCGAATCTCTCAAGTACTAAAATATTCCATTTGTATTGACGAAAATGGCGAGTGGCAGGATAAATAAAAGCCTACTCATTGAGTGTGAATTCTTATTATTTTCTACGTGTCTAAGGCCCGTATCGTCAGTCGTCTCTACAATTGTAGGGCGCGTTTATGGCCTCCTTGATTGTCATACTCCTTTCTCTCGTTCAAAAATTTCTAGATTACACTTGTCCCGTGTCAGCGTCAGCGCTCTCCTATTGTGAATATATGTTTTCTTTTTAAATTGTAGGAAATTTCAGGCTGATAAAACATGATATAACTCAAAAGCAAGCACAATTTGATGCAAATAGATGTTTGTGACATAACCTCAAAATAGAGTTCTGACACGGAGAAGTAGAATACTATGACAATCAAGGAGGCCATAAAGGCGCCCTACAATTGAGGAACTGTATTTTGAGGTTATGTCACAAACATCTATTTGCATCAAATTGTGCTTTGAGCATGTTTTACCAGCCTGAAATTTCCTACAATTTAAAAAGAAAACATATCTTCACAATAGGAGAGCGCTGACGCTGACACGGGACAAGTGTAATCTAGAAATTTTTGAACGAGAGAAAGGAGTATGACAATCAAGGAGGCCATAAGCGCACCCTACAATTGTAGGGACGACTGATGATACGGGCCTAAGGCTTAGGCCGCACCACGTTTTTTTCCCGCAAGCGGTAAACCACCAAACCGCAAAACCGTCCGAGACGCACACACTACGGTTAAAAACCGCGAAACTGGTCACGATTTTTACAGTTTGAAGATGGATTTCAAGAGATCTGTATGTGTTGTTGCTCTAATACTGAGAAGCAGAAAAAGAAAACGTCATAAAAAATTTCGCTAATATTGGGTCCATCCACTGACTAGCCGACGATTTAAGGAAGGTCTTTTTCATAAAAAGTATCAAGATTTAAGAAAACATCCTGAGAAAATTTTCAACTACTATCGGAACGGAAAGGAGGACCAGCGGAAGTTCTGTGCTTTAAGCATAATCGCGTTTATATCAACGACATCCCATCTTTTGACACTGTGTTGCTAGATGTACGATTACTGGGGAAAGGTAAATACGCCCGTTCTTCAATTTTCAGTAGTCGGTAACCCCGCCCCCCGTTTTTCCGTCGATCACGATCACAAGAACGTTCGCTCCCAGAAGTCCCCTCACCTCAAAATGTCACCCCCCACCCTTACTACCCATTTTCAATGAATTGCTTATTCTTATTCTTATTATTTGGTTAACTTTTCGGCTGGGCGCATACATTCGTTTTCCGTATACGGGTTCCTAATCAGGAATTCCAATTCGGAATTCCGTGAGCCTAGCGCAAACATTCAATTTTTTGGAGTGAATATTATATGGGGTTGTCCAAAACGGACGCAGGAAAGTAAACGCATATTAAAACAGGTTCATTTATACCATTTATGTATGAAAAATAATATCGCTCAAATGTTCACCACGACTGGATTTACAGACGTCCACGCGATGGTCAAAATTTTCAATGACATTTTGCAACATGGTCGGTTCTATGGCATTTATCGGCAATGATGTTGTTTTTGAGTTCTTGGAGGGTGGCTGATTTGTCAAATATCCCCATAAAAAAAGTCCAAGGGAGTCAAATCGCACGATCTTGGTGGCCATGGCACATTTCCTCTGGGCGAAATCACGCGATCACCGAAGAAGGACTGCAATCGATGGATATTGACGTTGGTTGTGTGGCATGTTGCACCGTCTTGTTGGAAATAAACATCGTCCATATCCATTCCTTCAAGTTGCGGCAAAAAATAGTCCTCTATCATCACGTGATATCGCTCAGAATTGACGGTAACGGCGTCCCCGGCCGCATTTTCGAAAAAGTAAGGTTCGATGATGCCTTTTGACCACAATGCACACCACACTGTCACTTTTTGAGGATGCATCGGCTGCTCTTGATACTCACGGGGATTTTCGTTCGCCCAGATGCGGCAGTTTTGCTTGTTTACCGCCCCATTCAAAGTGAAATGCGCTTCGTCGCTGAACATGATTTTTGATGAAAAATTGGCATCAATTTGGCGGTGTTCAAGGAGCCAATCTGAGAACGTTCGGCGCGAAAAATGGTCGGCCCGACGCAGCTCTTGCGTCAATTGGATCTTGTAGGCGTGTACATTCAAATCCTTGTGGAGAATGCGGAGCAAACTGGTTCTCGAAATGCCCAATTCTTGGGATCGACGCGTTGTTGATTGTTTCGGATCGTCTCTCACACTCTCCTTCACAACAGCAATTTTTTACCTGGTGTGCGAACGCTCCTTGGCCGGCCAGAGCCTGGCAGATTTGCCACAGAACCTGTTGCCTCGAATTTACGCACCAGACGACCGATGGTTGTTTCGTTTGGGCGGTTGTTGCGACCGAAATGTTCACGAAGCGCGCGAAACGTGTTTTTTATTTTTGCACCATTTTTGTAGTGCTCTTGAATAACTTTAATGCGGTCTTCAATCGAATACGACTTCATAGCGATCAATGGTAAACATTCAACTAACAAAATGACATGTCGGTGACAGAAAACAAAGATGTCGTCTATGTCAAATCGACGTTTACTTTCCTGCGTCCCTGTTGGGCATCTCTTGGATAAGCCGGTAGTTGGTAAGTGGACCGTGTAGAGTCAAGTCCATGAATAATCTACAGAATTCAAGTATCTTTGATTTGCATTGAACTCCGGACAGAGAATGGCGCTCATCAATAGTTCGTTCAGGCCTTTCTATGAACTCTTAAGTCACTTTGAGAGGGGATTATACAGCTTGTTACATTACTTCTGTGGTTAATTAACCAAGTATAACATTGGAAAAAGGAAAAAAACAGCCTAAAGAGCAAGGAAGTCCCTCTAAGACATAGTTGCTTTCACCAGAAGGAAGGAATCAGAGGGGTTAGGATAACTATACCTCCTGAAAAAATAGTTACAACTGTCGGGTTAAGTCAAATACCTGGGGGTAATACTAGACTCCAAACTAATCTAGAACCCCCAGATCAAACGCTCTCATGGAAATACATGGGGATTAAACACTTCCATGATGCAGTGGACGTATATAATATTGATAATGCCCTTGATGACTTATGCATATCTGGTTCTTCATGACGGTGTTCCGAAGAATGTCACTACCGCGCGCGGTTGCCGCGTCAAATGTGTGCGCGCCGATATGTGTCCTATAAACTATAACTTTTGGCGCGTTTTTTTCCCGCTAGCCATTCTGTAACAAGTCGCGGTTTTAAAACCAGTCGCGGGAAAGACCCGTAAATGCGGCCGCTTCCATTAGCTCACTTTACACACCAAATCAGGCGGTTAAAATCCGCGGCGGTTTAGCCGTAGTGCGGCCTAAGCTTAAAGTGCTTAGAATTTCACTGATTGCCCCTATTTCTTCTATACAGAATATATTTCATCTAAATTTTTGCGAGTATAGATCTAATATGCTCTTTCTTTGGAAATTGGAATTTCCTGTTAATCTTATTATGGGGTCTTATAAAATAACTCAAATTTCAAGTTGATGAAAGTCTAAAATAGGTACATATTTTCTAATATACTCGTATTTAAATGCACAATTTCATAGATGCGAAATTTAAGTTGTTTTCGGGGCCGACAAGCGAACCTTTTTATATGAAAGTATACCGCCTGAAAATGGCACTAAATATGCTTCTGAACTACGGGTAAAGGTGCATGTAAAGGGTGTCTCAATCTGTACAATCAGGTTTTGTTTTTTAATTAAATCAACAATATTACAAAATTGTTGTGAAGTACAAAGTCGAGGTATGTGCGTTATTTTTTATAAATGCTGTTTCTAGGTTTCTACATATCACTAGGACTAAACTCTTTGCATAACTGCGGTTCAGTTTTACAGATAACTTGGAAAATGTTTTAAATTAGGCCCTTAATCGTCTGCGCAATGTTTAAATAAAAAATATTTCTGAGGAATCCTTAGTGAGGAAACCCCTTTTGCCATTCTTGTTTATAAGTTTCTGAATATCTTCTGTTTTATTCCTAAACTTGAAGCTTTGTCACCTGACAGTTTAATTTACTATTCAATTAAATACAGACGAGCTTTGGTTTCCTTATTGCTGTCTAGTGATGCGATAATAACGGTGTTCCACCAGTATGTACCTGTTGTACACAAAGGGAGAGCGTAATAAGGGATGTGCATACATAATTTTTAGCTTCATTTTCTGTTCCACCTCTTCTTCGGTAAAACATCTGGAAATATTTGGATTATTTCAAAAAAGTCATGGAAAATGAAGTCGTTACCGTTATCTCGGTAAATGCTATCAGTGCTTAAGCGAATTCTTGCGATCATCGAAAATATCGCCAAATCTAAATCCTGATATACATATCGGGACATCCCTTAATTTAAGCAGATACTTTTTAAGTTTGAAGCAGAAGTGCGACTCCAGCCAAAGTCCACTTGGCCGGTTTGTCCTTAGTCTTCAAATTGAACGTCCATACGTATGTCGCGCCCCTGGTTCTAGTCTTGTACAACGGACATTGGTACATATTCCTCAGATCCTGTTTGTCCTGTGTGATCGCCTTGACGTATATGACGGGCATCGCTGGGAAGAGTTCTTTCAATCTGGAATCCATGATGATACCAGCTTGCACGTCCCATTTTGCGCCTTCCATGTGCAAGCCGTGGATATAGGCTCCGTCCCTGGGGGCGCTCCTACAAAATAGAATCATTAAAATCGTTTGAACCGGTCTTTTGAAAAAACCACGTGAGTCCATTTTCTCAAACATGCTTTTTATTAAATGTACACCATGTGCACAAATTATTCTGTGAATATACAGGGTGTCCGCAAAGTTGGGGTTTTCCTTTACACGACGTGTAGATCTTGAAAACATGAGCAATTTTTCTTAGTACCATATACACCAATGTCTTAAGGGAACCGAGATAAAGGGCTCTGCAACATCAAAAATATCTGAATACCGTCCTGTAGCCGCGACCCGGGACATCACCGATTGGTACAAGGTCTCAACCCGACGGCAGAACTGGGTCGGGGTCAGTGTGTCAGGTCAGTATGCAACCTTCAACCGACGGTTACGGTCACGCATGTACAGGTAATCACGTAGACGAGAATCCCTCAACAAGCACTAGAGACGTGGCTATCAAAAACTAAAGTGTGGCAAACGCTGCGTGAAGAGGGGCTGTATCCGTTTCACGTCCAACGTGTACAAGCCCTTCAACCTGACGATTTTCCAGCAAGAGTGCGGTTTTGTGAGTGGTTGTTGCATCAACATGACAATAATCCGGACTTTTTGAAGTGCATATTGGTGACAGACGAATCTACGTTCACGCGTAATGGGGTGAATAACTTTCGCAACACTCATGTTTGGTCAGTAGAAAATCCGCACGCTGTCCGTCGGGCACATTTTCAACAAACATTTTCGGTGAATGTTTGGTCTGGCATGGTGAACGGTATGCTCATTGGACCATTTATTCTCCCAAATCGATTGGACGAGATGCAATACCTAGACTTTTTACGCAACATTTTGCCTTCCTTGTTAGAAGATGTACCATTAAGGGCCCTATTTCACCGGGACACCATGGCGGCGCAACCGGTCGTCGCTACCAACAAAACATATAGAGCTCTATGGAGAGTATCTCACTTGGTGTCCGCTTGGTTGCGCAACCAGTTTGGCGGAGCGACCAACACTACGTGTGCTCGAAAGATTACTGGCAGCTCCGCCAAGCTGGTCGCACCACCACTACTTCGTATTGGGCTCTATGGTGTTTCACTCACTCGGCCGCCAGTCGCGCTGCTAACGACGCGATAATTCTGAATATGTCAACTCATTTGCTTTTTAATTTGCAAACGTGCATGATGGATAATTTCGATACTGAAAAATTTATTATTGATATTCAAAATAGACCATCAATTTGGGATAGTTCCTCAGCAGATTACTCTAATAGAGATTTGAAGAAGAAATGTTGGGAAGAAATTGTAGATTTATATGGAGGAGAGGGGCAAACAGTTGAACAAAAAAAAGACTTAGGTAAGTAAGGAATATTATATTTTTATTAATTAATACAATTATTTTGCCATGAAAGTGGGTTTTCATTTACAAAATAATTCATGAAGTTATCTCGAGTTGTGGTAGCAGCACGTCCTCCTCTAGTAAAATTTCGCTGTGTTATAGTTTCAAAACCGGTTACTGTCAGAGTATCATCATATGAATACCCATCTCTAGCACGCACAAAATTATGCAAGACACAACATGTTCTCACAATTGATTTTGCTAATTCGGTGTGGACATTCAATGGTCTGTGGAAAATTCTCCATTTGTTGGTTAAAATTCCAAAAGTGCACTCGATGTAACGGCGCGCTCTCGACAGTCTGTAGTTGAAAATTTTTTTGTCGACGCTGAGGTTGTTTCCTCCAAATGGGCGCATGACATTTGTGCTCAACCCGAATGCTTCGTCGCCTACAAATACGTAAGGAAAAAGCGTTGTGCTATTTTCCGAAATTTGAAGGGGCTCTGGAATATTTAAAGTATTGCTCATGAGCTTCTTATAAAAGTCAGTTTCTTGGAATATTGCTGAATCACTACTTTTCCCATAGGCACCTACGTCTATGTACATAAAATTATAATTAGCGTCACATACAGCAAGCAGCACTATTGAAAAAAAGTGTTTATAGTTATAATATAATGAACCAGAATCAGCAGGTTGAATCAGTCTAATGTGCTTCCCATCGATACTACCCAGGCAGTGTGGAAAGTTCGCATGCTTTTCGAAACCATCTGCTGTTTTGATCCAGTCACTTGCAGAGGCTGGAAGTGATACACATGTCTGCAACTTATCCCAAATCACGGCACACACTTCTCTAATTATTGTGCTTAAAGTTGTTTGTCCTAGACGATAATTGTAATGCAATTCCCTCATTGTACATCCACTAGCGAAGTACCTGTAATTCAGAGAAATATATGTTTTATATAATATATAAATATATGTTTTTTTATTAATAAATAATTGATTGGTACTAAAATAAATCCCAAGAAAAAACACACCATAAGTTAAATTCAGAGAAATACTAACTACTAATCATTTCTTTTCAGGTTTGGTGTTGCAAAAAAGGTGGAAAAGTATAAGATCATGCTATGCTCGGGAAGTCAAAAGACAAAAAAATTTAAAGTCTGGTTCTGGAGCCACTAACCGCAAAAGCGAATACATATACTTTAAGCAGTTGCAGTTTCTACAAAAAGTAGTAGCTATCAGAGAAAAAGAAGATGACGAAGAAGAAAATTCGGAGAGCACTGAAGTACGTGAGCGTCCTAAAGAAAAAGCTACCATCAAACGTAAACGGCAATTGGCTGAAGATGATGATCCCTTTGTACGAGCTCTAAATAATTCTATTGAGCAGAGACAACGTGAGACATCAGAGCAGATACTACGTGAAACAGCAGAGACCGATGAAGATCGATTATTTCTGCTGTCATTGTTAAGCACACTAAAAAATCTGCCTGTTCAAGTTAAAATGGCTACCAAGATAAAGATGCTAACTTTGTTGAACGATGCGTCAGATTATTCTGGTTACAGGACGTTTGATTATGCTGATCGTTCATTTCGGCATACTTCACAAGCTAATTCAGGTGGTAGACTGGTTAGTCAAGGTAACTATCATCCTGGTTCTTCGACGCAACCGCGCACCACGAATTATCCGACTGAAACTATTACAAATAGTCCTGGATATAATTCTATGAATACAATAATGTATACAAGTTCTCCAAGCGATACACCTGATTCACTGGACTCGGAACCATATATGGAACTGTTTAACACTCAAAATTGTAGTAACTAACTCCAAAAAAATGTTCGTGAATTGTTTGTTCAGTTACATTCTTTAATAAAACTTACCTACTAAAAAAGTTCATTATTTGTTTTAACTTACCTTAATGTTACAAATAACTTTTCTTCGGGACTGACAGACTTTCTTAATATTGTATCTTGTTTCAATAAATCATATCTGCACAGAGTCAGTAACTCGTCAAAGGACCTCATGGACATTCTGACATAGTTAAAAAACTTATCTGGATATCTTCTCAGATCTTCGTATATGTTGATAAATTGTCCTTTCTTAGGACGATCGGCTAAGTAAGGATGAATCCACCACTGTTTTCTTTTTCTTTTTAACTTTCTTTTCCTTCGTATATACAGCAACAGTGCTAACTCTTCGACGTTCATTTTGATACTGTGGCCGTAGTCGGTGTCTCGGGTTTGGTAGCTTCAAGACACCACGGTTGTGCGACTGGTTGCGCCGCCATGGTGTCCCGGTGAAATAGGGCCCTAAGTGTAAGACAATCAATGTGGTTTCTGCGTCTGCTCGGTAGCGCTTCAGCTGATTTCATTTTCTGTTGGAGCGGTATGATTTCGGGCAGAGACGTACTTAGCCCTTCTCGTCAACTGGAGAGTGAGTACTTTTTCCTTTATTTTTTTTTACTTGGTCGCCCTCGTTTCACTACACATTACCTTTGTTATTTCAAAGGTAGTTGTTTCTGAAAAGGAAAACCCCAACTTTGCGGACACCCTGTAGAGATACCATGTATTTATAGACTCAAAATAAGTCGGTTGGACATGATTTACCTCTATGCAAAAGTGCTTCGTTTGTCCATTAGAGAGCATCAGTTTTCTTTTTACAACACCTTTTTCAGATATTTTTGGAAGCGATCGTTCGATTTATATGAAATTCGGAATTTATGTGTATATGTCCTAATATTTGACTTACAAAAAACCAGAAGAGAAGGGTAAAAACTACCTCCACCTCTACTAAATTATAGCAAATTTGTTCGCGACTGAATTTTTTATTTGAAAGACAATTTTCTTTACTTTATTTTTGTCTCTTATAAAAACAGGCGATCTCGCATAGTTTTCGAGAAAACAAAATTTTTCGGAGCTGTTTTTAAGTTTTTCTTTCTACATCAAGTGTTAAAATTATTGTGCCGTATTGTTATGCGTAGAAACGAAAATGGTTGTCATATAGAACACCTTTTATTTTATAATAAAATTGTAATAAGCAATATCACACTTGTTTATTTTCGTTAACTACACTTAAAGAATTAATATTATGCTTGGGAACCCTTTAATGCAACTTATTTTTTTCATCGAAAAGAAGAGACGACAAAAAATGAAGTAAATGTAATGATCTGTCAGATAAATACATTGAGACTCGTCGGGAATGTTGCCAAAAAATTCTGCTATAATTCCAAATTTCATTTAAATCGGACTGTCGGTTCTTAATCGCTTATTGCATGATTTTTTTATCTCCAATAGGAAAAATATATGAGGTAGATCAATCTACAAGTTAGATAAAAAAATAATTAAAAAAACATTTATTGAGGTTTTATTGAAAATTTTACAAAAAGGGGTATCTATTATACAGAGTGTCTCAGAAGTCGACGTCAAGCCGAAACCGGGTGATAGGCAAAGACATAACAGCTATCAGAAAAATATTAAACAAAAATTATGTATGTGTTTTGAAAATTATAGGTCTTTGAAAAAAATATAGAAATTTCACACCCTACGGCAGTCTGTGAACTCCTGTTACTACAAATATTAACTTTTTTTGGATTTTATTTTTACAATGTAATGATGAATAATGCATCTTCAAACTGGTGTCTCAACCTTACTGCCAACTTTTCTCGTTCAGGAAAAATTGCCACTTATTTCCCAACCAAGTATTCCAAAGTAAAACGTTTGTGACACATCCATACGTTTGTGATAGGTACAATTTTTGAAACTAAATATCAATTTCATTAAAACAAATACCATTTACCTGGTACGATTCATATGAATATTTAACATCCACCACCTTCTTGGTCGTACTTTTCGTTTTATCTGACTTTTTTTTGGTTTTATAATAAAAATAGCTTAAGCCAAATGCTACGGCAGACACAAGTTCGACGTCCGTCATGTTTGCCTGTTGCCTTTTCAGTGACGCACCCGCAAACGAGTGGACGGCGACGTTTGCTTCTTCAAAAAAAAGGCAAGCCTTTGTAGGGGTTTGGATTTTGCGGCAAATGGCAAGCGTGCGATTCCAGCATAAAGTGTCCATTGCGTCAGGTAAATGTAGTTCAGATTCTGCGCAAGTGGTATTTCTTTCTCTTAGGCATCTCCCTGTTGCTTTCGTTAGGAACGTAAAACGTAATCAATTCCAGTTTTGACAGTTCAGACAGAAAGCAGAAATGATGGTTAAGATTATAAACCAACAAAGCAGGTACATTTGGTAATAAATACTGTCCTTACCGACAGTATTGGGTTCATACAAATATACTAAGTGACATATAAATCCGAACATCCAGTTTAAATGGTTTTATTTTAATAAAATTTTGTATAAGTACTTAGTGAAGCATAATAAGTAAATGATAAAAATTTCAAAATGATTGCACTGCTTTAAAGCCCTTTGACCTTTAATAATGTGTGGATGCACCCTGATGTGCTACGCATTCTCCAACGCGCCTAGGCATGCTTCTGATCAGGTGGTCAATGTCCTCCTGTGATATCTCATTCCGGGCAACCATCAACTCCTCTCGAAGTGCTTCTAGAGTCTGAGGAGGACGTTGCAAATTGACCAATCTCCTACCCATCATATCCCACACGTGCTCAATTGGGGATAAGTCGGGAGATCTTGGTGGCCATGGTAACAATATGACATCATTATGTTGAAAGAAGTCTATTGTGACTCGTGCAACATGTGGTCGGGCATTATCTTGTTGGAAAGTTGGATCTGCCAGGGTGTCAAGATAGGGTAAAAGATGGGGTTCTAGAACTTCGTGGATATAACGCTGCGCGTTCCTGTTACCTCTGATAAAGATTAAAGGTGACCTGGAACCATAAGCTATAGCACCCCAAACCATAACTGCAACAGTGTGATGAAAATGTCTTTCAACAAAATACTGTGGATTCCTCCTTTCACGCACAGTTTATCCTCCTGTTTCCACTCTCCTTGGATCTTGAACAGCGTTGGTTGGTTTCAAGAAACGAACTGAACGTGAATCGTAACCGTGTGAATAGTTCACCACCCTGGCTGATGTTACTCCCCATTCAAACCAAGAGTCACGAAACGCAACTGAAAACGTCCCATGCTGTCGTCTTCTTACCCTGTGAGAACGTAGCTTTACGGTCGTAAAATCATCCTAAAGTTTCGTGGGATTGAATTTGAGGTAGAAAATGGATTGCTTGGGAACTCGTGTGGATTCTCGTCTATTCCGTCTTACCGTATCCGCTGACCGACAGGGCTATTACGTAAAAAACCTATATAATGTAAATAAATCGGTAAAATGTAAACTTCTGCACTTGGTAATCGCTAGTATGTCGCCTAGTACAAACTACAATTGAGCATGAGCTAGTCCAAAGAAAACTTACATTATGTAAAAAAACCTACATAATGTTATGAAACATCGACATAATGTCACTTTTTAAGTTATGTAATACGGGTTCGGGCCTTTGCCGGTTTGAAGAGGGACCCCAAAATGCCCAAATATCAAACAAAAAAGTCTGAGCACCACCAACAACGGATTATGGCCTCAGATTTCGTTCTGAACCGAGACTCCTTCAACCGCATGCCTTGAGCTTCCTATATCCCCACATAGCTCAGGACGCCTCTGATACAAACGTTAAATTGTCGTCGGATTCGGAATCTAAGCTCTCGATTTATCTATAAAAGGAGGAGAGTGGCAGTAGCTGCGTTATGTTTTGCTCATCTCTTCCTTTTCAGTACCAGAGTATAACTTACGTAAAATCTTCCTTTTGTTTCTTGGTGACGTCACACTGCAAGCACATCTTGTCAAGCGGTAGCTCGTTTCTTCTAGCAGTGCTCTGCATTATTGCAGTAAGCAGTGACTGCGGATTGAAGAAACCTCCTAACCAAACAGAGGCTGGTAACTAAAAATAAATTAATTTCTTATTAGTAATACATATACAACTCAAGCATCGTAGGGAGTATAAATGGCAACACTGATTACCCTAGCGACAAAAGTTGAGGGGTATCACACCTTTGTTACTTAACTGCAACTAGTAGTAGTAGTAGAAAGATTTATTTAGCACATTTGGATACATAAACAGAATAATTGTAAATAACTTAGAACTAGTAAATTCAAGCCATATGATGTATGATGTAAATGCTGGGCAACCTATAATTGTAGATTTAACAAGTGATTTCTCAATTTTACTTTAAATTTTGTCAAAGTTTTCTGGTCTTTTATCCTGAGTATAATTTATTATATTCAATCAACCCTTGATGGAATACAGATTTGTAGCATATGTTATACTTTTTGGTCATTAAATGGAAGTCATCTTTATTGGAGCATATTTATCTTTATTTAGTATTATTCTCATGCACTTATTTTGTAAAATTTGCAGTCTTTCAAAAATGGAATTATTAGCTAAATATAGAATAGTCGAACAGTACAAGAAATTTGGAAGATTGATGGTATTATCGATAATTTTTCTACTATATGAACTCAGACATCCAGAAACTCTCGATAAATATCCCACTTTACTACTAATCTTATTTATAACTTTTTCATAATGAATATCAAAAATTAATCGAGAGTCAACAAAAACCCCCAGGTATTTAAAATTTTCGACGAATTCAATATCTTCACCATCAATATTCAGTTGAACATTTGTACATTGTGTTTTTCCGATTAACAAGGCCTTCGTTTTACTTGTATTTAAATTTAGTCTGTTAGATGCTAACCATTTTGAGCCAAGTTTCAAGTCTTCATTTATATAAGAGATACCAGTCTGAATATTTTTAGTACTTATACAGGGTGTCCCAGAAGACGACGTCAAGCCGAAACCGGGTGATAGGCAAAGATATAACAGCTATCAGAAAAATATTTAAAAAAAATTTATGCATGTGTTTTGAAAATTATAGGTCTTTGAAAAAGATATAGAAATTTCACACCCTACGGCAGTCTGTCAACTCCTGTTACTACAAATATTAACTTTTTTTGGATTTTATTTTTACAATGTAATGATGAATAATGCATCTTCAAACTGGTGTCTCAACCTTACTGCCAAATTTTCTCGTTCAGGAAAAATTGCCATTTATTTCCCAACCAAGTATTCCAAAGTAAAACTATGCTCAACTTTAACTGGCTGTACTGGAAAAAAATGTACTACGAGAGTTTGGCAAGTAACCTTAAAAGTTGGCGCATTTAATAACGATTCCAAAATGGTATAACACTTAGAAGATTACTCGTTAACTTATGCACAATTTTTATTTGAAAAAAAACTGATGAAAAATTTTCAAAATTTCCTAATTAAACAGCAAATGCTCAAACTGTTTTCCTTCAGCCGCAATACACGTTCGACATCTTCTTAAAAAAGATCGGGTTATTAAACGAGCGAATCTACGGTTATTAACAAACTCAGCTGCTTCCAATAGTCTTTGCCGTAGCTCAGCTACATTTTGAATCGGCTTGAAATACACTTTTTCTTTTACAGTTCCCCAGTAAAAAAATCTAAAGGATTCAAATCAGGAGATCGGGCTGGCCACGGTATTGTACCAGACCGCCTTATCCATCTGCCTGGAAAGTTTTGATCGAGATACTCTCTCACTGAGAGTGCATAGTGCGCTGGGCGGCCATCATGCTGAAACCACATGTCCCTGTAAATACTCAGTGGCACGTCCACCAATAAATTTTGTACATGATTTTTCAAAAAATCCAAATAAACTTCAGCAGTCAAAGTCTCTGGAACTCAAACGGACCGATTATTTTACCATTTAAAATTCCTGTCCAATGGTTTATCTTGAAGCGATATTGAGATTTATCTTCTCTCATCAAATGTGGGTTTGCTACGTGCCACTCGTATGAGTTATGCAGGTTCATGTACCCATCTTTCTTAAATGTGGTCTCATCCAACCATAACATTTTTTCAAAGAACTGTGGATCTTTCCTGTGTCTTTCTAACATTGTGCGACAAAAAGCAACTCGGGGCTCATAATCCCGGGACAGGAGAGGTTGAACACGCTGTATGTGGTATGGATGAAGCACATCACTTACTTGTTATTGCACACTTTGATACCGAACAGTACTCCTTCGTTTACTGTGCATCTTTACACGTTCGTGCTTGTTGATTTCGTACTGTTACTAATTTTGGATTCGTGAACTGGACTGTTGATCGCTTGTGATTTGGATTTGGACTGTTTAATTGCTCTTCAAAACAACATTTGCTTTCCTTAGAATATCTTTGATAGTGTGATTGTGCAGTGCCGCTATGTCCGTGTACACCGTACAAGAATATGCTAACATGCACCTCATTTATGGGGAATGCAGATGCAACGCTAGTGCTGCAGCGAGACTCTACTGTGAGAGGTACCCGAATGCAGCTTGTCATCCAGATCATCGAGTGTTCACAAAGGTGCACCGCTTACTGTTCTCAGAGGGAAAAATACCAAACAAATCACACGGTGAGGGAAGATATTTCCTTCCTTACGAAGACGTGGTGCTAGGAGCTGTCGAAGAAGACCCGAGTACTTCAGTGCGTGCAATAGAACTAAAAACAGGTGTGCCCAAAAGTACAGCCCATAGAATCTTGCAAAAAACGTGCTCCATCCATACCACGTACAGCGTGTTCAAGCTCTTCTGCCCCGGGATTATGAGCACCGAGTTGCTTTTTGTCGCACAATGTTAGAAAGACACAGGGAAGATCCACGGTTCTTTGAAAACATTTTATGGTCAGATGAGACCACATTTAAGAAAGATGGGTACATGAACCTGCATAACTTACACGAGTGGCACGAAGCAAACCCACATTTGATGAGAGAAGATAAATCTCAATATCGTTTCAAGATAAACCATTGGACAGGAATTTTAAATGGTAAAATAATCGGTCTGTTTGAGTTCCCAGAGACTTTGACTGCTGAGGTTTATTTAAGTTTTTTGCAAAATCATTTAGAAAATTTATTGGAGGACGTGCCACTGAGTATTTACAGGGACATGTGGTTTCAGCATGATGGCTGCCCAGCGCGCTATGCACTCTCAGCGAGAGAGTATCTCGATCAAAACTTTCCAGGCAGATGGATAAGGCGATCTGGTACAATACCGTGGGCAGCCCGGTCACCAGATTTGAATCCGTTAGATTTTCTTTTACTGGGGAACTGTAAAAGAAAAAGTGTATTTCAAGCCGATTCAAAATGTAGCTGAGCTACGGCAAAGACTATTGGAAGCAGCTTAGTTTGTTAATAACCGTGGATTCGCTCGTTTAATAACCCGATCTTTTTTAAGATGTCGAGCGTGTATTGCGGCTGAAGGAAAACAGTTTGAGCATTTGCTGTAAAGGTAAATCATCATCAGCAGCATTTTGACGCCCACTGTTGTGCAAACAGTTATCCTTAAGGGTCCTTGTGCGTTTTCATAATCGCTGTTTAATTAGGAAATTTTTAAAAATTTTCATCAGTTTTTCTTCAAATAAAAATTGTGCATAAGTTAACGACTAATCTTCTAAGTGTTATACCATTTTGGAATCCTTATTAAATGCGCCAACTTTTATATTATTTAGTTAGTTAGTATATATATAGTTCTTAAGGGCCGTATCGTCAGTCGTTCCAACAATTGTAGGACGCCTTTATGGTCTCCTTGATTTTCGTAGTCTTTTCTCTCCTTCAGCTATTCTGGGCTATTTCTATATTTCTACTGTTCCGTGTCAGCGTCAGCGCTCTCCTATTATGAGGCTATGCTTTCTTTTTGAATTGTAGGAAATTTATAACAGATGATATAAATCAAAAACATGAACAACATGAATGACCTCAAAATAGAACGCTGACACGGAACAGTAGAAAACTATGAAAATCAAGGAGGCCATGAAGGCGTCCTACAATTGAAAAAACGACTGACGTTACGGCCCTAACGTATAGTCCATATAGTATCCTACGAATCTGCAACCCACAGACCATGCTTGCGAAATTCTGGTTGCAGTACTTTAGGTAAATACCAGCAGCAGCGTCATTCCTCCGCAGGCTGGGCTCACGTCGTGTGGGCTATGTAAACAATGTAGTACATAGTGCGAAGTTCATATCTTTCAAATTACGATTTTTGATTTAATAAGCATATCTTCCGTTTTAGCAAACCACTAAACGCTGGACGCGTAGCACTAAGCAATGTTGCCATTTACTCTAATGTAGAATGCTTAAGCTTCTTGAGATGCATAGCATCAATCATAACATTCTCTATTGTTAACATAATTTATGTAGCAAAATAAAATAATTTGTAAGGTACCACAAAGTCAGTAGACCAAGTTTCGAGCTCCCTGATCCTCAAAAGCAAGTCCACAAACCAAGATGTTAGTCCTAGAAGTGAAGGATAAGCTCTAGCTGCCCAAACTGGAGGCACTTGGTCCAAAAACAGAGCATTTTCTAAATCTTCCATGTCTGAGGTTATTGTCAGTTCTCCCTTAATGCCTAATTCCAGCTCTTTTAGAGATCTACAAAACATAACCTCTATTTTTTACGATTTCAAGAAAATGCCACATATACAGGGTGACTTCGAAGTTGAGTCATTTATTTTAACAGTGAGTAGATCTGATCAAAAGAAATGTTTTTTTCCTTTACCATTTTTCTGGTAAAATTAAAGTAACAAAGTTATAGCCCTTTAGAAGTTTGAGTACCGCCCTGTCTCAATCATAATATTGTGTGCTCGTGTTTGGCAACAACGGATATAATCCGCCTTATCGGTTCATCGCATCGGAAACAAAAAAGCGAAAGAATTTGGAACGATGTTTTTACAATTATTTTATTCCGTTGTATACAGTCAGTGTCAGTCGGTAACGCGTGAGTGAATAGTGGTGTCTGTTGCGTGGCTCAAACGAAATCAAAAATGGCACATGTTTATGCGGATCGGTTTCCCAATCGAGTGCAACCAACCCCTCGTGCCTTTGTTAATGTAGTACAACGGGCTCGTGAATCAGGATGTCTTAAGACCTCACAGGCGACGGCATGACGGTGCTCCAAGACCTCACGATCAAATACAGGTCCGCACTGAAATACTTGTCGGGAGGATACTTTATAAAACAAGGTAAAAATTTTTTTTTATTTTTTTTTTATTTTTACACACATATTTTGGTTTATCTTCCTTCTACAATCATCTGAAAATTAATGACTCAACTTCAAAGTCACCCTGTATATAGAGAAATCGAAATATCACTGACGAGGTAATGTGTACGATAGAGAAGCGCGAGAGGCGTATCTAATATACGTATTGAACGCTTACGCGCTTCTATCTCGTACACATTATGACGTCACTCTGATATGGATTTCTCTGTATGCTTTCAGCATATCTGTCAGTATCTATCTTTGTTGCGGCTCATCAGTACGATGGCATAGACACAAAGTTGAGACTTCATGCCTATCATGTGTTTTAAACAATAATAATTGAAAGTACCTTCTTATTTCTCCAGTTAAGAAGTTCATCCTTTCACATTCTTGAAATGCTACAATGACGTATGGAGTACGTTCTTCTACTTTCCCCATAATTTCGGTCATGTTGAATTCCTCTGGCAACTTTTCCACCATTTCATCTATCATCTGTTTCACCTGAAGGAAAAAGCGCGTAAGCTCCATAGTAAATTTTGTTAATGTAAGTGTGAGATCATAAATATATATATATATAATTTGAGACGTGGTCATTGTCGTCCAGACCAGTTAGGTGAAAAATTAAAGCTTCCGCCTTTTGTTGGGTACTTCGACAAAAATTTTCTTCTTTTATTCTCTCTAGTTTTCAATGGTCTTTGCCATCATCATCAGGAGATGCAATTACATTGATAAGAGTAGCAACAATAGTGTAAAATGAACTTAAATTAACTTACAGTAGTATGTGAGGATGTTGCTAATTGTTGTTTACGTTCAGGATGAGGGAAACACCTAGTAACATGGTGAAAGCTGAATAAATGGTACAATGGTCAAAATTATATAAAATACACACAGCTGTATGACAAGAACAAGTTAAAAACAGATTAAACATTTTTAGAACATGAAAGCAATCATCAAGTGGCTTCACGATGTAATGCTTTCATGTTATAAAAATTTTTAATCTGTTTTTAACTTGTTCTTGTCATACAGCTGTGTGTATTTTATATGATTTTGACCATTGTACCATTTATCCAGCTTTCACCATGTTACTGGGTGTTTCCTTCATCCTGAACGTAAACAACAATTAGCAACATCCTCACATACTACTGTAAGTTAATTTAAATTCATTTTACACTGTTGTTGCTACTGTTATCAATGTAATTGCAGCTCCTGATGATGATGGCAAAGACCATTGAAAGCTAGAGAGAATAAAAAAAGTATAAAGAGTCCTCCTTGCTTAAATTTTTGTCGAAGTACCCAACAAAAGGCGGAACCTTTAATTTATATATACAGGGTGGCCAAACACGTGACGTCATAAAAAAAAAATTAGATTCCCCACATCGAGAGGAACCCAAATCACCCCCATATATATGGTCCGATTTTGTTTAGTTTAGGAGTTATGATTTTTTTTCGGATTTTTCGAGAATTTTTGAGTTCTGTGTTTATTTTTACCATAACTTCGTTAATAATTGTGATAAATGCCTGCTTTTTTCACGATTATGTAGCTAACACCTAAGGCTTAACTATCATATAATCATTCAAGTCATGTAACTAATACTACTTTTTAATTTTTTTCAAAATCTTCGAACATAACAAAAAAGTAAAAAAGTGCAACAACTTTGAACGTTTATAAAAAATTGAAAAAACATGTTCTTACTATTCGTAAGTATCTTAAAAACTTCCTTACGGTATCAGCTATTTACCGTAAAAATTTCATCAACCTAGCTTTACTACATGCTACCGTAATTGTGGCTCAAATAGAACCGAACCCAAAATTGGATAACCCTCTGCTCAATAGAAATTGCTAGTTTCGGAAAAAAAATTTGCAAAAACCACAAAAACACGTTTGATTTTTACTGAACAGCAGATTATTATTCATTTATGTTATTTACAAGAGGTTTTCAAAATGTCTGCCTCTAACAGAAATGCACAGTGTACACCTACGTATGAAATTTTGTTTTAAATCTCTAAATGCTTGTGTTTTGTTTTTCAACACATGTGTCGCTTCTTGAATTTTGTTCCTCAATGAATTTTCATTTGCACATTCTTGGGCGAATGTTATGTCTTTAAAATATCCCCAAACAAAAAAATCAATGGGGTTGAGGTCAGGGGAGCGTGGAGGCCATCGTATCGGTCCGTTTCGTCCGATCCATCTGTCTGGGAACCTTTCGTTTAAGTAGTTTCGCACGATCGTTGCGTTGTGGCATGGTGCACCATCATTCTGGAACACCATGTTCCGTCTGGCTTCCAGGCTTGAATCTTCCAGCAATAATGGTAGGCTATTTTCAAGGAAGCTTTTGTAGGCTACCGAATCCAACCTTGACGGCAGTTCAAATGGACCGATAAATTCCATATTGAATATTCCTGACCACATGTTCACACTAAAACGGTGTTGAAATGTCGACGGCCTTGACTGGTGGGGGTTTTCAACAGCCCAAGTATGTTAATTATGGATATTGAATATCCCTGTTCTTTCAAAACGTGACTCGTCAGTCCATAAAATTTTATCAAAAAAAACGGGATCCTCTCGTTGTCTTCGCAGCATTGTCTCGCAGAAATCCACTCTTAACTGGTAATCTGAAGGCATCAACGCTTGAACTCTTTGAACATGATAGGCATGATAACCTTCTTCATGAAGAATATTTTGTATCGATGTTCGTGGTATTCTAAGGTTTTGTGCCATAGATCTCGTACTCGTTGAGGGATTCCGGCTAATTTCTTCAAGTACTACTTCTCTGCGATCCGGATCAGCTGTAGGATATCCTTCATTGCTTCCTCGTCCTGGAATGCTGCCTGCCATGAAAGTGTTATGTGTGTTAATAAAAACACGGTGGTCTGGGTAATGCTCAGGTTGTGGTCCGCCTCGGCGTATAAGTTGTTCCCGGTACAGCTGAGCTGCTAAAGCGCCGTTGCCTTGAGCAACGCCATAATAATAATGCATCGACATTTCAACACCGTTTTAGTGTGAACATGTGGTCAGGAATATTCAATATGGAATTTATCGGTCCATTTGAACTGCCGTCAAGGTTGGATTCGGTAGCCTACAAAAGCTTCCTTGAAAATAGCCTACCATTATTGCTGGAAGATTCAAGCCTGGAAGCCAGACGGAACATGGTGTTCCAGAATGATGGTGCACCATGCCACAACGCAACGATCGTGCGAAACTACTTAAACGAAAGGTTCCCAGACAGATGGATCGGACGAAACGGACCGATACGATGGCCTCCACGCTCCCCTGACCTCAACCCCATTGATTTTTTTGTTTGGGGATATTTTAAAGACATAACAGTCGCCCAAGAATGTGCAAATGAAAATTCATTGAGGAACAAAATTCAAGAAGCGACACATGTGTTGAAAAACAACACACAAGCATTTAGAGATTTAAAACAAAATTTCATACGTAGGTGTACACTGTGCATTTCTGTTAGAGGCAGACATTTTGAAAACCTCTTGTAAATAACATAAATGAATAATAATCTGCTGTTCAGTAAAAATCAAACGTGTTTTTGTGGTTTTTGCAAATTTTTTTTCCGAAACTAACAATTTCTATTGAGCAGAGGGTTATCCAATTTCGGGTTCGGTTCTATTTGAGCCACAATTACGGTAGCATGTAGTAAAGCTAGGTTGATGAAATTTTTACGGTAAATAGCTGATACCGTAAGGAAGTTTTTAAGATACTTACGAATAGTAAGAACATGTTTTTTCAATTTTTTATAAACGTTCAAAGTTGTTGCACTTTTTTACTTTTTTGTTATGTTCGAAGATTTTGAAAAAAATTAAAAAGTAGTATTAGTTACATGACTTGAATGATTATATGATAGTTAAGCCTTAGGTCTTAGCTACATAATCGTGAAAAAAGCAGGCATTTATCATAATTATTAACGAAGTTATGGTAAAAATAAACACAGAACTCAAAAATTCTCGAAAAATCCGAAAAAAAATCATAACTCCTAAACTAAACAAAATCGGACCATATATATGGGCATGATTTGGGTTCCTCTCGATGTGGGGAATCTAATTTTTTTTTATGACGTCACGTGTTTGGCCACCCTGTATATATATATATATATATATAATACTCTTAAAACGAGTTTCACCATATATCCATAATGTCAACTTTGTATATAACCTAAGAGTGGATTCAAAATCAACTTGAAAATGATTTAAAGCCATCTATACTTGGATTGCTCAATTTACTTTGTCCTCCCTGGTCACCGTAGCACCGCCAGTAGCTCCTCCATCTCTTGGTTGCATTTCGAAAACGGTCCTAAACAAGTTATCAGCGGTAGTCGTCAAAAAACCAATCTCCGCATTAGGATGCAAGCCATACAACACTGGTGATTCCGGAGGCATCATATCGTCTATGTACTGGTGGTAACCTTGGTAGTCTGTGTTAGGCGGTGCCATGAAGCCTGGAGCTAGATGCAGTTCACCATCAACCTGAAACAAAAAATAACATACTTGTGAATTTTCTAGTAAATACAGTATTTTTTTGTTCGGGTTCGAAGAACCCTGACTTAACCACGCTGTACAGGTGAAACAGTATCACCAGTTGCTATAAATGACCAATTTGCATTGGAAGACTGAGATCACGCGACCTCACGTCGAGAAACATCGACTGCCATCTACCAGCTTTGGAGAAGACTCGAGTTCTAGAACGCTTCTGGATTCGTCGATTTGAACATAAATACACGCACAATGGGCAGAGGCAGGCAGAGTCAATCGACAGCGCATGATGAGTCCGCATTGCGAAATGCGATAGTCCAGTTGACATAGTAATAAAATTGTGAAAAATTAGTTGCAAGTGTTGTAACAAATTAGTGTGAGAGTTATAAATTAGACTTGAAATGGTGAAATCAATATTAGTGCTTTCGCTACAATATGATTTATCTACTTACCAGATCTGGTTGTAAAAGTTCTTCCAAATACGAAATACACAACCTCCTATCCCAGTCGTCAGTTATATGACCTCCATACATGATTTCACCGAACAGGAATCTAAGGTCTTCCCACGGGACTTTGGTATTAGCCTCCAGGTAATTGTAGAGGACAAAAACACTGATCGTTAGGTCACCGACGTTGAAAGGATATATTTTGTTCCAACCTTGTGGGCCGAATTTTCTTCGTTCTGCTACCACAGCGTGGAAATAACAGAGAGAGAAGAGTATGACTTTGAATTCGGCTTCTTTGCTGCATTGCTCCAACGTTTCTTGATTAAAGTTTGATAGGGCTTTGTGGAGGTTCGCTTTGATCCCTGTAAAGATGAGACGGACATTGAAAAAGGCACTATAGGAGCTTTTCTATGTTCTTAAAAATAATTCTGGGTTCGGAACCCCTCTGTGTATCTTCGCCTAGATTTCATGCAAGAACTTTTTAACACTTTTATCAGTTGATCTTTCCAAGTTTCTCCATGCAAAGGTCCCCATACAAAACATATGCAAAATTAAGTTTGCCGATTTGATGGTTTCAAATGGCGACTAAAGTGGATAGCTTGGCGATTGGCTAGTTTAGTGGCGTCCAATATCCAGAAAATTGGCGATTTTTAACATTTCTGACGCCAATTAATTTGTAATCCATTTTCGCTGATATGTGTTAGATTGATGAAACATGAAACGAAGACCAGCGGAAGTTCTGTGCTCTAAGCATAATGGCGTAAGGCGTAAGGTGCCGTATTCCAAGCATATCAACGACATCCCATCCTAACACTTTTTTGACTCAGTGTTGCTAGATTTACGATTATTGCTGTTTTTGTACGATAATCAGAAGAGAGAGAGAGGGAGAGCCCCCCAAATACTCAGAAAAGAATATTATTGTCCCCCTGTTCTTCAATTTTCAATAGTCGGAGGCAGCAGCGGTGGCCGCAGTAGTAGACTCTTCGGTCTCCTGATCAGTCGCCGTGCGCTGTGCGAGTTCGAGTCCCGTCCCAGGAGAAATGTTTCTCTTGGCTATGGATGTTGTGATTGTCCGTAGGTGGTAGACGGTCTCTGACTGTCGAACGCGGAGGTACCACCCGGCAGATCCCGTAGGCGGTGCCAGAATGTGTGCATGTTGCATGCACACGTGTTCCCTCGCTCCGTGTGGCGTCCCCCCCCTTTCCCTATATATATATATATATATATATATAACTTGAGACGTGGTCATTGTCGTCTAGACCAGTTAGGTGAAAAATTAAAGCTTCCGCCTTTTGTTGGGTACTTCGACAAAATTTAAGCAAAGAGGACTCTTTATACTTTTTTAATTCTCTCTAGCTTTCAATGGACTTTGCAAATCATTACCAGGAGCTGCAATTACAATGATAACAGTAGCAACAAAAGTGTAAAATGAATTTAAATTGACTCGACTTACAGTAGTATGTGAGGATGTTGCTAATTGTTGTTTACGTATAGGATAAGGGAAACGTCCAGTAACATGGTGAGAGCTGGATAGATGGTACAATGGTCAAAATTATATAAAATATGACAAGAACAAGTTAAAAACAGATTAAAAATTATTTAAAAAACAGAGCAATTACATCGTGAAGCCACTTGATGATTGCACAAAATGGTGGTCATGGAATAATGAGTGAGATGAACCCTTTGACAGAAGGCCGAAGGTTGTCAATGTCTGTGTTGAAAGATGGAACGAATCGTGGGCGTGTGCCAAACGTTGCCAAATCACTTCAGATGATGTGATTTTCAGAATGTTATGTAAGAAATTGTTAAACCGACCAGAGGCAGTTGAATAAACTATATTTTAATTAATGGGAATCTAAAATTAACAATTATTAATAAATCGTGAGAAGAAAATTATTATATTTTGAGTGGAATGAAATTTACTGGTGGAATCGGCCAAAACACAGATTCTATTTATGGTTGTGAAGAGTCGAAATTTGGGGAGATATGTAAGTTCTCCAATTTTTCGCAGTTTAGCAAATATGAGTAAATGACACTCAGTTGTTTAACATCTGTCTTTTTGTTGATACAGTTGTTATTCATGAAAATGTGGGACATTTCCAGGAATAAACGTTTGGAAAGATGTTTTTCTTTATCAAGAACTTTGATACTTGTGTAATTCATAGAATGCCCTGTTGTGTTAACATGAGATGCTAGAGCGCATCTTTCAGGATGAAGCCTAGCATCACTTTTGTGTGACGTAATCCTTCCTTTAAGAGATCTGGAGGTCTGACCTATGTATATTTGGTTGCAGTGCGGACCTGTATTTGATCGTGAGGTCTTGGAGCACCGGCATGCCCTCCCCTGTGAGGTCTTAAGTCACCTGATTCACGAGCCCGTTGTACTACATTAACAAAGGCACGAGGGGTTGGTTGCACTCGATTGGGAAACCGATCCGCATAAATATGTGCCATTTTTTATTTCGTTTGAGCCACGTAGCAAACACCACTATTCACTCACGCGTTACCGACTGACACATTGACTGAATAAAAACATCGTGATCAGCGTTTCAAATTCTTTCGCTTTTTTGTTTCCGATTCGATGAACCGATAAGGCGGAGTATATCCGTTGTTGCCAAACACGAGCACATAATATTATTATTGAGACAGGGCGGTACTCAAACTTCTAAAGGGCTATAACTTTGTTACTTTAATTTTACCACAAAAATGTTAAAGGAAAAAAACATTTCTTTTGATCAGATCTACTCACTGTTAAAATAAATGACTCAACTTCGAAGTTGAAGCCACTTGATGATTGCACATCAAGTGGCTTCACGATGTAATGCTCTAATTTTTTAAATAATTTTTAATCTGTTTTTAACTTGTTCTTGTCATATTTTATATAAGTTTGACTACTGTACAATCTATCCAGCTCTCACCATGTTACTGGACGTTTCCCTCATCCTATACGTAAACAACAATTAGCAACATCCTCACATACTACTCTCCTGATGATGATGGCAAAGTCCATTGAAAGCTAGAGAGAATTAAAAAAAGTATAAAGAGTCCTCTTTGCTTAAATTTTGTCGAAGTACCCAACAAAAGGCGGAAGCTTTAATTTTTCACCTAACTGGTCTAGACGACAATGACCACGTCTCAAAAAAAAAAAAAAAAAATATATATATATATATATAGCCCCACGGTACCCAATGAGTGCTTAGCCTTAGGCCTTCGTGTTAGTTAGAGTATAAAAAAAAGTTAGAGTATAAACAGATTACACTAATAACCCCCAATCCTCACCCCCTGCTTTTCAATGAATTGTTTAAATTGTTTATTATTATATAGTATTATTATTATGCCTAACTCCCTCCTCACCCCTGCTCTTCAGTTATCGTCAACAGGCAGGTTCCTATTCCCCCCCCCCCCCTGATGACAAATAATCCATGCCATTCTTGTCTAACTTGGCGTTTTATGATTAGACTCATGGAGGCTGATTCTAAATAAGTTTCGACCGTTGAAATTGCCTTGTGGCGATATACTTGATTCGCTGTGATTTTGTCGTCTGATTATATTGATCTTCTATATTCAAAGTATCATGGCAATGTCAAAATTATCATAGCAAATCAAGCGTATCGACACAAGGCGTCACCGAAATCAATTTCGACTGTCGAAACTCATTGAGAATCAGGCCTCTGGTTAATTCTCATTTTAAGGATTTCTGGCGATTTTCTTATCAAAACTGGGCGACCAACATGACTGAAAACCTGGCAACCCTAGCGTTAAACGTGAAGAGGGTATGCAGACAAGGATTTACTCACGTTTTAGAAACTTAATAAAGTATGGCCTAGAATGGATACTTTATTGTTGTTGCTGTTTATAAAAATAGCGAGGATTTACTGGATGATTATTTTATTTTTCATATTATTTATTTATATATACTAAGTGACATATATATCCGAACACCCAGTTTAAAAGTTATAAAATTTTGTATAAGTACTTAATGAAGCATAATAAGTAAATGATAAAAATTTCAAAATGATTGCACTGCTTTAAAGCCCTTTGACCTTTAATAATGTGTGGATGCACCCTGATCAGGTGATCAATGTCCTCCTGTGGTATCTCATTCCAGGCAACCACCAACTCCTCTCGAAGTGCTTCTAGAGTCTGAGGAGGACGTTGCAAATTGAGCAATCTCCTACCCATCATATCCTACACGTGCTCAATTGGGGATAAGTCGGGAGATCTTGGTGGCCATGGTAACAATGTGACATCATTATGTTGAAAGAAGTCTATTGTGACTCTTGCAACATGTGGTCGGGCATTATCTTGTTGGAAAGTTGGATCTGCCAGGGTGTCAAGATAGGGTAAATGATGGGGTTCTAGAACTTCGTGGATATAACGCTGCGCGTTCATGTTACCTCTGATGAAGATAAAGGTGACCTGGAACCATAACCTATAGCACCCCAAACCATAACTCCAACAGTGTGTTGAACATGTCTTTCAACAAAAAACTGTGGATTCCTCATTTCACCACGTCGCTTTCTAACCCTGGCACGACCATTGTGCATGCCTAAAAAAAATCGAGACTCGTCACCAAAGACAATACTGTTGCATTTCTGATCCTAGAGTGACCGTTGTCTGCACCACTCAAGGCGATTACGTCGGTGTTCTCGAGTTAAAGGGAGAACTCAGTGTGGCCGGTATGAAAACAAGCCAAAACTTCTCATTCGTCGGTAAACACTTCGCATGCCAATAGGTCTTCCGTGTTCTGCAAACTATTCATTTGCAATGGACCTGGTAGTGGAGAAACGGCCCCTTAAGGCCAATAATCTTAGGCGGCGATCTTCACGGTCTGTTGTTCTACGGCGGCGTCCAGTGCCCCTTGCTCTTTGCGTACGGCCTTCTCGAAGCCATGCCTGACAACACCTAACCACAGTGTCTACACTTCTTTGCACTCTAACTGCAATTGCCAGAAAAGAAAGTCCAGCTTCCCGAAGTCCCACTATACGGCCCCTATCAAACTCAATCAGTTGACGAAATCGTACAGGTCTCCGTACTCTAGGCATCGTAACCGATCGTAAGGGATGTCAAGAACCAAAATCCACCAACGTTGATTCTTTACTGCGGCTGAAATATTCATTTTTAGAGGGTTAGTGAATTAAAAAAAAGCAGTATAAAAACCGGAATGTCCAACTGATAAGGCTGAAAATTTTTTCACTTGTTATTTACAATAAGATAAATAAATTCACCAACTTTTATTAAAATAAAACCATTTAAACTGGGTGTTCGGATTTATATGTCACTTAGTATATGTCAACCAGACTAATGTTTTGTTCTTTATCTACCACGTTATTTCAACGTTGGTTTAGTTAAATGTTTGTCCACTTTTATGTTATATTCCATTGTTTTTTATTTTTGACTGCCATATACCGGCTTGCGTTAGTTACTTGTTTAATTACTGTATGTTTTTTTACTCCATTGACGTGTTCTATGTCATCGTATGATGATCTGACAGAACCAATAAAGAAATGAATGAATGCATGAATTATGCAATAATTAATGGGCATTATTGTAAATGTAAACTCTATGCACATGTGTTCTTATGATATGCTTTACACAAGATTGGAGTTCCTTATCGTTCGAAAAAGCTGACCCCAAACTGTACGACATGCCGGAACCACACAAAAACAACAAGTCAAATTAACAGTCAATGACTTACAAAACCGCAAAGCTTTGTGACTATATGACCTTGAATTGACGTTTCAAAGGTCATAATCAAAGACGACTGAACAACCTTTTCGTGCTCTTGTGAAGCGAACTGTTCTTTTAAGTGAATTTTCTAGAATTCTCGTACCAGATCCATTATAGTGTCAAAGTATAAATATAAGCTTGTCTTGAATTGACCTTGTAAGGGTCATGACCAAGATCAACATGACACCTGGAAGGTTTTTAAATAAAGTACTTTCTTTAGTATAACAATTATTGTATTTGGTCTAAGCCCGCATCGTCAGTCGTTCCTACAATTGTAGGGCGCGCGTTTATGGCCTCATACTCCTTTCTCTCCTTCAAAAATTTCTAGATTGCACCTATTCTGTGTCAGCGTCAGCGCTCTCCTATTGTGAAGATATGTTTTCTTTTTAAATTGTAGGAAATTTCAGGCTGATAAATCGTGATATAAATCAAAAGCATGCACAATTTGATGCAAGTAGATATTTGTGACATAACCTCAAAATAGAGCGCTGACACGGAAAAGTAGAAAACTATGACAATCAAGCATGCCATAAACGCGCCCTACAGTTGTAGAAACGACTGTCTCTCTCCGGAAGTATTTTAATTTCTAAGCGGCATTTTGGTAGTTTCCTTCATCCGCAAAATTGCCCTCCATTTAAGTGACTTTGTTTCTCTTACCGTTTCCGAGATCTCAATGATGAGGGTCGAATTTGAAACACCCGCTATAATACAGAATTATCCATCCGTACCTGTCGGTGGTTCATTGGTGATTTTAATCGAAGACTCCAAAATCCCCTGAGGTATAATGTGAGCAGTAGGACTAGCAGCTGGTTCAGCACTCATGAACACCCTATAATCAGGATGAGACCCTTCAGCATACTTTTCCAGATTCTTCTCTAATGCTGGCAACCACTTCTTCACCAAGTGTATGTTCTGCAGCACGACCCAGTGGCCATGCTTGGCCCCTACTTCCATCGCTTTTTCTGCCACAACTTCCTGGCCTTGGCCCAAACTGACGTTGTGGAAGTTGCCTTTGTCCAAAGTGAAGCCCAGTTTTTCTCCCAGTTCCTCGACGTCTTTCAAAGGGTTGACTCCTGGTGATAGGATGAAAAAGATAGGGGTTGATTGACTGGCTTCTTCGAAAGATTTTTCGAACTCTAGGGTTTTGTTGTCGACGTATTTGCTGCCCAGTTTTTCTTCGATAAATGCCCTGTGGACAGAGTAATGTAAAAATTACTTATAGTTTGGAATCTCACTCGTTTACATGGTGCGGCTTAAGCTTACAATCGTCAATAAAAAATCTGAGTAACATAAGGTAACCAAGATATTAGTTTTCGAAAAGATCTGCGTGATCTAATTTGTTCTTGTCTCCAACAAAGGGTTAGATGAACAACTATACTATAACTATCTAAAACTGTAATGACTCATCGATGTTCACGTGAACATCACTTAACTACCAGTAGTCGGCTGTTCATAGGCGGGGTATGAATGTTTAACATGGGTGAACTAGATTTGTCACATGCTTAATAAAGAGTGGTTTGAAACATATTGTAAGTCAAAAATTTGGGAATTACCTTTATTCATCGTCGCTTCCACTTACATCTGACAATAATAAACTGTCGCTATCGCTTTCCTCGTTGAAATTGACTATAACTGGTTCTATGATGGTGTCGATGTGGTGGTCAAGCTGCCACATTTTTGTTTCTTCCTTCACAACATGACAAATAGCATTCTGCCAAACTTCGGGCGTTACTAGCTGTATGGAAGTCTCAAGTAAAACCTTAACGTCTGGTAATTTGAAGGTTGTGTTATGGCGCGCAATATAACCCTTCACTTGAGCCCAGATGAGCTCTATTGGGTTCAGTTCACAGTGGTAGGGCGGTAACCGCAGCACAGTGACACCACATTGACGGCCCATCTCATCAGTCACGTAACTAATGTTTGCAGGTTTGTGCTGTTTAATTTTTTCATACAATTCCGCTTTCACACATGAATCGTCAAACGGGATTCCTTTTTCGCGCAACCATTGCTGCATGTCACTTTTTCGAGATCCCATAGTCGGTACACGTTCGGCTCGACGACTATGGTAGGGAGCATTATCCATGACGATCACAGAGTTGGGCTCAACTCGCTGAAGCACCCCTTGAAACCAGCTCTCGAAGCAGCTGGCATTCATTTCGTCATGGTAATCACCTCCTTTCTTAGAGACGAAAATCAAGTCACACTCTTCTAAAAAGCCACCAATATGAGTTACGATCAATCTTTGACCTTTCCTTGACGGTCCACGAAGACCTGTTGACAAACCTTCAATGCTTGCTTGTCGGTTACTCACTACGTTTTTGTCTATCCAGGTTTTTTTAACTGTGTGACCTGCATTTACCCATGTCTCGTCCAAATAATAGATTTTTCTGCTTTGTCGCTATATTCAATCATTTCGCGTAGGTATTTTCGACGCCAGGCGACTATTTCAGGTCTCTCTATCAATACTGACTTCCGATTACGCGATTCGTAACGAAAATTAATTTCGTGCAGGGATTTCCTCATTACCTCGACGCTCATTTGGGGTATAATTTCATTTTCCTTGATCGCTGCATGTACAGCCTTGAAGGTTGGTATCTCATTCCTAAAGAAGAATGACTGTACGGTTCGCCTTAACGCCATTTTGCTATCGTCATCCAATTTAACGGCCTTTCGTCCCTTCAAATTAAACTTTGGATCAGTAGTAGCTCCAGTTTTCTTCTTTTCATGCACCACCCTGCGAATGGTCCACTCTGGAACGCCTGTCATACTTTCACAACGCGCGAGTGCATCTCCCTGCGACATAGTTCTGTTCAGATAATTGAACACGTTGAGCACGATTTCTTTCGCGTCCCTCTTCAGTGCTTTACGAAGCCGTCTACTTGTTCCCTGGCTTTCAGTACTTCCACTCGTGCCATTTGTACTCTCCATGGTTAAGTATAACCAAAACAGTAACCACAGAAACCACAACAATAACAATCACACAACAATTCTTATAAAAACACACAATAAGCGATCGCTCAACGAAACACGTTCCAATGCGTTGCCGACGCCTATGAGTCTGCCGGTCGAGGCGCGTCTTTGATTTCATTGGTTCTACCGGCGGAGAACAATCAGCCATTATTTCCATCTCTGTCTGTGCTGTTGACCACCGCAAAGCCACAGAAACGACATATGTCGTACGCTATACGGCTGTACTGGAAGGAAGCCGGGATCGAGCTCTGATCACGTGTTGATCACGCGTATGAGTCATTACAGTTTTAAATAGTTGTAGTATAATAAAAAATTTCCAAAAATTGTTGATCTGGATGGAAGCTTGTTTTCTAGGTAAACCGGGCGCGTATATTCCGAATTCGATGTCAATGTAGTGCTAGGATTCACGGGTGGCCCCGAGTGACTAGTTTTTTACCAATTTTTCCCTACCAATTCGGCACCCGGACCCTTCAAAGTATTTTTCACGGCGGTATTCAAATTTAGCGCCCTAAATTGTCTGAATGCGCAGAGCTCACATCATTGCGTATATCATCCTATCCGGTCTCAAAGCCCTCATCATGCACAACCTCTGCAGCGCAGTCTTATTCTTCCATTCCTGTGGGAATTTTTCTTTTTCCGGACACTCGCACTCCACTAGCTTTTTCCACCGTTTCGGATTATTCTCGATGTCCCTGTCTAGATTTCTGAACTCGTCCTTCGTTGCCAAACTGCAAATCCCTCCCCAACTATTATTGGCGAGAAAATCCACAGGACTGCTGACATGCGGCTTTATGGGGAATCTCAGAAGGAAGTCTAAGTCCATAGCTTGTATTTCTTCATTCATCAGTAGGATCTACAATTTTATATATATATATATATATATATATATATATATAACATAAAAGGTCCTATAAACCCAGGCTTTACGACAGTTACGACAGTAAATGGGAATAGAATATGAATATTCTTTAAACAATATTGTGGTGAGATAGTATCAGTCGCTTTTTTACTAAATTACTAAACAAACTTTGCTATCAAGCTTCAATAACAGCGGATTTTCAAAGTAAATACAAAACATTTTGTGTATTTTTCTTCTAAAGGGATGACCATAGAAAAATCTTTGAATGAGCCATTTGATGTCAAATTAAATATCTTATTCAAATGCTATATATTTTTAATAACGTAATTTTGTTTGTTTGTTTAAGATTTATTTAGCATGATTGCTACAATTACATTCTTCTAAAAACTAAACAATAACATAACATACAGAAATTCAGAAAAAAAAACAAAATTTGCATCTTTAAGAATTTTCATTGTCCATGAAATATTCCTTTAATTCAAGTAATCCTTTCTGAAATCTTGATTTGCTAGTTATATTACTATTGCAATTTTGTAAATGAAAATCTATACAGCAGACGCTCGATAACGTAAACACGGGATAATGAAAACTTGCGCTAATGTAAACACAAACTTCGTTCTATAGGATCAAACGGAACGCGCAATAACGTAAACAATGTGTACGCTCGATAACGTAAACAACTCTCGGCGCACGGAAACAGCGCGACGGTAAAATGCTGAAGCCTCGATGATTTATGTCGGGCGTCGGGGAGTCCCCGATTTATGATGTACAGTGTAGGGGATTCACCTCTGCGATAAAATACGACAAACTCGGTCAGTCGTATGATCGTTTAGGATACGTTTATACGTACGTATGTATTTCATTTTTGAACTTAAGTGAATACATTGCACGCGCTATTATATTTTACGACTATGGCATCCACATCCTATAAAAGAAAGTGTTTAAAGTTGAGTGAGAAAGTGAAAATCATAGACGAAGTTGCACTAGGTGCGGGAGTGACACAGTTAGCAAAAAAATATGGAGTATCGAAAGCAACAATCTGTAAAATTGAGCGTATGAAAACTCAAATTTTACAAAGAACGTGCAATACATTTGGAGGTCCGGGAAAAAGAAAAACTTTAAAAAATGCGAAGGCACCTAAATTGGAAAATTCCCTGTATAAGTGGTCATGTCATGTCCCAGTTAGTGGCGAAGTACTTAAACAGAGAGCGAGACTGTTAAATGAAAAACTGAAAGAAACTGAAAATTCCGTAGCTAGTGATGGCTGGCTACAACGATTCAAAACAAGATATGGAATTCGACTGCTGTCTATATCTGGTGAAAAATTATCAGTACAACCACAATTAGTGCAACCATTCAAAGAAAAATTGATGAAAACAATTACCGAGCTAGATTTAAGAATGGAACAAATTTACAACGCAGATGAAAGTGGCCTTTATTGGAAAATGTTACCAGAGAAAACCTATGCTGCATCATTTGAAAAATCTGCCGCGGGAAGAAAGCCGGAGAAACAACGAATAACGTTTCTAGTCTGCACTAATGCTAATGGTTCACTCCAAATAAAGCCACTGGTAATTGGGAAAGCAAAAAATCCGCGCTCATTTAAAAATGTTGATATCCCTGTTGATTATGACTGTTCAAAAACCGCTTGGATGACTAACAGTATATTCCTGAAATGGTTCCACAGGTGCTTTGTCCCTCAGGTATGACAATCAATTATCACAAATGCTCTATTCATAATTTGAAGATGTGCCTTCAATTTGTAGGTAAAAGGTTACCTAAAACAACAGAAGCTTCCAATAAAAGCGTTGTTACTATTGGATAATGCACCAAGTCATCCTCCCGAGCAACAACTGAGGAGCAGGGATGGGTCAGTTTTCGTCATGTACATGCCGCCCAACGTAACACCGTTAATTCAACCGCTGGTCCAGAATATAATAAGACTCACCAAACTATACTATAGGAAGTTTCTACTTTCGTCTGTCTTATCAAAGAATCCTGAAAACTTATCTGAGGCTTTAAAAAAAGTAACATTACGAGAAGCTGTTTTAGATTTACATATGGCCTGGAATGAACTTTACCAGCAAACTATTCAAAAATGTTGGAACAATCTCTTTTGTACCAATAATGAAGATGATGAAGAAGACGATGTCCCCTTAAGCGTAATTAGAGAACGTTTGCGATCCAATAATGATAATGTTATTAGTGTGTCATTGGATGTTGTTGATTTATTGAAAACAGTGAATCCCAACATTGTTTGTACTACTGCTGATATTAATTTATGGAACGAAGATAAGCAGACGAATGATGCTGATAGGGAGGAGGATATGGACAGTGAGGATGATGAGAACGATCCCATTGAAGTCAGAAGCGTAGTGACTGACGCGCAAGCTATACAAGTTTTTAATCAAGCTTTAGATTGGGCTGAAAGAAAAGAAGTTTCATACACGGATATTTTAGTTCTTCGTAAATTACGGGCGCACGCATTGGAAGACAATGCTAAGCGCAAATTTACGCAGAAAAAATTATTAATTATTTTTCTTCTAATTAAAAAAATACTTATCGCTGTTAGAATATTTGTTTATTTTGTTATAAATAGTATTTATTAAACGTTTCTTTTAATAAATCAAATATTATATAAATCACGTTCGCTAATGTAAACATTTCGATAATGTGGATTAAATTAGTTTACATTATCGAGCGTCTGCTGTATTTCCTCTTGTATAATAATTATTCAATTCTTTGTAGTGGCAAAAGATGATTTTTTATTTTAAATATAAAAATAAGAACCAAATATGTATGATATGAAATTTTTTATATTCAACCACTGCAATTCTTGTAACATAGATTTTATTTTGGTGTACTTATTTTTATTCCATATTATTCTCGTAGCTTTATTTTGCAAGACTTGTAATTTTGAGAATACAGTTTCATTGGCACTGAACGAGATAGTTGAACAATATAGTAAATGCGGTAGAATAATTGTATTATAAACTATTTTTGTAGTACGTTTTTCTTTTTTTCGTGGGGGTTAAAATGTACCAGTTTCCACGCTACTGGTGTAATTTCAGTCACATATTTGCTATGGTGGTAGGACTATACGTACAAAATTTCAAGTCGGATACCTTTATTCACTTCAGGGAGTCCATATACAGGATGTCCAAGATAAGGGATAGGGTCTCAGTACCTATGGGAGATACAGCTTAGGGTAAATTATGAAAAAGCTGAGTTCTTTAGGGTGGATCTACAGGTCGTTCAGGAACTTGTAGCTCTCATGACTTACTGAGGTATTTGGGAAAAACTGAAATTTGGCCAAATCGTTTTAATTTTTTTCTAGCTTCATTTTAAAGAATATTAAAAAACTAATAGAACTTTTTCACTGGCACTTTTTAGGCAATACATGATGGTTTTTTTAAATTTTGTGCCCGACCTTTTGTTTTTGAAAAACCATCATCAACTTTATTTTTTATATGCTTCGAAAAAACTACGCCCTGTAACTGATAGCATCTTTTTCTACGGTTTCAACAATGTATTACATGTTACATTTGTTTTCTTAGTTATAAAGAAAAATGACGCTTAATCTAGAGAATAACAAATACATGTTTAACATTATTTTAATTTTGTTCGCAATATGTGTTCAAATAGGTTGTCATTATTTTCTTAACATAAATATGATCTTCTTACGTAACATTTCTGGTGTAATCATACTAAATGCTTCCATTACTCATTCTCGTAACTGCTGCTCAGTTTCAAAAGTATGCCGACAAACTTGGTTTCTAATAAAACCCCAAACAAAAAAGTCCAGAGGAGCGAAATCCGGGGAACGCGCTGACATCGTGACACTTCACTAGATGTTCCAATTTACCTTCCGGTAAAATGGCTGAGAAAGATACTCTCGAACTTGCATAGAGTTATGTGCAGAAGCACCGTTTTGTTGAAACCAACAGCACTTAATCTGTGTCTTCTAGGTCATCTAGCAACCGTTGAAGGTACCGTTCTGTTCTTAATGAGTTGTGGTGAATAAAGGGACCTAATATTTTGGTCCCTAGAATTAGACACCACATATTAAGCCCAAAATGTTTTTGATGTCTGGATACTTTTTTAGTCCGCAGATTTTCTTGAGCCCAGTAATGAGTGTTGCGGAGATACTCGGTGACAGGTATTTACGTCAAGTCAAGGATTTGTTTGCAACGCCTACTAAAACAAAAAAAAAAAAATAAAAAAAACAGAAAAAACCCATTTTTTGTTATAACCAAGAAAAGGAATGTAACATGTGATACATCGTTGAATTCGTATAAAAATGCTATTAGATATAGGGTGTGCTTTTTTCGGACCATATAAAAAAATAAAGTTCATGATAGTTTCTCAAAAACCATCCATCGGGAACAAAATTTAAAAGCACTATCACGTGCCATTGCCATTAGTATTTTGATATTCTTAAAATAAGGTCAGAAAAAACAAATAAAAATAATTTGGCCAAATTTCAGTTTTTAAATATCTAAGTAAGCCATGAAAGTTTCTCAACGGCATGTAAATACGTCCCAAATAACGTAACTTTTTCCTTATTTAACCCAAGCTGTATCTTCTACAGGTATTGAGATCTTCATGCATAGGATACTTAACACCATGTATATCTACCGTTGCTGTCCATGCGGTGTAATTCACTAACTATAATAAGTGACTTATAAATCCGAACACCCAGTTTAAATGGTTTTATTTTAATAAAATTTTGTATAAGTACTTAATGAAGCATAATGAGTAAATGATAAAAATTTCAAAATGATTGCACTGCTTTAAAGCCCTTTGACCTTTAATAATGTGTGGATGGACCCTGATGTGCTGCGCATTCTCCAACGCGCCTAGACATGCTTCTGATCAGGTGGTCAATGTCCTCCTGTGGTATCTCATTCCAGGCAACCACCAACTCCTCTCGAAGTGCTTCTTGAGTCTGAGGAGAACGTTGCAAATTGAGCAATCTCCTACCCTTCATATCCCTCACGTGCTCAATTGGGGATAAGTCGGGAGATCTTGGTGGCCATGGTAACAATGTGACATCATTATGTTGAAAGAAGTCTATTGTGACTCTTGCAACATGTGGTCGGGCATTATCTTGTTGGAAAGTTGGATCTGCCAGGGTGTCAAGATAGGGTAGAGGATGGGGTTCTAGAACTTCGTGGAATTAACGCTTCGCGTTCATGTTACCTCTGATGAAGATTAAAGGTGACCTGGAACCATAAGCTATATCACCCCAAACCATAACTCCAACAGTGTGATGAACATGTATTTCAACAAAAAACTGTGGATTCCTCCTTTCACCACGTCGCCTTCTAACCCTGGCACGACCATCGTGCATGCCTAAACAAAATCGAGACTCGTCACTAAAGACAATACTGTTCCATTCCTGATCCCAGAGTGACCGTTGTCTGCACCACTGAAGGCGATTACGTCGGTGTTCTCGAGTTAAAGGGAGGACCCAGTGTGGCCGGTATGAAAACAAGCCAAAACTTCTCATTCGTCGGTAAACACTTCGCATGCCAATAGGTCTTCCGTGTTATGCAAACCATTCATTTGCAATGGACCTGGTAGTGGAGAAACGGTCCCTTAAGGCCAATAATCTTAGGCGGCGATCTTCACGGTCTGTTGTTCTACGGCGGCGTCCAGTGCCCCTTGCTCTTTGCGTACGGCGTTCTCGAAGCCATGCCTGACAACACCTAACCACAGTGTCTACACTTCTTTGCACTCTAACTGCAATTGCCCGAAAAGAAAGTCCAGCTTCCCGAAGTCCCACTATACGGCCCCTATCAAACTCACTAAGTTGACGAAATCGTACAGGTCTCCGTACTCTAGGCATCGTAACCGATCGTAAAGGATGTCAAGAACCAAAATCCGCCAACGTTGATTCTTTACTGCGGCTGAAATATTCATTTTTAGAGCGTTAGTGAATTAAAAAAAAACAGTATAAAAACCGGAATGTCCAACTGATGAAAATTTTTTCACTTGTTATTTACAGTAAGATAAATACATTCACCAACTTTTATTAAAATAAAACCATTTATACTGGGTGTTCGGATTTATATGTCACTTAGTATACTTTCAATCTGCCTAGTGTCAATATTTTTCTAAATTTTTGATGGTCTTCCATTTCTATTGCAACTGTTATAAAATCTCAACTGACCAAAACCAAACATAAGTAAATTCTCGTATAAGTAGCATTGCGAAGAGTAACACAACAATTTGTTTACATCGATGTACTGATATACTGCCATTGGAAAAGGTATTAAGAATTTGCATTGACGCATCTTTGGCATCAGCGGATTCTAACGTTTCCTTGTAGAGAAACAGGGCTTTATGCGTTTGTATCATCTATGAATCAATAATATGTTGAACTTTGGAATACCTGGAATGTCATTTGCGAAGCAAAAATAAGCTTATCACACTCAAATAATCCTCTTGTTGTGTATTGGAAAACCGAAAATGAAATGCACGCGATCAGATTGTTGACTCTTTCAGCCACTGTTTCTGCTGGATCAGCTTTAGCGATGGCTTTTTGGAACACCACACTGAATGCCTGAAATTAAGTAACAAATCATTTCGACCTACTCTATAAAATCGTATGGGATTTGGACTCGTATCGTAAGGATTCCTGCTTTCAAGCATTTGGCCACAGCATCTCCATAAGCTTTTTGGATCTCCGATTCATGCATGTTCGAGACTGGAAATACGTAAGAACTATGCAGATACGTAAGAACTATTAAAGTTATGTTTTTCAGCGCAAAATTTGGGGTACTCTTCTTGTTCTCTAAACAGAGCGTCTTATAAGTTTCGGGAGCGCAGGATAATTTGTGAAGTAATAATGGCAGGATAAGTCCCGCAATTGATAGGAGCTTTCCCCAGCTACCCAGCGGTGCCTTGATATTGGCCTTGACCATGACCTTCGAGTTCATTTGAAAGTCAAATCGGTTTTTTAAGTGGTATCCCTCATTTTTGACCCTGTAAATGAAAAGAGCGGAAAATTTTACGTTTCAATGTGTTATTGACAATTCTTAAATTTTGAGATTATGAAGGCATGATCAAGGTCAAGGTCAAACCCAGGTACAATGATATAACTTGAAAGCCAGTAGTCGTATGGAGAAACTACCGTAGCATTATCTTCAAGATTTTTCCCCGGCTATCTAATGCTGACCCTGGATCTGACCTCGGTCATGACCTTGAAGCTCATTTGAAAGTCAGCCCTTTTTCAATGAGACCCTGTACTGTTGACCGCCGAAATGGAGAAAAGGGGAAATTTTATGTTCGAATATGTCCTTGACCATTTTTGGAACTTGACCTTTGGCTAGACCATCAAGATTACCTTGAGTACTTGATAATTCAGAAAACTGACTTTATTATTCTTTTAGGATCGTTCCCTGCCTAAAAAAATCGAATCGATCTTCACGTGACCTTGAAGGTCTTCATGGTTAGTGTCAGATCCAAGGCCACCATTGGATATCCGGTGAAAATAATGAAATTAATGTCACGGTAGTTTCCCTGTATGACTACTGGTTTTCACATGACCTTGAAGGTCATCATGGTTTGGGTCTGATCCAAGGCCACCATTTTATATCCGGTGAAAATAATGAAATTAATGTCACGGTAGTTTCCCTGTATGACTACTGATTTTCACATGACCTTGAAGGTCATCATGGTTTGGGTCTGATCCAAGGCCACCATTGGATATCCGGTGAAAATAATGAAATTAATGTCACGGTAGTTTCCCTGTATGACTACTGGTTTTCACATGACCTTGAAGGTCATCATGGTTTGGGTCTGATCCAAGGCCACCATTGGATGCTCGGGGAAAATAATGAAATTGATGTCACGGTAGTTTCCCTGTATGACTACTGGTTTTCACATGATCTTAAAGCTCATCATGGTTAGGGTCTGATCCAAGGCCACCATTGAATATCCGGGGAAAATAATGAAATTAATGTCACGGTAGTTTCCCTGTATGACTACTGGTTTTCACATGACCTTGAAGGTCATCTTGGTTTGGGTCTGATCCAAGGCTACCATTGGATATCCGGGAAAATTAATGAAGATAATGTCACGGTAGTTTTCCTGTATGACTACTGGTTTTCACATGACCTTGAAGGTCATTATGGTTTGGGTCTGATCCAAGCCCACCATTGAATATCCGGAGAAATTAATGAAAATAATGTCACGGTAGTTTCCCTGTACGACTACTGGTTTTCACATGACCTTGAAGGTCATCATGGTCAGGGTCTGATTCAAAACCACCATTGGATATCCGGGGAAATTAATGAAGATAATGTCACGGTAGTTTCCCTGTACTGGTTTTCAAGTTATATCACCGTAACTGGGTTTGTCGTAAGTATGAATTTTAGGAATGTTCGAGACCTTTTTGTAACATAAAACTTTCCTCTTTTTTCATTTACGGGGTCAAATAAAAAAAGTCGCCATTCAAATGGCCTTGAATGTCATTGCCAAGGTCAAATCCAAGGTCGTCATTGGATAGCTGGGGAAAACTCCTATTAATCGTGTGGTTTAGTTGTTTCTTACCATTATTACTTTACAAATTATCATGGGGCTCCGGAACTTTTTAGACGAAGAGTTCCTCTAAGAGAGAGAGAGAGAGACATACTCGTATTTAGGCCGATCTGATTCGAGGTATTCTAGATCTTCCTTTGCGAGCCCAATTTTGTAATTATCTGAATCTTCTAAGACTTACGTGAGGTTTTGTGCATTTGTACTCAAAAGTTATGTGGCCAAATAGTTGAGGTAGTTACAAATATGTGGATTCCACTGCCCGAAATACATAATTGTGTAGTGACAATACCTTCAAGGAAAACTGGTAGATGGGATTGATCATATTCAAATCGTTCAATATGAAGTACAACAAACTAGCTCTAGCAGCTGCTGGTCGATAGTATTCGCGAGCCTGATCAATTTTTTGAGATGTCACTTTGGCTTCGGCTACTTTCTGTTCTATTTCTGCCGCTGTTCTTTTTGTCGTCTCCAGATTTTCTACTAGCGTCGTGTCACCCAATAAGTTTCCTCCGGCAGAAGATAGTCTGGATAAAAGATCATCTTCAAGGGTTTTGAGCGTTATTTTGAAGTCGTTCTGCTGTTTTGTTAAGTCAGCCTAAAAAATATAAAGAGATTCCCCAACATTTACAGAAGATATCACTTAAACATACGGTCCACAGCATTGGTTCAAGCACAGCTGGGGCTGAAGTAACCAACACACATTTTAAAGAACTTGAGGTATTGCAAAAATATATGAGAAAAAAATAATATTTCATGAATGTGTTATACACCAAAACTTCCATTCTTGATATACGGCAAATCTACTGTTTTACTGTAATAAAGAATAGCCATGCAGACAAAATTAAATTGCAAAGTATGGGGTTGTACAAAACGGACGCAGGAAAGTAAACGCATATTAAAACAAGAAAGATTGATATTCAAATCAAGTTGGGTACTTTATTTTGAAGGTTCATTTATACCATTTATGTATGAAAAATAATATCGCTCAAATGTTCACCACGATCGGATTTACAGACGTCCACGCGATGGTCGAAATTTTCAATGACATTTTGCAACATGGTCGGTTCTATGGCATTTATCTCGGCAATGATGTTGTTTTTGAGTTCTTGGAGGGTGGCTGGTTTGTTTACGTAGACTTTGCTTTTCAAATATCCCCATAAAAAGAAGTCCAAGGGAGTCAAATCGCACGATCTTGGTGGCCATGGCACATTTCCTCTGCGCGAAATCACGCGATCACCGAAGAAGCACTGCAATCGATGGATATTGACGTTGGTTGTGTGGCATGTTGCACCGTCTTGTTGGAAATAAACATCGTCCATATCCATTCCTTCAAGTTGCGGCAAAAAATAGTCCTCTATCATCACGTGATATCGCTCAGAATTGACGGTAACGGCGTCCCCGGCCGCATTTTCGAAAAAGTAAGGTCCGATGATGGCTTTTGACCACAATGCACACCACACAGTCACTTTTTGAGGATGCATCGGCTGCTCTTGATACTCACGGGGATTTTCGTTCGCCCAGATGCGGCAGTTTTGCTTGTTTACCGTCCCATTTAAAGTGAAATGCGCTTCGTCGCTGAACATGATTTTTGATGAAAAATTGGCATCAATTTGGCGGTGTTCAAGGAGCCAATCTGAGAACGTTCGGCGCGAAAAATGGTCGGCCCGACGCAGCTCTTGCGTCAATTGGATCTTGTAGGCGTGTACATTCAAATCCTTGTGGAGAATGCGGAGCAAACTGGTTGTTGATTGTTTCGGATCGTCTCTCACACTCTCCTTCACAACATCAATATTTTCCGGTGTGCGAACGGTCCTTGGCCGGCCAGAGCCTGGCAGATTTGCCACAGAACCTGTTGCCTCGAATTTACGCACCAGACGACCGGGCGGTTGTTGCGACCGAAATGTTCACGAAGCGCGCGAAACGTGTTTTTTATTTTTGCACCATTTTTGAAGTGCTCTTGAATAACTTTAATGCGGTCTTCAATCGAGTACGACTCCATAGCGATCAATGGTAAACATTCAACTAACAAAATGACATATCAGTGACAGAAAACAAAGATGGCGTCTATGTCAAATTGACGTTTACTTTCCTGCGTCCCTATTGGACAACCCTTTATTACATTTGAATACCTATAGAAAGAGGATATTCGCCTGATTGTGCTATTCCATACCTAAACCAATCCCTGTGTATCCAGTAAAAAAATATCTGAAGGAGAAAAGCTAAGTTTTATAATCAAATCACATTCTGTGTGAATTTTTTGGTGCCATTTTAAGCTTTAAGTAAAAGTCTTCATAGTAACTTTATCGGAGTATGCAACCATAGGCGAATTTCGCTTATTGTTTATTTACCTTCAAGTCCTCGAGATCAGGCCTCTCAGCCTTAACAACTTCAGCAAGGAGTTGATCTTCAAGACCATCTCTAGTAACTGTGAAATTGATCAAAGTTGCTTGTGCTTGCATCTCTGGCTTATAGTGGGGGTTTGCTAGTTTTGTATGCAGTATCAAGCGGAAATTAGGATTATATTCTATCTCTTTGTCACCTATCTTTATGGCCCTGAAAACAAAGGTCGTTTACGTTTTGCCGTAGAAAAATATCAACCATATGGCTTTCGTACTTTCCCTTTTTGATCAGGTATCTTCCCAAGAGTGTGTCCAAAACAGGATCGACGGTTTCTTCAATATTTTCTAATAGTACCGTTGCACCCTGTGTGATGCTTTTCTCAATTACTTCCAGGTAGCTTTTTTGCCCTAAACGAATCACTTTCAGATCATATCCATATCGTTGTTTGATCCACTTGATTCCTTGGAGCTGAAATATACTGAGTGACATATAAATGCGAACACCCAGTTTAAATGGTTTTATTTTAATAAAATTTTGTAAAAGTACTTAAGGAAGCATAATAAGTAAATGATAAAAATTTCAAAATGATTGCACTGCTTTAAAGCCCTTTGACCTTTAATAATGTGTGGATGCACCTTGATGTGCTACGCATTCTCCAACGCGCCTAGGCATGCTTCTGATCAGGTGGTCAATGTCCTCCTGTGGAATCTCATTCCAGGCAACCACCAACTCCTCTCGAAGTGCTTCTAGAGTCTGAGGAGGACGTTGCAAATTGAGCAATCTGCTACCCATCATATCCCACACGTGCTCAATTGGGGATAAGTCGGGAGATCTTGGTGGCCATGGTAACAATGTGACATCATTATGTTGAAAGAAGTCTATTGTGACTCTTGCAACATGTGGTCGGGCATTATCTTGTTGGAAAGTTGGATCTGCCAGGGTGTCAAGATAGGGTAAAAGATGGGGTTCTAGAACTTCGTGGATATAACGCTGCGCGTTCATGTTACCTTTGATGAAGATTAAAGGTGACCTGGAACCATAAGCTATAGCACCCCAAACCAACAGTGTGATAAACATGTCTTTCAACAAAAAACTGTGGATTCCTCCTTTCACCACGTCGTCTTCTAACCCTGGCACGACCATCGTGCATGCCTAAACAAAATCGAGACTCGTCACCAAAGACAATACTGTTCCATTCCTGATCCCAGAGTGACCGTTGTCTGCACCACTCAAGGCGATTACGTCGGTGTTCTCGAGTTAAAGGGAGGACCCAGTGTGGCCGGTATGAAAACAAGCCAAAACTTCTCATTCGTCGGTAAACACTTCGCATGCCAATAGGTCTTCCGTGTTCTGCAAACCATTCATTTGCAATGGACCTGGTAGTGGAGAAACGGTCCCTTAAGGCCAATAATCTTAGGCGGCGATCTTCACGGTCTGTTGTTCTACGGCGGCGTCGAGTGCCCCTTGCTCTTTGCGTACGGCCTTCTCGAAGCCATGCCTGACAACACCTAACCACAGTGTCTACACTTCTTTGCACTCTAACTGCAATTGCCCGAAAAGAAAGTCCAGCTTCCCGAAGTCCCACTGTACGGCCCCTATCAAACTCACTAAGTTGACGAAATCGTACAGGTCTCCGTAGTCTAGGAATCGTAACCGATCGTAAAGGACGTCAAGAACCAAAATCCGCCAACGTTGATTCTTTACTGCGGCTGAAATATTAATTTTTAGAGCGTTAGTGAATTAAAAAAAAGCAGTATAAAAACCGGAATGTCCAACTGATAAGGCTGAAAATTTTTTCACTTGTTATTTAAAGTAAGATAAATACATTCACCAACTTTTATTAAAATAAAACCATTTAAACTGGGTGTTCGGATTTATATGTCACTTAGTATAGTTTATTATACGTCTAGGTTGAAATATTCATCAAGCACCTTTATAACAACCAAGATCTGACATAGCACACTTAATCAAAGCATAAAAAGTATTTCTAAAGGGAACACAGAAATATAAAATAACTTTGAAAGATGACTTTACCTGTGGATCAATCATCAGAGGCCATCTTTCAGAATTGGATAATATTGTGGCGTTTTCAATGGACATTCTATCACTTGGTAATCCTTCGTTCTGCCATTTCGCTATAATCGTATCATCTGTCAAAAGCAGCAGTGGATCTAGGTTCTCCGTGATCGGTATAGGAGGCTGAAAACTTGTATTGTAGATGATTTTTTTTAATGTAGTGGACAACTTACATCTAAATTGTTGAAAAACGGTAGCCACATCTTATGAAGTAGATCCAGGCGATATTGCTTGGTGAAACATCCTACATATGAGATGAAGGCAGTTGTTAGGAGAACATCACCTGGCAGCATCTTGCCATTCTCCAGAAAACTGAAAATAGTCAAATATAGCTCCAGTCCTGAGGTTCTATATTCTAATTGACTAACTACAATAATTTTTTCAAGTCTCCTCACCAATGTTTTTTGCTCTATTTATTACCTATTCACTGCTTCTGCCCAACGTACATTCTCACTTGCCAAGCCACCTACCAAACGATTGGCCAATTGGATGGTGGCATTCGTAGCATCTGCTTCTTGTTGACATAACAGCTTCTCGTGGGTAGCTTTTTCGAAATCCGCTGTCAGTTTTGCCAACTGCTCTTCTAGAGACTGTAGCATAGAGAGAACAGTTATTTTCAATGAAGCTTAGATCATGATATCAAACATAAGTACATTTTGAATTGAAATATGAGAGCACGAGCATAGTCTAAAAATGTAGTCACCGTTCTTGGCGGGTCAAAGGAAGACTACCAGTATCCCTTTATACGTATATCTCCCTGTGTGTGAGCGTTTGTTCGGTAAGCTCAAAGACATACGTTTTTTTATTGTGTGTCTTCATCTCGGAAACTTTGTCGTTACGTATGTAGATTTGAATTCTGACAAGCTTCACCGTAAACTAACAACATGTCGGCGAACTCTTGACGACGTACGCGAACAAAAACAAAAGAGCACGCCCGATGCCCGATAACTAACCACTGTTACCGTTTGCGATCGATTGCCGGTTCGATAAGGGTGATGACGACGCGCTGTTGTCATGTGTGTTTTAAATATTCAATTTAATGAGACTTACTTACTGACTACAAATTTTGGCATAATTTAGAAAAACTTAATGCCATTTATTAGTTAATTACCCAATTTAAAAACGTTTTAGATTAGATTATAAAAGTTAGTAACATTGTGTTGATTGTGGTCGATATGACTTGTTTTGACTCCCTGCCAATGCTGCACCTGACTATATGAAAATCAGTTTCCAGGGGGAAATCTTGCATACACTTTCAAAATTTCACAGCGTATCATTGAATTATCTAAGAAAAAAGTAAACAGTTTAAAATCAAATAACAACTGTGCCGAAATAACTACTAAAAACGTGCTGAAAAACTGTTTCGAAATTTTGGGATATCCTGTATTAAATTGGATCAATTGTTCACTGAGAAGCAGTTCTTTCCCTGAAAATTTGAAATGCTCTACAATAACACCAGTTCCTAAAATAAAAAGATGCAGCGATATGAGACCAGTAAATGTGTTACCAGACATTGAAAAAGTATTAGAGTCCATAGTGCATGACCTTTAATGCAGTTTATAGAAGAAAACAAAATTTTAGTGGAGGCGCAAGCAGGCTTTCGAAAAAAATATTCCACAGAAACAGCTTTCCAGTTGGTAACTGAGAATTGAAGAACAGCCATTTTCTCGATTACTTCCAGGTAGCTTTTTAGCCCTAAACGTATCACTTTCAGATCATCTCCATATCGTTGTTTGATCCACTTGATTCCTTGCAGCTGAAATATACTGAGTGACATATAAATCTGAACACCCAGTTTAAATGGTTTTATTTTAATAACATTTTGTATAGGTACTTAATGAAGCATAATAAGTAAATGATAAAAATTTCAAAATGATTGCACTGCTTTAAAGCCCTTTGACCTTTAATAATGTGTGGATGCACCCTGATGTGCTACGCATTCTCCAACGCGCCTAGGCATGCTTCTGATCAGTCAATGTCCTCCTGTGGTATCTCATTCCAGGCAACCACCAACTCCTCTCGAAGTGCTTCTAGAGTCTGAGGAGGACGTTGCAAATTGAGCAATCTCCTACCCATCATATCCCACACGTGCTCAATTGGGGTTAAGTCGGGAGATCTTGGTGGCCATAGTAACAATGTGACATCATCATGTTGAAAGAAGTCTATTGTGACTCTTGCAACATGTGGTCGGGCATTATCTTGTTGGAAAGTTGGATCTGTCAGGGTGTCAAGATAGGGTAAAAGATGGGGTTCTAGAACTTCGTGGATATAACGCTGCGCGTTCATGTTACCTCTGATGAAGATTAAAGGTGACCTGGAACCATAAGCTATAGCGCCCCAAACCATAACTCCAACAGTGTGATGAACATGTCTTTCAACAAAAAACTGTGGATTCCTCCTTTCACCACGTCGCCTTCTAACCCTGGCACGACCATCGTGCATGCCTAAACAAAATCGAGACTCGTCACTAAAGACAACACTGTTCCATTCCTGATCCCAGAGAGACCGTTGTCTGCACCACTCAAGGCGATTACGTGTTTGAGAACTGATAAAAGTTCGCTGAGAAAGTGCAGCAATTTTTCTTCTAGAAACAGTAAAAGTAAAAGTAAAAACCCGAACAAAAACAAGTTGGTGATCATTTCATGGTAACAGCATTGCCATTGCCGTCTTCGAAGAAGGGCCCATGATGCAAGGTTGCGATACAGCGCACCAAATCATCACTTACGGGGTCTTTCATGTAACTGTCGTGGATTTTCATTAGCCCAATAATGTTAAGAATTCCGAGTTGTACACCAATATGCGGCCAATAAATGTTCTGCCAGATGTTGAAAAAGTTTTTGAAGAAATTATTATGTATGGACAATCGGAAACATACAGTAACAGTGTTTTGGACTTCAAAAGGGCGTTTGATACTATTGACAGGGATAAATTACTTAAAGGATTTAAAGGATCTGTATTCAAAATCCTAGAAAACTATTTAATTGACAGAAGTCGAAAAACCAAAATTGGATTTACATTATCAAGATCAAAAAATATTTCTGTTGGTATACCACAAGGTAGTAGACTAGGTCCACTACTATTTATTTTATACATTAATTACATTTGTAATATTTTCGATTATTGTAAACTTCAGATATTTGCAGATGATACATTAATATACGAATCAGATGAAAATATAGACACTACTTTAAAAATGCTAAATTCTGACTTGGCAAAAATCGAAAATTGGTTAAATGTAAATAAACTAAAATTTAATACTTCTAAAACAAAATGTATGCTAATAGGGAAATACCTAAATGAAAATACTATCACAGTTAGGATAAATGGAGGAATAATTGAAAATGTTGAATCAATTAAATATTTAGGTTTGTATATTAATAGTAAACTAAAGTTTGAGGATCACTAAGAATACATTATTTCAAAAATTGCCAAAAAAGCAAATTACTTTTATAGGGCTTCTCATAGTCTTGGTACCTATTCCAAGAAAATAGTTTATGATACAATTATTCTACAGCATTTACTATATTGTTCAACTATCTTGTTCACTGTTTATTGGCAGTGAGTTTATTCTCAAAATTACAAGTCTTGCAAAATAAAGCTGGGAATAATATTGAATAAAAATAAGTACCCCAAAATAAAATCTATGTTACAAGAATTGCAGTGGTTGAATTTAAAAAAATTCATATCGTATTTGGTTCTTATTTTAATAGTTAAAATAAAAAATCATCTTTTGCCAAAACATTTAGAACAAACACTACATAGAATCGAATAATCATTACCACAATTATTATGCAAGAGGAAATATAGACTTTCATTTACAAAATTGCAATAGTAATATAACTAGCAAATTTATATTTCCGAAAGGATTACTTGAATTTAATAAACTAAATAATGATATAGAGTCTACTTGTAATTTAAAGATATTTTAAAGAAAATTAAAGGAATACCCAACTAACAATTATCACTCCTATTAGAGTTGCAAGAATGATTATACAGTATTCCTTAAACAGCATTGTATACTGTAAGAACACTGGCAAAACCCTCTTAGAACAGCTATACAAGCGGAATGGGCACACCTAATAGGACACTTCAGTCATTTAAGAGGTTGTATAAGGGCTGCAGGTAACAGTTATAAAGCAAAAGTGTAAGCCTCTTGCAGCCGATATAGGACATTTGCGTCAGTGCAAGATTCAGTTTTTGTCAACTATACAACTATTCTGTTACGTGATTCTACTTTATTACAACCAAACTATTTCTTATGTATTGTATAGACGAAGTGAAGAATATATAACTAACACATTACAGTCATCTTGTTTACTTACATATCGCCCATTGTGAGTTTCATACACAGGTATATGATAACTTCTACACTGTGATATAGGGCTATTGAATTACTTGCGCAGCAAATTTTATTGTGATTATCGTGCAAATTAGTTACCCAATTTCTACGGGCTTCGTATTTGATTCATATTTTGACAATGATCAAAAGTATGTCTAGATTTTTAAGATGGAAAACTGATCTTATCTGCGTTAAATCTTCCATAAATCCTATATTTAGACACAATTACACTAATTTTTAATCACTTTATATCTGTAATTTCGAACTGAAACATAATTATTTAATATTAAATAGAGGAATAAATCTTTCCCCAATATGGCGGGTGGTTGTGTACAATCATGGCATCGTCCATGTTGTCTTTAGGTTATTAGAATATTTTGGTGTTGCCTGCAGGTGTTATACAACAATTTGACAAATGTCTGAATTGAAATACCGACAGAGTCGAATCATTTACGCAGAATTTGTACCAGATCTATATCTTCTGTTTGAACTGTTGATAAAACCTTTTGAACCAATATGCATGCGTTGTTTGTCTTAAAACATTGGTTATGGCATTTTAACAAAAATATGACAGCAGAAAGTTAGGTTATGGTGAAGTTGTTTACCAACATATTTAGCATATGTACAGCCTTTAACAGTTACTAAATAACAGTTGTATAAGTGCTTCCCTTGGGAGCAATTTGTTGGCTAAAGTAGTAAATTGCACAGCAAAACAACAAGGCTCGGGTTTGTTTTATAAGCGTTACCATGGATGCCACAACACAACCATTTTGACTAACGTGCAAATATGCCGTACAAAATAGTTGTATAGGCGTATATGCAACAGTTAAAAATTTGCCCTATAAGGTGTTGTATAACTATGCTATAAGAATATTTTAAACACCTCATTTTAGAGCAAATATGTTGCAGAAAGCAAATTTGCATTCCACATAACATTAAGCCAGCATTTTGGTGTTCAGGCAACAACAATAGAGAGCTTTTATGGCTGAACGGTTCTTTTATCAAAAGCTTATACCACTACTTTGCTAGTTGGGTATTTCATGGATAATGAAAATTCTTAGAGATGCAAATTTTGTTTATTTCTGAATGTCTGTATGTTATGTAATTGTCTAGTTTTTTAGAAGAATGTAATTGTAGCAATCATGCCAAATAAATCTTAAACAAACAAATAAATAACGGCAATTCTGCTGGTTAGCCATGCCATTAAAATGAAAGTGAGCTTGAACACTCATGAACAAAAAGAGGTTATCATTTGGCTCGATAAGTGCTTCCATCGCACGTGCGAAGTTCATTCGTTGTGCGTAATCTCCAGGTTATGACTGTTGCATATTGGCCAATTTTTAGGGGCCAAAGTGGAGTTCCATATGCAAAATACGCCTTACCGAACGATCACTGAGGAAAAGTTCAGCAGCATGCTGCCGAGCAGATCGAGCCGGACGGCGAAGGAGGGCTTGTCGAACGCGCTCCACATTTTCAGGGGTTCGAACCATTCGTGGAGCTCCTGTTGGTCTTTTGTTGATCCGTACACCACGTGCGAGGAGTGATTGTACAGCCGTGATAGAATCATTATATCGGACAAAACTGTCGTACGCGAAGACGCGGTGCTCAACTGTCCACTGCTCCATAATGTCTACTGGTAAAAATGCTAGGAACACCCGAGTCGAACGGCATTCTCCCCGCCACTCTTGTCCGAATAGGCGGAGAGTACTAGCCATTTCATTTAAAAAAACATCCGTTTGTGCCGGAGCCTGTATACCTAGGGTTGTCCAATAGGGACGCAGGAAAGTAAACGTCAATTTGACATAGACGCCATTTTTGTTTTCTGTCACCGACATGTCATTTTGTTAGTTGCATGTTTACCATTGATCGCTATGGAGTCGTATTCGATTGAAGACCGCATTAAAGTTATTCAAGAGCACTACAAAAATGGTGCAAAAATAAAAAACACGTTTCGCGCGCTTCGTGAACATTTCGGTCGCAACAACCGCCCAAACGAAACAACCATCGGTCATCTGGTGCGTAAATTCGAGGCAACAGGTTCTGTGGCAAATCTGCCAGGCTCTGGCCGGCCAAGGAGCGTTCGCACACCGGAAAATATTGCTGTTGTGATGGAGAGTGTGAGAGACGATCCGAAACAATCAACAACGCGTCGATCCCAAGAATTGGGCATTTCGAGAACCAGTTTGCTCCGCATTCTCCACAAGGATTTGAATGTACACGCCTACAAGATCCAATTGACGCAAGAGCTGCGTCGGGCCGACCATTTTTCGCGACGAACGTTCTCAGATTGGCTCCTTGAACACCGCCAAATTGATGCCAATTTTTCATCAAAAATCATGTTCAGCGACGAAGCGCATTTCACTTTGAATGGGACGGTAAACAAGCAAAACTGCCGGATCTGGGCGAACGAAAATCCCCGTGAGTATCAAGAGCAGCCGATGCATCCTCAGAAAGTGACTGTGTGGTGTGTATTGTGGTCAAAAGGCATCATCGGACCTTACTTTTTCGAAAATGCGGCCGGGGACGCCGTTACCGTCAATTCTGAGCGATATCACGTGATGATAGAGGACTACTTTTTGCCGCAACTTGAAGGAATGGATATGGACGATGTTTATTTCCAACAAGACGGTGCAACATGCCACACAACCAACGTCAATATCCATCGATTGCAGTCCTTCTTCGGTGATCGCGTGATTTCGCGCAGAGGAAATGTGCCATGGCCACCAAGATCGTGCGATTTAACTTCCTTGGACTTCTTTTTATGGGGACATTTGAAAAGCAAAGTCTACGTCAACTAACCAGCCACCCTCCAAGAACACAAAAACAACATCATTGAAGAGATAAATGCCATAGAACCGACCATGTTGGAAAATGTCATTGAAAATTTCGACCATCGCGTGGACGTCTGTAAATCCAGTCGTGGTGAACATTTGAGCGATATTATTTTTCATACATAAATGGTATAAATGAACCTTCAAAATAAAGTACCCAACTTGATTTGAATATCAATCTTTCTTGTTTTAATATGCGTTTACTTTCCTGCGTCCGTTTTGGACAACCCCATATCTATATGTATAACTTACAACAACTTTCTTCTTAATCGAGTCCAGCTTCTCTTTGGCTGCTGCTAGTTCGGCATTTGCAGCTGCCAGAGCTTTTCTCTTAGGTTCTACATCACAAAACACCTCGTAGAATTTGATTATGTTTATGACCCAAGCGCAAAGTCCAGCGGCTGCTGCAGATTTGGAGCGAACAAACTCTGGTTCAAACTCTGGATTCCTCAGATAGGGTTCTATTGATTTGATTACTTCAGGATGGATGTTTTCTTTGTCGTAGTTTATTAAGGCGTCTAGAAAAGTGTCAACCTACAAAGTAATTTGAATATTAAAGTTGCTACACTCAGGTACAAAAAATGAAGACGGTAACGGAACACATCGTACTCGTACGCCACTGCCAGCGAGGCGTGAGCAAAGTCGGTGCGCTTGGTTCCCGCCATATTTGCTACTTACTTCTGTTTTAGTATCAGATTCATACCGTCAAGCATCGGCATAGAAAAGAGTAGTGAAACGTATCGTACGCCACTGTTACGAGGTTTGCGTTTGAGTACTGTGATATCTACGTATGGTGTATCTGAAGTCACTTGAAATAGCATAAAAACCTTTGGTCGGCGCGTCCTTTGTAATTTCATGACGTATCATAGGCGTGCGGCATTTATTTAGAACGATAATAATAATGTTTTTATATCACAATAAATGGATTTTACTATCTTCTTATTTTTTTGATTTGGGATAAAAAATACTTATATTGGGAGTTTAATTTATGTATGTAATTACAACGGGATTTACAGGAGGCAAAACACAATATTCATTTTCTTTTTTAATAATATGCCTAGAACACTGCTTTCATAGGTCTGTGGCAGCAATATGAGATACTGCATCTCTTATTGTGGCCAATAGCGATTCACTTAATTAAGGGGTCTGATTATGTTTTCTTACTTTTTTTCTTAAAGCAGCCCAGACCAACTCAATCGGGTTAAAAATGCAGTAATAGGGAGGTAGACGTAATACTTCATGGCCATTTTGCTGAAGCAGATTGTCAACAACATACTCTTTTTCAAATTTTTGTCTTTTAATAAGATCCAATAATATGGCTTTGGTTGATTTTTGTGGTATTTCCATTTCCTTATCCTTCATAAAATCAATAATGTCTTGTTTCTTTGTGCCTGTATTCGGAATTTTGTTTTTCTGTCGGGAATGGTATGGCGCATTGTCCATAATAATCTCTGAATTTGGGGAAATGTTTGGTATTAACTGCTGCTCTATCCACTTTTCAAATAAGTCGGAGGTCATGTCCTCATGATAGTCGGCACATGATTCTTTGATATTTTTGGCAGATAACAGCAAGGCATTAGGTATAAATCCATTTTCACTGCCAGCATGGAGAATAATGATTCGTTTTCCACGGTTGCATGGTGCATTTAAAATGCACTTGTTGCTGTCGTCAACCCAGCCGTACTGGACATCATGGGTATCATACCACGTTTCATCCAGGTAAATCAGATTTCTTTTCTGCTCTCTATAGATTTTAACTTTGTGCAAAAATTCTTGGCGCAATTCAACGATTCGAGACGACTCCATAATCACCATTCTTTTATCTAATTTTTTGTATTGAAAACCACACAGTTTTACAATACAGTGCAGTGAGTCTAAGCATTTGTAATTATAAAAATCTTCAGGATAATCTTTTAATTTATCCCGTATCATTTCCAACGTGGGCACCAAATTTTCTTTATAAAATCCGTATATTATACGACGAATATCTTCATGAAAACCCACGTCTATTCTTTTTAATTTTTGCCCTATGCGCTTTCTGTGGAAGGAATGGTTGACTACATCTCCCCTTTTTATAACCCGATAAATGGTAGACCGACTGATTTTTGTCAGGATACAAATTTTGTTTAAAATTTGATTTTGCGAGGAATCTGAATTTTCGTTTTTCAGACAATCATACATATTTAGGATTACTCATTGGGTCTGTTCCTCTAAATCTTTATGAAAGAATTCTGCCTGCACAGGTTCATCAACCATCTCCTCGTGGCTTGGAGCATTTTCCCAAGGTCTCCAAAGAGCCATATTTAGGACACACAAGAACAATCAACACAACAATTAAATCAACAAGTAAACTGAATATTCAAAAGTCAAAAACACACAAACTAATAAAATCTATGAAAAAACACGGACAGACTAAAGAAAACACGTTTATTCACCGCTACACGACACTGGCTAAACTGTTTCAATTTTCAGTAGCCACCTGTACTTGTTCCGAGCTCTGAAATACACGCTTTCTCATTGGCTATGTCCATGCATAGGCGTGCTTTACTCCACGTGGACCGGTGAAACTGCCTTTGATCTCTTATACGGGGGATATTTGCTGCGAAATTTGGCGATTTTTGCAGCAACAGAGCGTGTTAAATATAGATATATAAAACGCACCCGGTATTTCACAGTGTTTCAAGTGACTTCAGATAAAGTATACATGTAAACAAAGGCCTACCGCGTTAGTAGTGACATTTTTGTGTTAAACTATAGTTAGTAGTTCAACAGTGGCGTTTCATAAATGTCCACATAGGAAGGAGGTTTATACGTAAACGTGAGTGAGTCAAATGTTGGATATGATTTTTTCTTCTGCAAGAATTAATACCCAGTTAAAGTTTTACCTTGGCCATAACGATTTTTGCAGCTTTCCAACTTCTATCTTTAGGTACTTTGCCATCTTGCGAAAGAAGTACCATCACAGCTGCAGTAACGTTAGTAACCGCTGCAGGTGGTGACCCGAACGATTTCAGTTCTGTCAAGTTGGCTTTGTTCAGGGTATTCAGAGCCTCCTGTGCTGCTATCAGAGCGGGTTCTGCCTTCCTTAGATCTTCTTCGCAATCTTTTTGTTTCTTGGATACCTCTTCTGCTATTGTAGCTACCTTTTCTTCTTCTTCGTCTGCCAGATTTTTTTCGATAGACACTTTTTCAGTCTCGATGCCGACGATTTTGATCAGTTCGTCCGCAGCCTCATTTTTTTCTTTGAGTTCGATCTGAAAAATCCAAATTATATCAATATATGACAATCGAGTTTGAAAAATCACACTGTCGGTGTCTGGATAAATAACATGAACATTTTTTAACTCTACCTCTTGTACTGCTAGTTTTTTCTTGAGCTCATCTACTTGAATTGCAGTGGTCCTAAGTTTCTCTAAGCCATTTTCCAAACGCTTTATTTTTGATTCAAGCTCCTCGGCTTTCTGATTCAGTAACTTAGAATACAACGTGATTTGTTCAAGGTACGACTTTGGTGTCGTGTAGTTGTATCGTCTCTCATTTTGTAAATATAACTTCGACATCGTATTCACAGAAGTGTGGGCGTATGCCATGAAACGAGCCGCAGAATCCCGAAGGTCTCCCTTAAAAAAATTGAGAATTTGATCGCAAAACCTAATATTAGATCTTTGGTATCGTATGAATATCATTGTTCTACGGTTTCTACTATATTATGGTTACAAAAAGAATCTTACAGGCAAAACGCTAACTTCTTGCAAGAACTTCAACGATACCGATACAAGCGCCTCTTGCGGCCATTCGTGGAACCAGTTGATTTGCGTACAGTTTATGATTGCAGGAAACTTTCTCGATCTAACTCTGAGAGTAGAACCGACTGGCGAGAAGCATAATACTACTTTTAATTGTCTTCGAACTCTTTCTATAAAGAATTTCCAGCAGTTTTCTCTAGTGTCCAAGATTCCAGCACCTTTAACCTCATTTCTTACACCCGCAATTATATTTTCAATTTCGTCGTCCGGAAACATATCTGGAATCTCTCCAGATGCCAGCATATCGTTTATCAGAACTAGAAACTGTTCGTTGGGCACCTGCAAAAAGTATGTTTTTAATTATAAGGCATACTGATGGTTCTAGATATACTAAGTGACATATAAATCCGAACACCCAGTTTAAATGGTTTTATTTTAATAAAAGTTGGTGAATGTATTTATCTTACTGTAAATAACAAGTGAAAAAATTTTCAGCCTTATCAGTTGGACATTCCGGTTTTTATACTGCTTTTTTTAATTCACTAACGCTCTAAAAATGAATATTTCAGCCGCAGTAAAGAATCAACGTTGGCGGATTTTGGTTCTTGACATCCTATACGATCGGTTACGATGCCTAGAGTACGGAGAGATGTACGATTTCGTCAACTTAGTGAGTTTAATAGGGGCCGTATAGTGGGACTTCGGGAAGTTGGACTTTCTTTTCGGGCAATTGCAGTTAGAGTGCAAAGAAGTGTAGACACTGTGGTTAGGTGTTGTCAGGCATGGCTTCGAGAAGGCCGTACGCAAAGAGCAAGGGGCACTGGACGCCGCCGTAGAACAACAGACCGTGAAGATCGCCGCCTAAGATTATTGGCCTTAAGGGACCGTTTCTCCACTACCAGGTCCATTGCAAATGAATGGTTTGCAGAACACGGAAGACCTTTTGGCATGCGAAGTGTTTACCGACGAATGAGAAGTTTTGGCTTGTTTTCATACCGGCCACACTGGGTCCTCCCTTTAACTCGAGAACACCGACGTAATCGCCTTGAGTGGTGCAGACAGCGGTCACTCTGGGATCAGGAATGGAACAGTATTGTCTTTAGTGACGAGTCTCGATTTTGTTTAGGAATGCACGATGGTCGTGCCAGGGTTAGAAGGCGACGTGGTGAAAGGAGGAATCCACAGTTTTTTGTTGAAAGACATGTTCATCACACTGTTGGAGTTATGGTTTGGGGTGCTATAGCTTATGGTTCCAGGTCACCTTTAATCTTCATCAGAGGTAACATGAACGCGCAGCGTTATATCCACGAAGTTCTAGCACCCCATCTTTTACCCTATCTTGACATCCTGGCAGATCCAACTTTCCAACAAGATAATGCCCGACCACATGTTGCAAGAGTCACAATAGACTTCTTTCAACATAATGATGTCACATTGTTACCATGGCCACCAAGATCTCCCGACTTATCCCCAATTGAGCACGTGTGGGATATGATGGGTAGGAGATTGCTCAATTTGCAACGTCCTCCTCAGACTCTAGAAGCACTTCGTGAGGAGTTGGTGGTTGCCTGGAATGAGATACCACAGGAGGACATTGACCACCTGATCAGAAGCATGCCTAGGCGCGTTGGAGAATGCGTAGCACATCAGGGTGCATCCACACATTATTAAAGGTCAAAGGGCTTTAAAGCAGTGCAATCATTTTGAAATTTTTATCATTTACTTATTATGCTTCATTAAGTACTTATACAAAATTTTATTAAAATAAAACCATTTAAACTGGGTGTTCGGATTTATATGTCACTTAGTATACATTGGATCATAAGGTTGTACTACATTAAAAAATATTACCTGCGCATCCGTCATCAGAAACATGATGCCAACATTTTTAAGGCCGCTTTTCAAGTAAAGGACTGCCATTTCCTTTTTTAGGTCAAGTACTCCGTAACCCTTCTTCAGTTGTATCTGTGATACTTCTAACGATGATATGAACGCGGCCAGCCTTGCTAGAGATTGTTTGCCACTACCACCTACACCGACAAGCAAAGCGCTTCCTCTTGGGGACTCTAAGATTCGATTAATTCTGAAAAAATACGACCAAACACGAAAAGTATATCAAATATCTTGACTTCGGTCAATTGTACAATCTTACCGACAAATATGCATCATTGCGTCTTCAAACAATACTAAGTTCATAGCAGCTACCAAGTCGTTATAGCTAGATAAAGCCTCATTTAATAGCTTGGTCAGATCAATCCATTTTTTGATGGGCATATATTTCGGCTCTCCGATACCACCAGCAAAGTGACAGTAGATATTTGGTTTTTCAAATACTATGGATTCGTCAATTTCCTAAAAGCACTTTAGTATATTAGATCTAATTATCCTTGAATTAGCGAAACAAACCGAAGTCGTCAAAGAAAGTGTGAAATCCTAAATAGATAGGTGGTATAGATTCATGGAGTGTCTAAACATAATGACCCGTCGAAAAACCCTCTGATCCATTGTTCAATAGTTCGTATGCTTTGTTTGTACCACTTATCTATATAGAACTCCACTGCAATTAGGGCAGGACTCAGTCGTAGAGCAAAACTGTAACTATAGTAGTAGTAGAAAGATTTATTTAGCACATTTGGCTACATAAACAGAACAATTGTAAACAACTTAGAACTAGTAAATTCAAGCCATATGGTGTATGATGTAAATGCTGGGCAATCTATAATTGTAGATTTAACAAGTGATTTCTCAATTTTACTTTAAACTTTGTCAAAGTTTTCTGGTCTTTTATCTCCGAGTATCAACCCTTGATGGAATACAGATTTGTAGCATATGTTATACTTTTTGGTCATTAAATGGAAGTCATCTTTATTTCTGGTATTATGTAAATGATGGTCGACATTTGATGATGTTAAATTAGTTAGACTTGATGGAAATATATTATTTTTTACTTTATAAATGAATATCATTACAAGATATTTGATAAAATTTTTTACATTGAGCCATTTTAATTTGCTAAGCATTTGCCTAATTGGAGTATATTTATCTTTATTTAGTATTATTCTCATGCACTAATTTTGTAAAATTTGCGGTCTTTCAAAACTGGAATTATTTGCTAAATATAGAATAGTCGAACAGTACAAGAAATTTGGAAGAATGATGGTATTATAGATAATTTTTCTGCTATATGAACTCAGACATCCAGAAACTCTCGATAAATATCCTTTACTACTAATCTTATTTATAACTTTTTCATAATGAATATCAAAAATTAATCGAGAGTCAACAAAAACTCCCAGGTATTTAAAATTTTCTACGAATTCAATATCTTCACCATCAATATTCAGTTGAACATTTGTACATTGTTTTTTTCCGATTAACGAGGCTTTCGTTTTACTTGCATTTAATTTTAGTCTGTTAGATGCTAACCATTTTGAGACAAGCTCCAAGTCTTCATTTATATGAGAGATACCAGACTGAATATTTTTAGTACTTATATAAATCATAGTGTCATCGGCGAAAATTTGAATTTTGCATTTTTGACTATGGCAGGTAAATCATTTATGTATAAAATAAAAAGAAGTGGTCCCAGGATACTGCCCTGTGGAACTTGCATCCTTTTAGACAAATAATTTCTAAACCAATCTAAAACACTTCCTGTTATACCATATGCCTTCAATTTACCTAACAAAATATCTCTATCAATCGTTTCAAATGCCCTCTTCAAATCCAAAAATACTGCTATGACGACTTCTTCTGAGTCTATGGCTCTTCTCCAATTCTCAGTTACCAACTGGAAAGCTGTTTCTGTGGAATATTTTTTTCGAAAGCCTGCTTGCGCCTCCACTAAAATTTTGTTTTCTTCTATAAACTGCATTAATTGGTCATGCACTATGGACTCTAATAATTTTTCAATGTCTGGTAACACATTTACTGGTCTCATATCGCTGCATCTTTTAGAATTTTTTATTTTGGGAACTGGTGTTATTGTAGAGCATTTCAAATTTTCAGGGAAAGAACTGCTTCTCAGTGAACAATTGATCCAATTTAATACAGGATATCCCAAAATTTCGAAACAGTTTTTCAGCACGTTTTTAGTAGTCATTTCGGCACAGTTGTTATTTGATTTTAAACTGTTTACTTTTTTTCTTAGATAATTCAATGATACGCTGTGAAATTTTGAAAGTGTATGCAACATTTCCCCCTGGAAACTGATTTTTATATAGTCAGGTGCAGCATTGGCAGTACCTACAATATCAACAATACTTTCCACAAAATATTCATTTAGTTTGTTTGCAATCACCAAAGAATTTGTTCCGGTACCGTTTTCGAATTGAACTTGATTTACACAATCATGCGGCTTCGAATTGATCAGTCTTTTTAAAGTCTTCCATATCTTTACACTGTCGCACTTGTTATTATCGATTTGTTTATCGTAGAATTTTCTTTTTGCTTCTCTAATTACATATACACATTTATTCCTAAGAGTTTTATATACCTCCCAATCATCATTTGATTTTGTGAATATACATTTATTGTATTGTTTGTCTTTCAAATTTTGAGCTGCCTTAATATTCTTGTTATACCAGGGTGTATTTTTTGTCGTTTTTATCAGTTGCAAGATCTAAACAAGTTTTTATATTTCCTATTATGTTGTCATATATTTTTTCTATATTCTCACCAAAATTCGAATAGCAACCAGCAAGTTCTCGTTTAAGTTTTTCGTACTTAATAGTATTTACGATTTTCTTAATTTTTGTATCAGAAAAATGCCCTACCAAGGGCAGCATTGTCGAACTGTGATCGCTAACTTTAGGTGTATGTACAGCTTTAATCTCTGCACATTCGAAATTTACAATAACAAGATCTAACAAAGTCTCTGATAATGATGTTATTCTGGTACTCTCTTCAATTTTTTGCTTGAACCCATAGTTGTTTATGGTTTCTTTCAATTTTCTTGTTTTCATGCTTTTACCATAATAATTTAGTATTAAGTAATTAAGTATTATATTGTTTCTAAAATTCCACATTTCTTCGCATTTTTCTTCAAAAAACGTTAAAAATGTATCCGCATCACTGTTTGGTGAACGGTAAAAAGTACAAAGATCATAACGTTTCCCAAATAATTTGAACTGTATATGTGCATACCAGTATGCATAGTCCAAAGTGGTACAATCGAATAATGTGATCTGTATTTTGTGGTAAACATAAATCACTACACCTCCAGTATGTCTGGAGTTGGAGTTGCATCTGTAGGTTTTATAATTAGTAATTTGTAATTCACCATCAGTGATGTCTTCTGTAGCATGTGTTTCGGTAAGACATAATACAAGTGGTTTTCTCCATCTTAAAAACTGTTGAACTTCATCTATATTATTCAGGACTCCTTGTATGTTTAAATGGTATATTGAGTTATATTCATCACTTACAGATTTAGCCACGTCTTGCAAATCTGAGCTTAGTAGTTGCTATTCATTTGCATAATTAATTTTTTCCCTCTCACGTTCAATTTTCCTTTTATATACTTCACAATTTTTGTCAAATGGTCCATGATTAATAGGTAATCCTAAATTAAAATCCTGGTTTGCACTTTTACAATTTGGACAGCATTTGTACATTTCACTGGAACTACAGTTTTCTGTTGAATATCCTTCTAATCCACAAGTAATACATTTTCCTGATTTTGTGCAGTATTTAGCTGTGTGGTTAAATCCGGTACATTTATAGCATCGCAAAACATTGATGTACTCGAAAACAGAGCAAACAGACATGTCGATAAAAATAACACCCTGATTCATAACACACTTAAAAGTCACCGCATCCACTTCTAAAATTGCTTGATATTTAGTTTTCATTTTCTTGACTGTAATTACTCTCATATGTGAATTTTCTTGAAAAGATTCATTTTGTGATTTTATAGTATTTATTAGCTCGTCTTCTGCATATTCTTGACAAAATCCAATAACTTTGATTTGTGGTTTTTTACTTATCTTATCTCTGAAGTTTTCACTGTATATGTTTCTGGTATTTTTGATTTTATTTCATTATGTAGCTTCGCGTTATCATCTTTTGTTTTACATTGGATTTTCACCCCACCATCTTTTAATTCATGAACTTTTTCAATAGCAATTTTCAAACTGGTAGGATTCAAAAATTTTGCGATGTCTTTCTTTGTGTTATTACACTCTTGTTGGTTATTAGGCTTAACAATGACTGTATTTGTGGGTTTTAATACTGGTGATTGTTTTTTTGCTGTACATGTTTGTAATGGTACGCATTGCTGCTTATATTCTACCATTTTTGTAGGCGAATTAACGGTTGAAGGCCCTGAAGCTTTAACCATATTAGCGTAAGTTGTAATTGCTTCTTGTGACGGCTGTTGCATTTTCCCAATGTTTTTGTTTAATTGGTCTATCTTTTCGTACAATACTTTTATTAATTTCTCTTGAATCGAAATGGTATAATCTTTTAGTTTCAAAACTTCCTCTGTACAAAATCCCTTTTCACTCAGTGAGACCACACTCTCCACTTCCTCACTAGCTCCATCCTTTTTAGAGTTTTCCTCCATATTCAAACTAAAAATTCAGGAATCTCCTAAAAACCTTTTTTTAGCTTGACCTAATTTTTGACATTAGAAGTCAAAAAAGTATTTCCAGAATTAATTTTGTGCAATATCTTCCGTGTGGGATCTGCAGCTGCAAACAGGTGTGGCGATATATATTTCGTTAATCTTCCCGGTGATCCTTGGTTGATATTTTTATGTGTGGTCTTTACCAATATTTCGTGTCTGTGTTGGAGCGAATAAAAGGAGCAAGTGTAGTAGTTAATATAGCAAACTATAACTAACTAACCTAACAACATTACCTCAAAATTTTTCTTAAATATATCGAGCTGTAGTTTGCTGAATGAGTCTATATCTTTTTCTTCTATCAGTTTGTCTCCGTATACCCTTTGACACTCATGAACCCATAGACGAACCAAATCAAATGGTTGATTCAGGCAGTCATTCGTACTGAATAATAAACCCTACAAAATTACTTGTAGTAAACCTTTCTGGGTTGTGACATAAATTCAGGTATACCTGAAAAACGTTGGAGATATCTCTCAAGTTGAATATATAATGAAACTTCACAGCTGTCGGCAAGTATATCTGTGACACTTTGTGATGTAGTGCTACTGAAGCGTTCACTATGTTATCGCTCAGCTTGCATATGAAAGAAGGGAATTTATATTCAGGGTTGGTGAGATGTTGACTCAGGATCGAATGATATATCATATTCAAAGCTTCAGTTCCAGGAAAACTGATAGCAAATACGCAGAAATGTCGTTGAAGTCTCGGATTGATCGTGAAACTTCCGGCAGTTGGGTTCATGCAAGCGACGTACTGACAGTTGTGGATTTCCTTCAGAGTAAGGCGATTTCTATCGTACCTAAAATATAAACGTCTGATTAGTAAGATGGACAACCTTTCTCATAAGCATTGTAATGGAAAAAACTCCCATAAACACGAGCATAACACACGATCTCGAATAGGCTCATCTGTCCTATATAAACCTACCTACAAGGTCCATCAGTGGCACATGTATAGATCACTGCTTTGTGAAAGACCTATCCAACAAAATTACTTGTATACCAATAATCCTAGAAAGCGATATTACTGACCACTTCTCCACTATTTTACTGATATCTTCAAATGAAAAACATTGTAACATCCCTACCGTTAATAACAACCAGGAAAATTACAAATTTTTTGTCGACAATTCAAAACTAATATCAAATGTCAAACAAGAATCCTGGGAACAATTATACTCTATAAATAATATAGACAAAGCAACGGGACTGTTCATAGAGAAAATAAAAAAACTAATAGATATTAGTACCAATAAAGTAATAATTAGTCACAAAGAGAAAAGCAGAAATGCCTGGATTACCAAAGGATTAATAACATCGGCAATAGAAAAAGAAAGACTATATAATGTAATGAAACTAACGCCAACTACAGAGAATACCGACTGTTACAACCAATATAAAAATAAATTTATAGAGCTTGCAAGGCAAACCAAACGAAAACATTACCTAAATAAATTGAATAATAACTTAAATGATCCTAAGCGGCTTTGGACAACTATTGATGAGATTACTGGGAAAACAAAATTTAAAGAGTGTGTTACTGAGTTAAATACAACATCGGGAACAGTATTAAAAAATACTCAACAGATATGCGATGAATTTGTACAATTCTTTAATGACATAGGCGAAAATTTAGCAAGTAATATACAAGCAAATGTACAAAATACTCAGCCTCCAAAAAGAACTTTGAACTCATTTATTTTGGATAAAGTCGAACAATGTGAAGTATACACCACTGTTATGTCCTTAAAAAATTGGAAAAGTCCTGGGTTCGATGGTATTAAAAGCGAGCATTTGAAAATTATAGCCGAGGACATAACAGAACCACTCACTTACCTAATCAACAAATGCTTTGAATCTGGCATATATCCCTCAATTTTAAAAAAAGGTAATATAATACCGATACATAAATCAGGAACAAAAACAGATGTTAACAACTATAGACCAATATCAATAATATCCAGTGTAGCAAAGGTTTTTGAAAAAGTTTTATCTACTAGAATGATTCGATACCTCACAAAATTCAAAATTTTAAGTGAAAATCAATATGGATTTACAGAAGGGAAGGCTACATCGGACGCAATAACTAAAATTGTAAATCAAATATATCAAAATATTGATAACAGAATCCCTTCAATCTGCATTTTTGTTGATTTAAAGAAAGCTTTCGACACAGTTAATCACAAATTATTATTAGAAGCATTGGAGAGAATTGGTTTCAGAGGAAACGCGTACTCACTGATCGAAAGTTATTTGTCAAATCGCCCACAACCTGTGCAGATATCAGGATCATTTAGTAAAGAAATGTATATTAAGTGTGGTGTCCCACAAGGAACTGTCTTAGGTCCGCTGTTATTCAATATATACAGGGTTATCCAAATTAAGTGTCCACCATTAGTAACTTTGTTATTAGTGAAAATACAAAGTTGTTTGAATTAGCAAACTAGTAGCATTTTTAACGCTGGTAAAAATGAGAAATAAAAAAAAACAATTGAGAGTCGTTATTTTGATTTTTTTCAGTAAAATAACATTTTTTTAAATGGAAACCCCTGTATATTATATTTTTTTCTGTTAAAGCATCAAATTTTAAACAAAAAAGCTTACAATAACTTTTCTCCTAGGTTACAAATTGTTGAAGTTATGGCCTCCAATCTGAAACAATTAAATTGTATCGACAAACTTTATTTTCAACATCAACTTATAATCTTACAAAATACAATAACAATTTTTTTTAAAGAAGATGCTCGAAAACACCACCTTGTTCTTCAATACATTTTTGGGCACGTTTTTCAACTGCTCGAACTGTCTTAAGTATGGTCCTACCATCTATCTGGGTTATCTTTTCCCTAACTGCAGTCTTTAACGCGTCAAGGTTATCGTACCTTCGCTTGTAAATTTGGTTCTTTAAGTAACCCCACAAGAAGTAATCAAGTGGGTTTAGATCTGGTGATCTGGGAGGCCACTGTATTGGGCCATTTGTTCCTATCCACTGATCATTAGAAGTAGTACTTAGAAAATGATAAGTACCTCTGGAGTTGTGGGCAGGTGCGCCATCTTGCTGAAAATGCAGATGATGTCTACTTATAAGATCCAATTCGTCTAAGAAATTAGTCAGAATTTCTGACATAAATTCCACATATCTTTCACCAGTTAGGGTTCCCTCATAAAAGAACGGGCCAACAATTTTTGAACCAATTATACCGCACCAAACGTTGAAACTGAAACGGACTTGTGGGCCTCTTGGATGTACTAACAAAAGATTTTCTCTTGACCAATAATGGTGGTTTTTTCTATTAAACATTCCAGAATTTGAAAAATTTGATTCATCTGTCCATAAAAGGTAACGAAAGTTATTTACATTTTGGCGACAGAAGCTAAGATACCAATGGCAAAAAACAAGTCTTCTCTCTGGATCCCCTGCCAAAAGCGTTTGAACTGGTCGGTACTTATACGGAATAAATTTGTATTTTTTTAAAATCCTTTGAACAGTACCATAACTGAAATTAGAGTCCTTGAGAATATCTGCTATTGAATTCTCACGATAAGCTTCAAAATATCCAATAACTGCAATTTCCGTGGCCTCGCTTATTATGAATTCTTTTTTTGCCCTTGTTTTAGCAAAAACATTTTCGTTGCCCCTAAATTTTCGATAAAGTCTCAGAAAATATCGTTCATACGGCTGAATGCGAGCGGGATATAATTCACTGTAGTATTCTCTTGCTCTCAAGGAGGATTTTCTGCACACTAAATAGCATTCTAACATATCACACTTTTCTTCATGGGAGAACATTTTTCTTTAAATTAATGACACAATAAAGCTTATAAACAAGTATTTACACTAATGTTTGACATTATTTGATTTTATCATTGTTTTCCAAAGCCTTCTAGTTGCGAGTATGTCCAGTTTAACAATTGGTCGCTTATCTTAATGCTGTCAAATCGCGAACGCCATGTTGTTTTCATAGCCGTCTTAATATTATAATACTGCAAATAATTAAAAATATTTATCGTTATTTTGACTTTATTTTTGACTTTAGCGGAAAAGTCATTATGAACTTTTTTGTTTAAAATTTGATGCTTTAACAGAAAAAAATATAATATACAGGGGTTTCCATTTAAAAAAATGTTATTTTACTGAAAAAAATCAAAATAACGACTCAATTGTTTTTTTTTATTTCTCATTTTTACCAGCGTTAAAAATGCTACTAGTTTGCTAATTCAAACAACTTTGTATTTTCACTAATAACAAAGTTACTAATGGTGGACACTTAATTTGGATAACCCTGTATTTAAATGATATTTTCCAAATTAATTGTGTTGGCAAAATAACTAGTTTTGCAGATGATACTGCATTATTATATGAAGGCACTGACTGGTCTGATCTGAAAAATGTAATTGAAAATGATTTTGTCAACATTATTCGGTGGTTTAACAGTAGAAAATTAAGCATTAACTACTCTAAAACACATTTTTTACCATTTGGATCTTATGCTAGACATCTGCCAAATTACACAAATTTCTCCTTCAATATTAATTATCAAAAAATGCAAATTAATAGAGTGCCCAACATAAAATACCTTGGAGTGGTCTTGGATCCTCACTTACGATGGGACATCCATGTCAATTATATTTTAAAGAAAGTTAGATTTGTATCCTACAAAATTAAATACCTTGGGAATATATTGACAGAAAAATATCTTCGAACATTATACCATACACTGATTGAGCCTCATCTCACATATGGTATATTAGCATGGGAGCTGCATGTTCCTCACATATCTATAATTTAGATGTTTTTCAAAAAAGTATTCTAAAAATGATATTTAAAAAACCGAAACTTTATCCCACTGAAAAATTATATGCAGATGTTCGAATGTATGATATAAGACAGCTTTAATTCTTACACAGTATCACTCACTATCATAAATTTGTAAACACCGACCAAAAAATTAAACATAATCATTATACCAGGTACAAAATTCGTGGCACAGTAGTTCCTCAACCGCATAAATCTATAATGCAGCGATCATATCTCTATTTAGCGCCTAAATTTTATGAAATTATTCCTAAAGACTTAAAAGATTTACGTTTCGGAAATTGTTTCAAAAGAAATTTAAAAAAGTGGCTACATTCTATATCTAGGACTGAAATTCCTAAACTCATAAATACGAACATCAACTAAATACATAATCTACTGTAGCTAATTTTTGTCCTTCTTTGTCATTTGCATTCTACAGTTTCAACTTAAATTATTGGTCCATGTACAGGCGATGCCTTCTATTGGGCCTGTTTTGGTTTTATATTTATTTACTCATATTGTTTGTTATCTTTGTACATTGAGTAAATAAATATTATTATTATTATTATTATTATTATTATTATTATAATATCCAATCCATTATTAAAAAAAACATTTAAATTTTTAGCTGTGAAATATTATAATAAATTTGGAAAACAATTTAGACGAAACTTAAAAGTCTGGGCTTGTACTGTGCAGCGAATGACTATAACGTACATAATTATGACGAAAGCTGAAACTACAAAATTCCAATTATATTAATACTTTTAAGAATAAACAATAATTGTTATACACATACCTGTATGATTGATTGTTAGTTATTAAGATATAATCCGCCCAAAGGCAATGCCTTCTGTGGTTTTTTCATATTTATTTGCCCATTTTTTTTTTGTTTTGGCGAATAAATATTATATTCCATATTTACCAGTGATTGTAGTCAAGGTGCTGTCTAATCAAAGTATGTGGCTGAACAGTTCCATATCCATCTACTTCAGGCATGTTCATATCATCTATGAAATAAACCATGGTCTTATTCCCAGGCGGACCGTAGTTTCTTCCAGCCTTCTTCTCTAAAGGTTTCTCCAGAATCTTTTGCAGCATTTCCGAGCTGGTATAAAAATTGAACGGAACGTTAGTTATTGCGTAGTTTTCTGAAAGAGCGCCAAGTTTATCCTTGACTAAGACTGTTTTTCCACATCCCGCTGTCCCTACCAGCATTACGGGATTGCGTTTTTCCATGAGCAGGTCCAGGAAGTATCTTATTCGTATGGATTCTGCTGTATGTACAAGAACGGCCTAAAAATCAAAGTTTTTAAAAAAGTTAAATGTTCGTATCTTTTTGACGTTTGACGCTTTGAAAAATAAATTTGTTTAATATATGTATTCCAAATGTAGACTATGCGTTGTAAAGACGAATAAAAGTACCTGCAATGGAACATCTGGATCTAGCTCAAAACGGCCCAGGCTCTCTGTCCAGGGAACAAATTGTTTGGATTCAAAATCTATGTAGTAATCAAACACAGTTCCACCTGTTGGAAATTTCACAGTTTTGAACTCGTTCACCCACCATTTTGTAAATTCTACCCTGTAGTCAGTCGCCTGAAAGAAAATGATCACAGCATTGTGTTATACAGCGATACTGACAGATCGATTTAAACCTATACGAGTATTTTGTTACAGTTTACTTTTACGATCGACTAAAAAGTAACTATATCTTGATAAAGTAAATTATTACAACCTTTTTATTATTTAGAATAGTAATTTTATAGCAGTTCTTAAAAATATCGAATTTTATTGTTATAATCAAACACTTCCCTTGGTCTAATGATTTTATGGTAGACAATCATACTCTACTCTCCATCTCGTTAAAGGTCATTTTTTGCTATTGTGCTATTTCCGTTGCTCTCGTGTAGGAATTGAGCGGCTCACTACCCGTTTTTGTGAAATACTTCCACATGCAGTGCTGCAGCTTTATCGGGTGGTGGAGATTTTAGTATAAATCGGCCTCCATTAGTGAGTTTGTTGTCGGAGCTCTCTTGGGGATTTCGCTGTAGACATAACTACATCCAACCATCGAGCTGGTAAGTGACCATTTTCTCCAAGCCACGTGTTCATTTCCTCAATATGATTTCTACTTATATAGAGGGGACCCGTCTGTAGTGATAATCCGAGGCGAATTTAAGCAGGTTTCATGCCTATGAGGAGCAGTAAGTTTCCCATTTCTGTGAGCCCTCATTGTTCGAGGTAGTTATGATTTTTTTTTACTTTGCGAGGCCTGTCTTAATCTCGTATAAATTGAAAACACAACCACTTCGCTAAAAAATTAAGCATGAAACTATCACTAATTTTATTTGTGCCAGTTTAGGCGTACTTACGTGACATTAGGGTTATACTTCAACCATTTAATATTATCCATTGTTTAGGTCAATATTGAATTCGTCAAAAGCTAATAATAAATACTGATTTCGACGAGGACGGAACATAATTCATCAACTTATTTATCAGTAAAAAGAGAGACATGTTTTGGATTTTTCATAGGTAACATTTATACAGGGTGTCCGCAAAGTTGGGGTTTTCCTTTTCGGAAACAACTACCCTTGAAATAACAAAGGTAATGTGTAGTGAAACGAGGGCGACCAAGTAAAAAAAAAATGAAGGAAAAAGTACTCACTCTCCAGTTGACGAGAAGGGCTAAGTACGTCTCTGCCCGAAATCATACCGCTCCAACAGAAAATGAAATCAGCTGAAGCGCTACCGAGCAGACGCAGAAACCACATTGATTGTCTTACGGTCTTACACTTAATGGCACATCTAACAAGGAAGGCAAAATGTTGCGTGAAAAGTCTAGGTATTGCATCCCGTCCATTCGATTTGGGAGAATAAATGGTCCAATGAGCATACCGTTCACCATGCCAGCCCAAACATTCACCGAAAATGTTTGTTGAAAATGACCAAACATGAGTGTTGCGAAAGTTATTCACCCCATTACGCGTGAACGTAGATTCGTCTGTCACCAATATGCACTTAAAAAAGTCCAGATTATTGTCCTGTTGATGCAACAACCACTCACAAAACCGCACTCTTGCTGGAAAATCGTCAGGTTGAAGGGCTTGTACACGTTGGACGTGAAACGGATACAGCCCCTCTTCACGCAGCGTTTGCCACTTTTTGGTTTTTGATACTTGCACTTCTCTAGCCACGTCTCTAGTGCTTGTTGTTTTTTGAAATGCAATCGGTTATACGAGTTCGTTTACCTCTACACGCTTGACTGTAACCGTCGTTTGAAGGTTGCATACTAACCTGAAACACTGACCCCGACCCAGTTCTGCCGTCGGGTTGAGACCTTGTACCAGTCTGGGATATCCCGGCGGGTCGCGGCTACAGGACGGTATTCAGATATTTCTGATGTTGCAGAGCCCTTTATCTCGATTCCCTTAAGACATTGGTGTATATGGTACTAAGAAAAACTGCTTATGTTTTCAAGAACTACACGTCGTGTAAAGGAAAACCCCAACTTTGCGGACACCCTGTATATTGTTCTGTATCATAGTGCATACACTGAGAATAATATATTATTATTTTGATATTGCTGTAACTTCTGATTTTGGGGGTACATTTACTGAAGTTTGGGCGAGTCACGCTCACGAGGTAAAATACCCCTGTTCTCAGGTAACATTTAAATTGCTTTACTTATAGGCTGAGGGAGGACATGAAATATTTTACCTCCGGGTCCTTATGTTTTTTTACAGGTATCTGATTAATTTAATTTACGTATTGCTAGTGCAATCGCGATTTTCGTTGTACACCGGGATTGAACAGAAACCTTGTCTTAATTTTAAATTTTTGAATTGATGTAACCCAAGACTAAATGGTTCCATGTTAAATTTGAATTTTTAATTCTTGTTCTTGGAAGCAGATTAAAAGGGTTTTTTTTAACAATTTTCACATGAATTCATTTTCAAAACAGCAGAATTATAGTTGATCATGTCGTATTGCATTCGAGCAATTTACCTGTTCTTGGAACATTGCAGATCCAAATGCCCACACACAGCAAAAAACAAAGTATAGTTCATACAGTTCCTTGGGACAGTCTGGTGGTACGTTGCTAGGTATCAAAAGACATTCTAGGAGATGACATAACATAGCTAGATGCGAGGTTTCTGTAATTGGTGTAATCTTCTTGAATCGGGTTCGCACATTTTCCAAACAAATCGGTATGTATTTATCGAATAGCATTATTAAGTTAGACTTTTCAGTTTGATTTTCACGAGTGTCTATCCAGCTTGTAACATATCTGGAAAAACAAATGAAAACTATAATTCGAAGTATTTCTGACTATATTAGTATTGGCATTGTAGTTTGAATTGTTGATTTTTTGGTCATCTTGTAATATCGCTTGTTCGGCAGGATACTGCAGGATATACTTTCATTTTGTTCTGCTTATGAAATATACAGGGTGTCCGCAAAGTTGGGGTGTTCCTTTTCAGAAACAACTACCCTTGAAATAACAAAGGTAATGTGTAGTGAAACGAGGGCGACCAAGTTAAAAAAAATAAAGGAAAAAGTACTCAGTCTCTAGTTGACGAGAAGGGCTAAGTACGTCTCTGCCCGAAATCATACCGCTCCAACAGAAAATGAAATCAGCTGATGCGCTACCGAGCAGACGCAGAAACCACATTGATTGTCTTACACTTAATGGCACATCTTATAACAAGGAAGGCAAAATGTTGCGTAAAAAGTCTAGGTATTGCATCCCGTCCAATCGATTTGGGAGAATAAATGGTCCAATGAGCATACCGTTCACCATGCCAGCCCAAACATTCACCGAAAATGTTTGTTGAAAATGTGCCCGACGGACAGCGTGCGGATTTTCTACTGACCAAACATGAGTGTCGCGAAAGTTATTCACCCCATTACGCGTGAACGTAGATTCGTCTGTCACCAACATGCACTTCAAAAAGTCCGGATTATTGTCATGTTGATGCAACAACCACTCACAAAACCGCACTCTTGCTAGAAAATCGTCAGGTTGAAGGGATTGTACACGTTGGACGTGAAACGGATACAGCCCCTCTTCACGCAGCGTTTGCCACACTTTAGTTTTTGATACTTGCACTTCTCTAGCCACGTCTCTAGTGCTTGTTGAGGGATTCTCGTCTACGCGATTACCTCTACACGCGTGACCGTAACCGTCGGTTGAAGGTTGCATACTGACCTGACACACTGACCCCGACCCAGTTCTGTCGTCGGGTTGAGCTAGTGTCCTAGCACCACTCGGGGATGTCGCGGGTCGCGGCTACAGGACGGTATTCAGATATTTTTGATGTTGCAGAGACCTTTATCTCGGTTCCCTTAAGACATTGGTGTATATGGTACTAAGAAAAAATGCTTATGTTTTCAAGATCTACACATCGTGTAAAGGAAAACCCCAACTTTGCGGACACCCTGTATATAAAGGCAGTTAAGATCATGCATAATATAAATGTATATTCCGCTATAGACATCTGTGTTATTGGTTGCCGAGACATCCAGTGGATACCAGTGACATGGCATCGGAAATTAGAAATATGAAATTCTATAATGACGTTGAGGTATTTTACTTCAAGCTGTGGTAATACTGGTATTACTCACGGATTCCATCCCAGGTCTTGTGGATTTATATACAAAATCCCAGCTCTAGAGACTGTAGCAGGAGTAGCAGTTCTGAGATTCGATATCTCAAACAGCAGTCTCATAGTTGGCGTTAGAGCGATTCTTTCATTGCTAGCCAACGTGAGCACTTTGTTATCATCCATGACAGTGTTGAGAGACTCTATCCACATTGGGTCAATATCGCCATCCAATACGATCCATTTGGGGTTTTCTCCTTGCAAATTTGCTTGGTCTCGCATCAGGACGGATAAAAGGCCATCTTTCCATTCTCTGGTCGCCGGATTTATGATACCAAATAGTTCATCGTTTGTCACCGCTTTTGGGTTCAAGTCGTTGTACACAGGTTTTCTTTTGATGTTCACGTACGTTTTGAAAAGGGTTTTCCAGACCTCGGTTTTGCCTGTACCCGCATTACCTACTATGAATACGGAGTGTCGTACTTCCAACAGTTCCTCAAGCTGGACAACCTACAATTAAATAATTCATATTTATCAGAAAAGGTGAAACAAAGCTACTCACTTTCAGAATGAAGTTATCTTCGGGTTGCAGCTTCAAATCCATTGCTGCTTGTTTCACAGTTCTTTCAAATTCAGCGTCTCTTTTCCTAGGTACTTCCAGTGCGGGGAATAGGTCTCCTATAAGACCCATAAAAACAGGGGTATCATCAGTGACGATTTTTGGGACGTTAAAGTCCCTTAGAGCCCTCATCAAGACCTCTTCTTCAGGCCTTCCTGGATCGCCTCTCTGAAAATATAATTTTTGAAATTCTACAGGAAGAGTTTTACGTATAATTTTTGAACCATCTACATTTTCTACAAATGTCAAACAGATAAAGCTGCCTGATTGTATTGTTAACTATAGTCAACGCCAAACAAAGTGGCGTGCACGTCATCAAGGTGGGTGTGTTGAAAAATTTACATTGTTGCCAAACTTTTTGTAAAATAATAAAATTTATTATTTACATATCTAGGTTTATAAGCAATATTAACCTCAAATGAGAACAAAAATAATAGTATAATAAAATTATAGATCTGTACTTGCATAATCATTAAGTATGACAATTATTGATCAGATGACACTATGAAACTACCATATTTAATTGATAGCTTAAAGGTACTGAATAAAAATCCCAATTGGGGTCCTCCAAATTTTATGCATGGTATTTATTATACAGAATTCATACAGAAAAATGCATTCTAAAATTAGGTAAGCTACTGGTGTAAGCTTTTTCTGTACAATAAAGTTAGTCGGAGTTTCTTTCTTCAGCGCTGTCTGAATCTGAATCTTCATCACTCTCAAAGTTGATTATTAAAGGTTCGATGTCTGGTCGATCAAAAATTCGTTCTCTTTCATACCATTTAAAAATTTCTTGCTCAGTATGTCGAACACTATTTTTCCACATGTCTGGGGTAACCGTTTGTAGAGCCTCGTTCCACATATCCAAACAGTCTTTTTCACTGTTGTTATAGTAACCTTTTGCTATGCCCCAAATTAACTCAATAGGGTTAAATATACAATGGTAAGGAGGCAGACGAAGAACTTTGTGCCCATGTTGTTCCGCCAATTCATCAATCACGTATATTTTAGGTGGTTTGTTTCTAAAAAAGCAGTTATTTTAAGAATAGGAATAAACAAAAGAAATATAAACTGTCGACCAAAATATATATAATTAAGAAGCATTATGTACCGAGCAACAATACTCAATAGCTCTGTTTTAAACATTGTGTTTAAAAATGGTATGTTTTGATTTGTCAACCAGTCTTGGATATTTTTTTTTGTCCATGCATTGTTGGGCACTTTGTTCAATATCATGCTGTGATAAGGGGCGTTATCCAGTATAATCATAGATGGACTCTCCAATTTTTCTAATAACTGATGTTGAAACCATTTCAAAAAATTGCCCTGGTTCATCTCTCCATGGTAATCGCTCAATTTTGTTTTCGAAGAAAATATCGCTTCACTACCCTCAATAAACCCATTTTCATTTCCAGCATGTAATATAATGTATCTAAAATATATTAGTTTTAAATTTTATAGTGCAAATTGTGTAAAAGTACATACCTTTTACCATCTGTTTTAATAGCTTTCACGCTTTTTTGGTTTCCATTTTGCCAAGAGCGACCTATGGTCCCATTTTGAAATATCCAAGTTTCATCGAGGAAGACAAACTGGTATAAGGCCTCAACCTTGGCTTGATTGTATTGCCTTAGAAATTCCACCCTTTTCAAAGCTATACTTGGTAGTTCCATGAGCCCTCGTCGCAGATTGTCCTTAAGCCACTTAAATCCAAGATCTCTAAGCAACCGCCTTAAAGACGTGGCACTACCATCAAATAATGCTCTATCTCTTAATCGAGACCATAAAGTTTGTATCGTAACTTGTTCTTCTGAAACCATGTGTAATATGACATTATAATTTAGTTAACAAATTAATGCAAATTTCTGATAAGTTATTATAATAAGATCTTACTTTTGTGATACATATTATAGATCACTTCTCGAATGGCACTTGTATCCAATGTCGCTGTGTTGGTTACACGTTTAATATAACTCCGCTTTTTCTTGGGCGATTCTAAATTTGCATCACTTTTCACACCCTCGGAAATACGACTAACTGTGCTTAAACTAATTTTTAAAGCAGCAGCAACACGCTACAAAAAATGAAATAAAATTTCACTATTATTAATATACATTGCATATAATTATTAGTAACCTACCTCTTGAACAGCATTTAAAGGCAACAAAGGCCCGTTGTTGTCCCTTTCTTGCTCAAAGTAGTGCATTAACGAGGCCACGAGTTCCTTACACCGACTATTTAACTGTTTGGGCATCTTTATATACCAAAATTGCCTTTATCTACTCGCAAAATGAATAATTTTGTTTTGAAACAAACAGTTGTTGATTTACAGTATGCGGGGCCAAAGGATTTATAAAGATTTGAAATGCCACAAATTGATTCAGTGTCAAAATTAATACAAATGTCAGTTCCCAGTTTAAATAAGTTTCAAGGTGACAATGTGTCAACGCTGCGAAATCGGTTTAGTGCGTTTACATGTCGATAAGTGATTGGAGCGTTTGCAAAACATTTTATTTCGCATAATGCGTCTAAATTTATCAGAAAGCAACTTATGTGATATTTTAATAACAATGTTTATATGACTATTAACCATAATAAGAGAGTAATGACCATTTTACAATTTATATATCACATTAATATGAAACTGCAATAGAGCAATTGTTTGTGATAGAAACCTAGGCATTAGGTCGGGGAATTTTTATCGTGATGACGTGCACGCCACTTTGTTTGGCGTTGACTATATATTTATTGTTATAGTGTGATTACCTTCAGTGATCCTGCTACAACTAAAACTGACTTGATCGCTCTGAGACCCCAGTCATAATGGTCTTGTTTTGACAGAAGTTCCTTGCATAAAGTATACAATGTTATGAATTTCCTAGCTAGAATTTTCGCTTCTTGGAAGCCTTCGGCTACTAACATTATTTCGCAAATCAATTCAAAATCTGGGACTACCATCGCGCAAGGCCTGAAAGAGATATTTGTTCTTTGAGAGAAATACCTAAATACTGAACTGTCAATCCCTTCTACACTCTACCGCAATTTCGTGCCATGTGTTTTTTAATTTTTTATAGTTATTTTCTAGAATCTAGTTTAACAGGTTATTATCTACACTACCTGAATAAGGCTTTCAGATTTTCAGGAAGCTCAGTCCTGCCAGCATATCCAGGATTCATTGTTATGAAAATCCCCACGGTTGGTACCAGGTTTATCATATCTCCCATAAAATCGAATGTTATTTTTTTATTTTTGATAGCGTCCAAAACTGATTTTACTTGCACCGCTACCACTGAAAGTACTTCAACAGATATTCTGTTGAATTCATCGAAGCAGCCCCAAGCACCCGTTTGAGCGAGGCCTTTGTAAATGTTACCGCAAGACTGAAAATATAAATTGAATAAGTATACTAAGTGACATATAAATCCGAACACCCAGTTTAAATGGTTTTATTTTAATAAAAGTTGGTGAATGTATTTATCTTACTGTAAATAACAAGTGAAAAAATTTTCAGCCTTATCAGTTGGACATTCCGGTTTTTATACTGCTTTTTTTTAATTCACTAACGCTCTAAAAATGAATATTTCAGCCGCAGTAAAGAATCAACGTTGACGGATTTTGGTTCTTGACATCCTTTACGATCGGTTACGATGCCTAGAGTAGGGAGACCTGTACGATTTCGTCAACTTAGTGAGTTTGATAGGGGCCGTATAGTGGGACATCGGGAAGCTGGACTTTCTTTTCGGGCAATTGCACTTAGAGTGCAAAGAAGTGTAGACACTGTGGTTAGGTGTTGTCAGGCATGGCTTCGAGAAGGCCGTACGCAAAGAGCAAGGGCCACTGGACGCCGCCGTAGAACAACAGACCGTGAAGATCGCCGCCTAAGATTATTGGCCTTAAGGGACCGTTTCTCCACTACCAGGTCCATTGCAAATGAATGGTTTGCAGAACACGGAAAACCTATTGGCATGCGAAGTGTTTACCGACGAATGAGAAGTTTTGGCTTGTTTTCATACCGGCCACACTGGGTCCTCCCTTTAACTCGAGAACACCGACGTAATCGCCTTGAGTGGTGCAGACAACGGTCACTCTGGGATCAGGAATGGAACAGTATTGTCTTTAGTGACGAGTCTCGATTTTGTTTAGGCATGCACGATGGTCGTGCCAGCGTTAGCAGGCGACGTGGTGAAAGGAGGAATCCACAGTTTTTTGTTGAAAGACATGTTCATCACACTGTTGGAGTTATGGTTTGGGGTGCTATAGCTTATGGTTCCAGGTCACCTTTAATCTTCATCAGAGGTAACATGAACGCGCAGCGTTATATCCACGAAGTTCTAGAACCCCATCTTTTACCCTATCTTGACACCCTTGCAGATCCAACTTTCCAACAAGATAATGCCCGACCACATGTTGCAAGAGTCACAATAGACTTCTTTCAACATAATGATGTCACATTGTTACCATGGCCACCAAGATCTCCCGACTTATCCCCAATTGAGCACGTGTGGGATATGATGGGTAGGAGATTGCTCAATTTGCATCGTCTTCCTCAGACTCTAGAAGCACTTCGAGAGGAGTTGGCGGTTGCCTGGAATGAGATACCACAGGAAGACATTGACCACCTGATCAGAAGCATGCCTAGCCGCGTTGGAGAATGCGTAGCATCAGGGTGCATCCATACATTATTAAAGGTCAAAGGGCTTTAAAGCAGTGCAATCATTTTGAAATTTTTATCATTTACTTATTATGCTTTATTAAGTACTTATACAAAATTTTATTAAAATAAAACCATTTAAACTGGGTGTTCGGATTTATATGTCACTTAGTATACATTCATTCATTTTCCTAACTTCCACATATATCCACTATTTAAAGTTCTACATAGGTGGTTGTCAAGCCTCTACAAAAGTTTTATAAATAAAGGGTGTTTCAATAAAGACGCAATATTTCGAGGTTCTATTAAACATGGTATTTCGTAACAAAAAACTGAAATATTTATTGGTTTATGTATGAAACAACACATCAGGTAAATGGCTGCTAAAGCCCCGCTGGCACATGCACATTTAATGAAATTTGTGGTAACATTTTTGAACAGATGTCGTGGTATCTCGTTGATACAACGTCTGATTTCAGCTTTCAATGCTTCGGTGGTTGCAGGCAACTTCAGATAACCCCAAAGCCAAAAGTCCAAAGGTGTTAAATCGCAATTCTGGTCACCAAATCGGGAGATGACTCGACCAGGAGCAAACTGGTGCAAAACTGCCAAACTATATGGCATTAAGACCCATGACTTCTAATTGTGGCACAAAAAACTGAGTAATCGTTGCACGATAACGTTTGCCATTCACTGTTAGTGTATTACCCGCCTCGCCCTCAAAGAAAAACGGTCCAATAATTTCTCCAGACCAAAATGCCAGAAACATATACAGTGAAAACTTCAGAGATAAGTAAAAAACCACAAATCAAAGTTATTGGATTTTGTCAAGAATATGCAGAAGACGAGCTAATAAATACTATAAGATCACAAAATTCACATATGAGAGTAATTACAGTCAAGAAAATGAAAACTAAATATCAAGCAATTCTAGAAGTGGATGCTGTGACTTTTAAGTGTGTTATGAATCAGGGTGTTATTTTTATCGACATGTCTGTTTGTTCTGTTTTCGAGTACATCAATATTTTGCGATGGTATAAATGTACCGGATTTAACCACACAGCTAAATACTGAACAAAATCAGGAAGATGTCTTACTTGTGGATTAGAAGGACATTCAACAGAAAACTGTAGTACCAGTGAAATGTACAAATGCTGTCCAAATTGTAAAAGTGCAAACCAGGATTTTAATTTAGGATTACCTATTAATCATGGACCATTTGACAAAAATTGTGAAGTATATAAAAGGAAAATTGAACGTGAGAGGGAAAAATTAGTTATGCAAATGAATAGCAACTACTAAGCTCGGATTTGCAAGACGTGGCTAAATCTTTAAGTGATGAATATAACTCCATATACCATTTAAACATACAAGGAGTCCTGAATAATATAGATGAAGTTCAACAGTTTTTAAGATGGAGAAAACCACTTGTACTATGTCTTACCGAAACACATGCTACAGAAGACATCACTGATGGTGAATTACAAATTACTAATTATAAAACCTACAGATGCAACTCCAACTCCAGACATACTGGAGGTGTAGTGATTTATGTTTACCACAAAATACAGATCACATTATTCGATTGTACCACTTTAGACTATGCATACTGGTATGCACATATACAGTTCAAATTGTTTGGGAAACGTTATGATCTTTGTACTTTTTACCGTTCACCAAACAGTGATGCGGATACATTTTTAACGTTTTTTGAAGAAAAATGCGAAGAAATGTGGAATTTTAGAAACAATATAATACTTTTAGGTGATTTTAATTTAAATTATTATGGTAAAAGCATGAAAACAAGAAAATTGAAAGAAACCATAAACAACTATGGGTTCGAGCAAAAAATTGAAGTGAGTACCAGAATAACATCATTATCAGAGACTTTGTTAGATCTTGTTATTGTAAATTTGGAATGTGCAGGGATTAAAGCTGTACATACACCTAAAGTTAGCGATCACAGTTGGACAATGCTGCCTTTGGTAGGGCATTTTTCTGATACAAAAATTAAGAAAATCGTAAATACTATTAAGTACGAAAAACTTGAACGAGAACTTGCTGGTTGCTATTCGAATTTTGGTGAGAATATAGAAAAAATATATGACAACATAATAGGAAATATAAAAACTTGTTTAGATCTCGCAACTGATAAAAAAGTGTTTTGCTCGACAAAAAAATAAACCCTGGTATAACAAGAATATTAAGGCAGCTCAAAATTTGAGAGACACACAATACTATAAATGTATATTCACAAAATCAAATGATGATTGGGAGGTATATAAAACTCTCAGGAATAAATGTGTATATGTAATTAGAGAAGGAAAAAGGAAATTCTACGATAAACAAATCGATAATAACAAGTGCGACAGTGTAAAGATGTGATCAATTCGAAGCCGCATGATTGTGTCCAAGTTCAATTCGAAAACGGTACCGAAACAAATTCTTTGGTGATTGCAAACAAACTAAATGAATATTTTGTGGAAAGTATTGTTGATATTGTAGGTACTGCCAATGCCGCACCTGACTATATGAAAATCAGTTCCCAGGGGGAAATGTTGCATACACTTTCAAAATTTCACAGCGTATCATTGAATTATCTAAGAAAAAAAGTAAACAGTTTAAAATCAAATAACAACTGTGCCGAAATGACTACTAAAAACGTGCTGAAAAACTGTTTCGAAATTTTGGGATATCCTGTATTAAATTGGATCAATTGTCCACTGAGAAGCAGTTGAAATGTTCTACAATAACACCAGTTCCCAAAATAAAAAATTCTGAAAGATGCAGCGATATGAGACCAGTAAATGTGTTACCAGACATTGAAAAATTATTAGAGTCCATAGTGCATGACCAATTAAAGCAGTTTATAGAAGAAAACAAAATTTTAGTGGAGGTGCAAGCAGGCTTTCGAAAAAAATATTCCACAGAAACAGCTTTCCAGTTGGTAACTGAGAATTGGAGAAGAGCCATGGACTCAGAAGAAGTTGTCATAGCAGTATTTTTGGATTTGAAGAGGGCATTTGAAACGACTGATAGAGATATTTTGTTAGGTAAATTGAAGGCATATGGTATAACAGGAAGTGTTTTAGATTGGTTTAGAAATTATTTGTCTAAAAGGATGCAAGATACAAAAGTTAATGACACTATTTCATCAAAAATTGAAAATACGTTGGGTGTTCCACAGGGCAGTATCCTGGGACCACTTCTTTTTATTTTATGCATAAATGATTTACCTGCCATAGTCAAAAAATGCAAAATTTCGCTGATGACACTATGATTTATATAAGTACTAAAAATATTCAGTCTGGTACCTCTTATATACGTATAAATGAAGACTTGAAGCTTGTCTCAAAATGGTTAGCATCTAACAGACTAAAATTTGATGGAAAAAACAATGTACAAGTATTCAACTGAATATTGATGGTGAAGATATTGAATTCGTAGAAAATTTTAAATACCTGGGGGTTTTTGTTGACTCTCGATTAATTTTTGATATTCATTATGAAAAAGTTATAAATAAGATTAGTAGTAAAGTGGGATCTTTATCGAGAGTTTCTGGATGTCTGAGTTCATATAGGAGAAAAATTATCTATAATACCATCATTCTTCCAAATTTCTTGTACTGTTCGACTATTCTATATTTAGCAAATAATTCCATTTTTGAAAGACTGCAAATTTTACAAAATAAGTGCATGAGAATAATACTAAATAAAGATAAATATACTCCAATTAGGCAAATGCTTAGCAAATTAAAATGGCTCAATGTAAAAAATTTTATCAAATATCTTGTAGTGATATTCATTTATAAAGTAAAAAATAATATATTTCCATCAAGTCTAACTAATTTAACATCATGAAATGTCGACCATCATTTACATAATACCAGAAATAAAGATGACTTCCATTTAATGACCAAAAAGTATAACATATGCTACAAATCTGTATTCCATCAAGGGTTGATTGAATATAATAAATTATACTCGGAGATAAAAGACCAGAAAACTTTGACAAAATTTAAAGTAAAATTGAGAAATCACTTGTTAAATCTACAATCATAGGTTGCCCAGCATTTACATCATACACCATATGACTTGAATTTACTAGTTCTAAGTTGTTTACAATTATTCTGTTTATGTAGCCAAATGTGCTAAATAAATCTTTCTACTACTACATAGTGCACACCAAACAGCGACACGATTTGGAATCATATCTTTGTCATGGATTACTCTTGTATTCTCTGTGCCCTGAATGCGGCAGTTTTGTCTATTGACGAATCCATCGAGATGCAAATGGGCCTCTTGGCTAAAAATGATTTTGTCTACAAAATCACAATTCACATACTGTTGGAAAAGAATCCAATTGCTAAACTCTCTTCGCTGTGCATGGTCTGTTGGCATGAGCTCTCGAGTCAGTTGGATTTTGTAGGCATGCAGGTGTAAATCTTCCGGTAGCATACTCTGGAGAGTGGCTGTTTCAATGTCCAATTCTTGAGCGCGATGACGAATCGACGTCCCTGGATTCTCGGCTACATTTTCGCGAACTGCTCTGACATTTTCTTCTGAACGACCGCTGCGAGCTCGTCTCGTATGTTTCACATCATTACCAGAACCAGTTTTCACAGTGGATGGGGTAAGAACATTATTCCTACCGAATATCACTGGACAACAAATTTTAGTTTTTTAATTGTATGTTGTGGGAAAAGTGCACTTCTTTGTTAATTTTGGGGCGCTGAATCCAAAAATGACAATGAAATAAAAAAATTAGTTGCGGTTTAGAAAAAAAACTTTTTATTTTTAAGGATATATTAAAAAAAGTAACAAGATTCATATACTTATAAGAATCACTATATGCGCTGTCTTTTTGCTGTTCTTTTATGGATCGTTTCTGGAGCATCTTTACCAAGAGTCCAACAGTAGTATGCAAGCATGGAAGGATTCCACTTTCCCTGGTACCTTTTTTCCATTGTTGAAATATCCTGATGAAAACGTTCGCCGTGCTCATCACTTACGGCTCCGCAATTGTCAGGAAAAAAGTCCAGGTGTGAGTGTAGGAAATGTATCTTAAGAGACATATTACAGCCCATCTTTTGATACGATGACAGCATATTTTTGACAAGAGTTTTATAGTTGTCAGCTTTTCTATTTCCCAAGAAATTAATGACCACTAGACGGAAATCATTCCAAGCAGTTTTTTCAATACCTGTTAAAGTGTTTTCAAACTGTGTATCTTTCAAAATATTTCAATCTGTGGCCCAACAAAAATACCTTCTTTAACCTTTGCCTCACTTAGTCTTGGAAATTTCTGACGCAGGTATTGAAAAGCTGACCCATCTCTATCTAATGCCTTGACAAAGTTTTTCATTAGGCCCAACTTGATATGCAGTGGTGGTAATAATTTTTTTTTCGAATCTACTAATGGCATATGCTGTACATTTTTTGACCTGGCTCTAGGAATTGACGAACAGGCCAGTTTTGTCTGGTGTAATGAAGTGCCTTTGCCCGACTGTCCCATTCACACAAAAAACAGCAAAACTTTGTGTAGCCTAGCTGCAGCCCAAGTAAAAGTGCAACAACTTTCAAATCGCCACAAATATGCCATTGGTGCTCATCGTATTTTATGCATGTCAATAGGTACTTCATATTGTCATATGATTCTTTCATGTGAACTGCATGCCCTACAGGAAGAGATGGTAAAATATTTCCAATATGCAATAACACTGCCTTTAAACTCAATGTTGAACTGTCTATAAACAATCTCCATTCTTCTGGGTTATAGTTTATATTTGAAGCCGCCAGTAAGCCGTTAATGTTACTGCAGAAAACCAAGTTATTCTCCATATCGAAAAATGGTTCTAAGTCTGTGTGGCGTTTACGAAAAACACATACCGAAACATCGTCTTCTAACAAGTTCCACTGCTGCAGTCTTGATCCAAGTAACTCTGCCTTACATTTTGGAAGTTCTAAATCTCTTACAAGATCATTTAATTCTGACTGTGTTATTTTGTGCGGTTGGTGGCATGCCGTGCTCGGTATAAAATCAGGATCCCTTGACGTTGATGGCATATCTTCTTCCTGACGAATCACTCGATCGCCATGATCTGATTCGTTTTCTGATTCGCAAGTGTAGGATTCTGGGGGTTTTGGAATAGGATTTTCGTTACTGTGAGGCACAGATCTCATCGCAGATGGTATGTTTGGGTAGTTAATAACCGATTTTTTTTTCTTGGACATACCTGTGGCTTGTCCAACACAAGGTACCATGCAAAAGTAACAATCATTAATATGATTTGTAGGCTCTCTCCAAACCATTGGGACAGCAAAGCGCATAGACCGTTTTTTGCCATTTAACCAGCTCCTCAGACTTGAAGCACATGTATTACAGCAGATGTGGGGTGCCCACTGTTTGTCTTGATCACCTAGTTTACAACCGAAATAAAGCTGATATGCCTTTGTTATTAGTGGAGTAATAGACCGTCTCTGAGACGCAAAAGTCACATCACCACACACGTAACAAAACTGATCTGGTTTGTTTACATACTTTCGAGACATCTTGCATGAACGCTGTCAGCCAACTGAGCAAAAAAATGGCTAATATAAAACAATATAATGTACACGTATGTATAACGTAACACAATCATGCCGATTACATCATCTTTCCTTGCCGAATATAAAAATGTAGCACGTGCATTCTTGTGAATTACAGTATATTAACACTGTCACAGCAGGAACACATATAATTACCGTATCTCTAAAACTTGAACTAATATTGAGAAAATAAGTTTCATTCCGGTTTTAGCACATTAAAAATAGTAATATTTTGTTGATTTGATTTAGGATATTTTTTGGCTGTTGATCAGTGATATTAGCTGCACTTTTCGAATCATGGCAATGAAACTTTCACCACTTTGGTAATAATTTTTAACAATTAGGATACGCTGGTCTATTGTGTAATGATTCATTTTCCCAAACTCCCGCCTGTCTACTATCGATCTGTCTTGTCACAATCATTATGACATTATGACTGCCAAAATGGCGCTAAATTCAAATATTGCGTTCTTATTAGTACACCCTTTAAATATAAATTCACTGACACTTTTCCAGTTTTTTTTATATCATTTGTATTGTGACCCACTGACCTAAGTCACGTTTCTTACTTTATAATCCATCTGTTCCGAGCAATTAAAGACATAAACCATTATTCCCAAAGCTCGACCAAGGTCTTTTGTGGTCTCAGTTTTTCCTGTACCAGCCGGTCCTGCTGGGCCACCTCCCATCACAAGATGCAAAGACTAAAATAAAAAAAATTAAATTCGTACTAAACAGGAGGACAGTTGCTTTGCAACATGGAAAATTTTACCCAAATTCAAATCTCGATATTTTCGGAACGAAAAGAGATATCGAATTCCGGTATTCGGGAGCTTCTTAAGTTTGGGGCATGACAGATTCTGAATATTTGATCTTGGAAATTTTTCTATGCATCAATTATTGACGGGATCCCATACAATGTCCCATTAGCTCATATTATAATGCATCATTCAGTGAGTTTAGAAGAACAAACATTAATCGTCTCAAGATTATATCAAAAATTAAACCAAATCAAAATAAGAGTGAGATTTTGTCTAAAAGTGTGCTTAATGAATGTTTTGATATTATTGGAGCAAGGATATTAATCCTGATCAATTACTGTTTAAAATATGGCGAATTCCCAACAAAACTGGCGTGTTGTACCATAACTCCTGTTTCTAAACTTAAGAATTCTGAGTTGTACACCAATATGCGGACAATAAATGTTCTGCCAGATGTTGAAAAAGTTTTTGAAGAAATTATTTACGAACAGATCATCGAATTTGTTGAGAGAAATAACATTTTAACCAAATTTCAAGCTGGATTGAGGAAGAAACACTCAACTGAAACGGCAACACAAATGGTTTTAGAGGACTGGAGGAGATGTATGGACAATCGGAAACATACAGTAGCAGTGTTTTTGGACTTCAAAAGGGCGTTTGATACTATTGACAGGGATAAATTACTTACAAAATGCATCACTACGGATTTAAAGGATCTGTATTCAAAATTCTACAAAACTATTTAATTGACAGAAGTCAAAAAACGAAAATTGGACCTACATTATCAAGATCAAAAAATATTTCTGTTGGTATACCACAAGGTAGTAAACTAGGTCCACTACTATTTATTTTATACATTAATGACATTTGTAATATTTTAGATTATTGTAAACTTCAGATATATGCAGATGATACATTAATATACATATCAGATGAAAATATAGACACTGCTTTAAGAATGATAAATTCTGACTTGGCAAAAATCGTGAATTGGTTAAATGTAAATAAACTAAAATTGAATACTTCTAAACCAAAATGTATGCTAATAGGGAAATACCTAAATGAAAATACTATCACAGTTAGGATAAATGGAGAAATGATTGAAAATGTTGAATCAATTAAATATATTGATAGTAAACTGAAGTTTGAGGATCACTATGAATATATTATTTCAAAAATTGCCAAAAAAAAAACAGCTTACTTTTATATGGCGTCTCATAGTCTTGGTACCTATTCCAAGAAAATAGTTTATCATACAATTATTCTACCGCATTATTTACTATATTGTTCAACTATCTCGTTCACTGCCAGTGAAACTGTATTCTCAAAATTACAAGCCTTGCAAAATAAAGCTATGAGAACAATATTGAATAAAAATAAGTACACCAAAATAAAATCTGTTACAAGAATTGCAGTGGCTGAATATAAAAAATTTCATATCGTATGCTTAAGTGACATATAAATCCGAACACCCAGTTTAAATGGTTTTATTTTAATAAAATTTTGTAAAAGTACTTAATGAAACATAATAAGTAAATGATAAAAATTTCAAAATGATTGCACTGCCTTAAAGCCCTTTGACCTTTAATAATGTGTGGATGCACCCTGATGTGCTACGCATTCTCCAACGCGTCTAGACATGCTTCAGATCAGGTGGTCAATGTCCTCCTGTGGTATCTCATTCCAGGCAACCACCAACTCCTCTCGAAGTGCTTCTAGAGTCTGAGGAGGACGTTGCAAATTGAGCAATCTCCTACCCATCATATCCCACACGTGCTCAATTGGGGATAAGTCGGGAGATCTTGGTGGCCATGGTAACAATCAATATATCAAGATAGGGTAAAAGATGGGGTTCTAGAACTTCGTGGATATAACGCTGCGCGTTCATGTTACCTCTGATGAAGATTAAACCGACGTAATCGCCTTGAGTGGTGCAGACAACGGTCACTCTGGGATCAGGAATGGAACAGTATTGTCTTTAGTGACGAGTCTAGATTTTGTTTAGGCATGCACGATGGTCGTGCCAGGGTTAGAAGGCGACGTGGTGAAAGGAGGAATCCACAGTTTTTTGTTGAAAGACATGTTCATCACACTGTTGGAGTTATGGTTTGGGGTGCTATAGCTTATGGTTCCAGGTCACCTTTAATCTTCATCAGAGGTAACATGAACGCGCAACGTTATATCCACGAAGTTCTAGAACCCCATCTTTTACCCTATCTTGACACCCTGGCAGATCCAACTTTCCAACAAGATAATGCCCGACCACATGTTGCAAGAGTCACAATAGACTTCTTTCAACATAATGATGTCAGATTGTTACCATGGCCACCAAGATCTCCCGACTTATCCCCAATTGAGCACGTGTGGGATATGATGGGTAGGAGATTGCTCAATTTGCAAGGTCCTCCTCAGACTCTAGAAGCACTTCGAGAGGAGTTGGTGGTTGCCTGGAATGAGATACCACAGGAGGACATTGATCACCTGATCAGAAGCATGCCTAGGCGCGTTGGAGAATGCGTAGCACATCAGGGTGCATCCACACATTATTAAAGGTCAAAGGGCTTTAAAGCAATGCAATCATTTTGAAATGTTTATCATTTACTTATTATGCTTCATTAAGTACTTATACAAAATTTTATTAAAATAAAACCATTTAAACTGGGTGTTCGGATTTATATGTCACTTAGTATATTTGGTTCTTATTTTTATATTTAAAATAAAAAATCATTTTTTGTCAGAACATTTAGAACACTACATAGAATTGAATAATCATTACCACAATTATTATACAAGAGGAAATATAGATTTTCATTTACAAAATTGCAATAGTAATATAACTAGCAAATCAATATTTCAGAAATGACTAAATAATGATATAAAGTCCACTTGTAATTTAAAGATATTTAAATGAAAATTAAAGGAATATTTCATGGCTAATGAAAATTCTTAGAAATGCAAATTTTTTTTTTCTGAATGTCCGTATGTTATTAACTGTTTAGTTTTTTAGAAGAATGTAATTGTAGCAGTCATGCTAAATAAATCTTAAACAAACAAACAAATCTTTTTGATCTTTAGACTATCCTAAAAAAGTGATATCTCAAATTTTCCGAAAGTTGGGTACAACTCAAATTATCGAATTTTTAACTTCTCGCAATAAACGTCTTTCGGCGCGACCTGGTATTTTTTTTCTTTTGATTACTAGCATCCAATCGTACTGTAAGAACTTTGAATTCTGATTTGTTAAGGTATGTAAATGTTATAACAAATTTGCTATACTACAACTATTTAAAACTGTAATGACTCATACGCGTGATCAACACGTGATCAGAGCTCGATCCCGGCTTCCTTCCAGTACGGCCGTATAGCGTACGACATATGTCGTTTCTGTGGCTTTGCGGTGGTCAACAGCACAGACAGAGATGGAAATAATGGCTGATTGTTCTCCGCCGGTAGAACCAATGAAATCAAAGACGCGCCTCGACCGGCAGACTCATAGGCGTCGGCAACGCATTGGAACGTGTTTCGTTGAGCGATCGCATATTGTGTGTTTTTATAAGAATTGTTGTGTGATTGTTATTGTTGTGGTTTCTGTGGTTACTGTTTTGGTTATACTTAACCATGGAGAGTACAAATGGTACGAGTGGAAGTACTGAAAGCCAGGGAACAAGTAGACGGCTTCGTAAAGCACTGAAGAGGGACGCGAAAGAAATCGTGCTCAACGTGTTCAATTATCTGAACAGAACTATGTCGCAGGGAGATGCACTCGCGCGTTGTGAAAGTATGACAGGCGTTCCAGAGTGGACCATTCGCAGGGTGGTGCATGAAAAGTAGAAAACTGGAGCTACTACTGATCCAAAGTTTAATTTGAAGGGACGAAAGGCCGTTAAATTGGATGACGATAGCAAAATGGCGTTAAGGCGAACCGTACATTCATTCTTCTTTAGGAATGAGATACCAACCCTCAAGGCTGTACATGCAGCGATCAAGGAAAATGAAATTATACCCCAAATGAGCGTCGAGATAATGAGGAAATCCCTGCACGAAATTAATTTTCGTTACGAAACGCGTAATCGGAAGTCAGTATTGATAGAGAGACCTGAAATAGTCGCCTGGCGTCGAAAATACCTACGCGAAATGATTGAATATAGGCGACAAAGCAGAAAAATCTATTATTTGGACGAGACATGGGTAAATGCAGGTCACACAGTTAAAAAAACCTGGATAGACAAAAACGTAGTGAGTAACCGACAAGCAAGCATTGAAGGTTTGTCAACAGGTCTTCGTAGACCGTCAGGGAAAGGTCAAAGATTGATCGTAACTCATATTGGTAGCGATAGTGGCTTTTTAGAAGAGTGTGACTTGATTTTCGTCTCTTAGAAAGGAGGTGATTACCATGACGAAATGAATGCCAGCTGCTTCGAGAGCTGGTTTCAAGGGGTGCTTCAGCGAGTTGAGCCCAACTCTGTGATCGTCATGGATAATGCTTCCTAAAATAGTCGTCGAGCCGAACGTGTACCGACTATGGGATCTCGAAAAAGTGACATGCAGCAATGGTTGCGCGAAAAAGGAATCCCGTTTGACGATTCATGTGTGAAAGCGGAATTGTATGAAAAAATTAAACAGCACAAACCTGCGAACATTAGTTACGTGACTGATGAGATGGCCCGTCAATGTGGTGTCACTGTGCTGCGGTTACCGCCCTACCACTGTGAACTGAACCCAATAGAGCTCATCTGGGCTCAAGTGAAGGGTTATATTGCGCGCCATAACACAACCTTCAAATTACCAGACGTTAAGGTTTTACTTGAGACTTCCATACAGCTAGTAACGCCCGAAGCTTGGCAGAATGCTATCCGTCATGTTGTGAAGGAAGAAACAAAAATGTGGCAGCTTGACCACCACATCGACACCATCATAGAGCCAGTTATAGTCAATTTCAACGAGGAAAGCGATAGCGACAGTTTATTACTGTCAGATGTAAGTGGAAGCGACGATGACTAAAGGTAATTCCCAAATTTTTGACTTACAATATGTTTTCAAACCACTCTTTATTAAGCATGTGACAAATCTAGTTCACCCATGTTAAACATTCATACCCCGCCTATAAATAGCCGACTACTGGTAGTTGAGTGATGTTCACGTGAACATCGATGAGTCATTACAGTTTTAGATAGTTATAGTATAGGTACTTTTTTGAAGTAGCTTTTCCCCCAGAGCAAGGCGTCGCGCCAAGTATACCCGACCCTTGAACAATCATAGAGTCGCCAGGTACCAATGGGCACAGGAGCGGGTAAATTAAATAAAATCAGCAGTGACATAGTTGCATGTTTTCAGAATGAAACACGCTTCAACCTGAACCACTCTGATGGTAGGATCCTTCTTTGGAGGCAAGCTGGCGAACGATATGATGAAGAAAACATAGCTCCACAATAGGTGTTTGGTGGAGGTGGCATTTCTGTTAGGGCTGGGGTTATGCACAATTGTAAAACCGAACTTTTTATTTCAAATAGGGCAGTTTACAGGGATCCCGAGGTTTATCGATAACCTTCTGGCAAGTATGCCACAAAGATGCCAGGCTGTGATCTATGTGCGGGATGGCGCTACAAGGTACAGGGTGCGTCATCTATTACTTTTTTGTATGTATGAAAAATAACATCAGTCATGTGACCACCGCGTCTTCGTTTACAGGCCAACATCCGAACATCAAAATTTTCAATGACTTTTCCCAGAACAATCGGGTCTATGGCCACAATTTCAGTCCTAATATTGCGCTTTAGGTCTTGAATTGTCCGGGGACCATTCGCATACACTTTTCCTTTCAAAAATCCCCAAAGAAAATAGTCAAGAGATGTTACATAGCGCGATCTCGGGGACCAACTGACATCTGAATTTCGTGAAATTATGCAGTCTTGAAATTTAGTGTTCAATAAGGCGATTGCTTGGCGAGATGTGTGAGCCCTTGCTCCGTCTTGATGAAACCAAAGATCGTCGGTACCAATACGATCCAATTTTGGCCATAAAAAGTTTGTTAACATGCCGCGATAACGTTCCCCGTTGACGGTAATGGTCTTTTCTTCGGGATCTTCAAAGAAGAATGGTGCAACGATGCTACCAGCCCATAATCCGCCATTCTTCAGGATGGAGAGGTTGTTGATGATATTGGTGTGGATTTTCAGCCCCCCAGAATCTGCAATTTTGCTTATTTACGTACACATTGAGGTAAAAATGAGCCTCATCAGAAAAGAGCACTTTGGCCGAAAATCCGTCTTCTCTTTCCAACATCCAATTAACAAAAACACGCCGCTGTTGATGGTCTGCCGGCTTCAATTCTTGTGTTTGTTGGATTTTGTATTCAATTCAATTCAATTCAACTCATTGGACTTTATTGTAACACATACATAATTATGTATCCTTACAAATGGCGAAGTCTGGCCAATGGCCATTTATACTTAACCATAAATGTCAATGCTTATTACTACCTTCAAAATAAAATAAAAAAAAAACTGAAAAAGAAAAGGAAAAAGAAGAATTAATAAATATGACATAATGCGTACGATTAGAACAAAAAACATAATACGTACGATTCAAAGAGAGGACAATAACCTAAGAGCTCAATAAGTAGTTTTTATATTTTTTTTCATTATTCATTCATTGAAGATATTGAGTGAGAAACATGATCGTACCTTCTTAAATTGTTTATGTAACGACTACATGAGTTTTGAATTTTTTGCAGTCTGTATTTTGTGATTTCATCCAGACAGGGATAATAAACTATGTATGTTGCAGTAAGCGATTTTACTGAGTATGAGTGACTCGCATAACATTTTCTTAATTTTTCTATTTAAAACAGTTTTACTTGCATATAGAAGCCTGAGTCTAAAATAACTAGACTTACACACATAGCCAACATGCTGCTGAAATCTGAAATCTTCATCCAAGTACAAACCTAAATTTTTTTGCAGAATGGGAAAATATTAGGATACTATTATTTAGTGATAAATTTAACTTTGATTTGAGGAAAGTACGTTTTTTCTTGGAGCAAAGAAGTATAGCTGTGGATTTCGATGCGTTTAGACGTAAATTATGTTTTGCAGCATATGTGCATAAGTATTGCAGATCTTGATTGATAAGGTTGTTAGCTAAATGGTAGTTGTTCGGACAGAAATTATGAAAAACCTGCATATCATCAGCATATGTTTGACTAGAACAATGTTGAAGGGTGTTAGAAATGTCAAAGGTGTATATAAGGAATAAAAGTGGACCTAATATGGATCCCTGAGGCACGCCGGAACAAATCGGCCTTTTGTCTGAAAGTTTATTTTGTATGACGACATATTGATGTCGTTCATTTAAATAGCAATCTATTCATTCCAGAACCAAGTCGTCACACCCAATGTATTTACGTTTAGAAACTAACAGCTTATGATTCAGGGTGTCAAAAGCCTTGCTGAAATCCAATAAGACTAATGCAGTTGCTTCTTGCCTATCCGCCGCTGTTAGTACATCGTCACAAACCCGTGCCAAAGCAGTAGTGGTACTGTGACCCTTTCTAAAGCCTGATTGATTTAATGGCAAAATGCTGCGTTCGAGTAAATACTCATTCAACTGCATATAAACTATTTTTTCTAGAATTTTTGATAGAGCTGACAGCAAGCTAATAGGTCGGAGATCACCAGGAATCTTTGGAAGAGGTTGCACTAATGCTTCCTTCCAAGCACTTGGAAAAACACCGCGCTCTAAACAACAATTTATTAAGTGCAAAATGTATATTCCTACAGCAGGTAGACATAATTTAATCATCTCAATGGTAATGCCATCAATACCACTAGAATTGGACTTGATACTGCGAATAGCATACAATACTGTAGATATATCGACAAGACGGAACTGAAAATGAAAATCTTGGTTTAATTTGTTATGGCTATAAAATTCGATAGTTTCCGAGCAATCATCGTCACTTTTCTGGAATATACTGGTAAAATAGTTATTTATTTCATTGGGAACTGCTAAGTCATCCGGAATGTCAGTATTACTAGAATCCTGAATTCTAAATGACTTAAGAGCTTTAATAAAGAGCTGCAGAGTTTCTTTGTCGAGATAGATGTTGAGGTAGCCTGATTTCTCTGCACGTGTAGCAGTTTTGGTAAAATTTCTCAGTTCATTGTAATGATTTCGATTCGCATCCGTTCGAGACCGTCTATATTTATGAAAAGCCTTATCTCGTTCTTTCATTATCATTTTCAAATTCTTTGTGAGCCATGGTGCACGAGGCTTAGACACTCTCACTGTTTTTAGTGGTGCATGTATGTCAAAAAGTCCTACAATGTTATCGGAAATAAATTTTACTTTCTCATCGATATTAGCCATATAAATAACTTCAGCCCAATTAACGCTAAATGAAAAGGTTAGATCAAAATTGCGATAGTCTCTAAATGTAATTAGTCTAGGTGGTGGTTTATTGTTTTTACACGAAATGTGACAGAATACAGCCTGATGATCACTAAAGTTAACAGTCAAAGTTCCCACTTTGGAACATCTTTGTGCACAGTTGAAGAAAACCGGATCTAAAAGCGTTGAAGAATGATCAATTATTCGAGTTGGTTCATTCAATAACTGGTGCAGGCTGTAAGATTGAAAGCACTGATTAATCTTATTATCAATAAAGAAATTAACGTTGAGGTATGGATGGAGGTGTAAATGAATGTGTAAAATCCGACGAAAAGTGGTCTCACTAGTTCCCAATTGTTGCGAACGGTGCCTAGTTGAGGTGGTTGGATCTTCTCGAACACTTTCACTCACTGCGGCTATGTTTTCACTGGACGAGCATCTCGGCATCGTCTACGACCTTCAGCTGAACCAGTTTCCTCAAAACGATAACAATCCAACGAATTCCAGGCTCTGTAGGGCGTCCATTTCGGCCAAAACTAGTGCGAAGTTTGCGAAAAGTATTTTTTATATTTCGACCGTTTTCGTAATAAGTTTGGATAACCAAAATGCGTTTTTGTGTTGTAAACGAATCCATGACTATAAATGGCATACATTTGACAATTCATTTATGCATACCACATGACTTTTGACTCACATGGTAACACATAAACTTATAGGTAAAAAAAAATAATAGATGGCGCACCCAGTACTAACAATTTTGTTATTTATTTAACTGGTTTTCACATTTTTTGTTTTCTAAAATGGTACATATTATTAATGTTAATTAGTAAATTCTTTGATGTTGTTTAAAAATGTAGAGTCGATTACCTATTGAAAAACATCTGCAATAAAGAAGCGTACGCCAATGCTGAATGAGAAAGATAAAGAATTCCAGATGAAAGATGAATGGCAGTGTTGGCCTGCATCATAGCATTTTGAAAAATATTTTTTTTTCAATTTATTAGCACTTCTTACCAAACCAAAAAATGCTTTTGGTGTTACGTCAATGGAATACACCCCTATATTGAGGGTAGTAACTTTTGTTCATGAATCTGTTTAATTGCATAGTGAAAATTTATAAATTCGGTCTAAATTACATAATGTCAAAGTAACAAATGTTTAGTGCAGGCCACTGAAGGCAATAACGTTCAATGAGTGCTTCATTCTTAAGAGAAACTCCAAAGCAGTCCTTTTTTTAGGGATAAACACTTTTTTAAAATTCGATAATTTGAGTTATAGCCAATATGTCAGATTCATTTTTATGATAGTCTAAAGATCAAAAAGATGCATAGAAAATTTCCAAAATCAAAAATTGAGAATCTGCTAAAAAACCTGACTTCCTTTGCTCACCCTGTAACAGTGGATAAACAGAAGAAATGTTGCAATGCAACTGTCCACCAGTTTAGATAAACAGTGAAAATTAACGGACTCACCTGAGTCAATGTGATATAACACCTATCTGTCAATGGAGTTATCACCAGCCGAGGCGTATTTCCCAAGTACTCATAACTGTATCGAAACTGAGCATCGCATATATTAGCGTAACACTGCTTCTCGCTCTCTTGCCATCTGTGTCTCAATTGAGATACCCATGGGAAGGCGGAAGCGCTTTCTACTTTCATTTGGATGAGTTTCCCTACGACATCTCTTGAGTGTACATCTATCGTGCATATCGTCATGATCTTCTGCCTGTCTTGCTTTGATAGATCACCTAAAATTTCGACAATAGTAACGGCATCTTAGCTGCTGGTCAGAACAGTCATCTGTAACACTAGCTTGTGTAACCATTTCTTCAGCACTTACCCAGCAGAAGTGATATAAGGGTGCTTAGTTGTGACACCTGTTTTTTGTAGTAGTCTCTCAGAGCATTATCGTAACCTTCCTCAAGCCTTGAAAATGCTATGTTCACTTCTGTAGTCCACCAAATTTGTGTACCGCATAGGGAAACCTGTGCTGGAAAGTCAAATAACCATTGATCTCTTGGTTTTTCTTCATAAGAAAGCACCCCATCTCCGATGTAAAGTCTTATCGAGCATCTCATTGAATCTTGGACTCGATTCAACCAAACTTCTACCTAAAACGTGATATACTGGGTGTAAAGTTAGTTGCGGATCAACGGAAGTGACGTGATAGAGGGCCTCAAAACTTATATACGTGTGGTCCGAAATTTTATAGTTCAGGAGATATTTGCAATTTTGTGAAAAAAAAAAACGAGATAATGAGCTTTCAATCGCAATTACAACTAAACCATTAGGTTTAGGGCTGTGATTTTTTTCTGAGATGAGCTAAATGGTTAGGTTTAGCAATGGTTATGTCATTTTTTAACAGAGCTTATTAGAAATCAACGCAAAAAATCTTAAATTCATTCTTTTTTGTGAAAAATCTCTTCCATCCCTCAACCTTGGAGGATGGTAAAAAAAATTATGTTTATATTATTCATTTTATTATAAAAACTATTTCAATCCATGTAGAATAATCCCTGGAAATCTCAGCTTGTTACGATGAGTGTATCATGACACATTCGTTGTTGTGATGCAATCACCTAATAAAATTGTCCTTTAGTCTTGGAAATGAATTTGCGTTTTCCATAATTTTTATTTTTGCTTCATCATTTTTCTGGCACAGTTGGTATACAGACTTCGAAGTTGAGTCATTTATTTTAATAGTGAGTAGATCTGATCAAAAGAAATGTTTTTTCCTTTACCATTTTTCTGGTAAAATTAAAGTAACAAAGTTATAGCCCTTTGGAAGTTTGAGTACCGCCCTGTCTCAATAATAATATTATGTGCTCGTGTTTGGCGACAACGGATATAATCCGCCGTATCGGTTCATCGCGTCGGAAACAAAAAAGCGAAAGAATTTGGAACGATGTTTTTACAATTATTTTATTCATTTGTATACAGTCAGTGTCAGTGAATAGTGTGTTGCGTGGCTCAAACGAAATAAAAAATGGCACATGTTTATGCGAATCGGTTTCCCAATCGAGTGCAACCAACCCCTCGTGCCTTTGTTAATGTAGTACAACGGGCTCGTGAATCAGGTGACTTAGGACCACACAGGCGACTGCATACCGGTGCTCCAAGACCTCACGATCAAATAGAGGTCCGCACTGAAATACTTGTCGGGAGGATACTTTATAAAACAAGGTAAAAAAAAACTTTTAATTTTTTTTTATTTTTACACACATATTTTGGTTTATCTTCCTTCTACAATCATTATCTGAAAATTAATGACTCAACTTCAAAGTCACCCTGTATATGTATATTCAGATGAATAGATTATCCTCTTATGGAACCCCATATAAAAAATCTAGAGCATTTAAATCGGCTGACCTGGGAGGCCATCGTATGTGTCCACCTCCACCTATCCAACGCTCAGGAGAGGCACTGTCTATAACGCCCAAAGGTACATCGTTTAGCCGCAATGCAAACTACATTGTAGACAAGCAAGGTATGACTGATGATTCAACCTGGCGGGCAATTCATATGGTCCAATTAATTTTATTATTGAGTACTCCAGCCCATAAATTAACGCCGAACTGACGTTGAAAGCTGGGTCGGCCAATAGCGTGTGCATTTCCCACGCTCCATGAATGGGAATTGTGCATGTTGAATATTCTATTTCGGTTAAAGTTGGATCCATCTGTCCATAAGATGCTGTCGAAGAAAGTTTCATCCTCTTTGCACGCTCTCAACATATTCTCACAAAATTCAACCCGTTGTGCGTAGTCTCTTCTTGTACTTTTTGTACATGGCAACGATGCATGTTCTCCGAGCGTAGTATTGTGTACACTGAAGTATGAGATATGTTTCTGCTTCGGGCAGTGGCTCTGGTGCTTATAGAGGGATATCTCTCGGCTGCTTCTATTATATCTTCTATTTCTTCTGGGCGTATCCTCGACGCTCCTAGTTGACGATGAGTGCATAGTATTCGGCCCTCCATATACGCATTATGGACGCGGTAGTCGGGATATACCGCAAGTTGGCGTCCACCTCTTCTAACCACATGCTCCCGAAACATGCGAGCAGCTCCATAATAGTAATGCATTTCTGCAATATGACCCGATTCTGCTCAGATGCTAAACGTCAGATACAAGTTCCGCGCCATTGTCTGACTTAGTAATTTCGGTTGGACCGACAATTGAACGCTCCCGCACCTGGAATGCCGAGTTAAAAGCCCAAGCTCATTAAGCTGATTTGGCTGTTTGCGTAAAAAATCTGCCCTTTGATTTTACAAGATGTTAACGGGGCTCCTGCAATCACGAGCACCATATGCTAAGGTAACGGGAGGGTGATAAGGAAACGAGGGTGGGCTGGCCTTAGACGGTCGTCGGCGCTACGTTAAAAGAGGAAAGGATGACTGCGGGTGCGCACCGAGGTAAATTTTTATATTAGCGATCTAGCCTGTAAATCGTTTCCTACTTCGGTACTCAGCAAGTGATCATTTAGTATTGTTCTACCCTTGTTACTGTTCGTCGATATTGTGTTGTTGAATTGTTGTGCTGTACTCTTGTTGGTGTGATTGTTCTTGAGTGCCTTTTTTATCAAGGTTGATAATCGACAATAAAAGGTCATATGCGACAATTTTAATTACGAATGCAGTGAGTTTAATTCATGATGAGGACAACAATAGTGTGGAGCAGTTCAACTCTATAATCGCAAAATACATTGGGGTAAGCGAATAAATTATTGCAAGAATAGGTCATACCATGGAAGATGTGCTGCAGCTGTAGTGAGCCACAATACCGAGCGGCCTGTCTATGTGGTCCAAATAAATTTGCATTCTAAGCTTAGTCCAACCTCGCATATCACTAAGATGGAACAGAGACTCAAACGCAAGAATATTCATAAGAAATTCAAATCAAAAAAAGCTTAAATAAAAATAACTAACAATTCGGATAGCAATTCCAAAGAGAATGAATAGTTTTATGGCGAATTCTGTCAAAAACCTGACATGAACGACATTGATTTGGAGGTTGCTAAGCAAGAATTTTTAGGAGTACTTAGAAAAAGAGATTTTGCAGATCGAACAAGTCACCAAGTCACAGAACTGTACTTTGTGGCGTCTTCATCGGAGGATGAGGTTAACAGTGTCTCGATTTGGTGAAGTTTGTAGAAGAAGGCAGACAGCAAGCTGTAAAGTTCTAGTAAACGACATCATATACCCAACAGAGTTTTCTAGTAAGTCAATAAAAAAAGGCAATACAAAAATCATGGGACTCGTCAGTTCAATCTTGTGGTTTGTTTAATGATCGCACACATCCATTTCTGGCAGCATCACCTCCATCTACCTATTACAGTAGACAAGACATGTGCTTAATCCAGGTGTAAGCCTACCTGTTTATTGCTTTGCAAAAACTACCTAACTGTTTCCTCTTATTTTGACCGCATAAGATATTTTTATGACCGTTCAATTGTTACCATCTACCACATGACCCTTGTAAACATTGACATGAATAAACGAATTTGAATTTGAGATCTTGAATTTATTTTAGGAAAGATATAAAATCATTTGAATATATTTGTTCTTAGTCGGAACGCACCGTCGCGTCGCTTGGACTAGCAGGACGAAACAGTAGATGAATTTCGCCCAAGAACCGATTTGTACTTCACAGCCTCCGTTTCATTTTTATTATTTCCAAATGAAACTCTTGCAGCGTGCTAAAAACAAAGTCCACGGAGTGCCAGCGATGCACTTTTTCGATTTTATCCACTAGGATCTTTTTAAAATATCAAGAAGTTGAGCACAAATAATAAGCATTTCAACCCACCATAATTGTTGCGCAAAGACAAAATTTTGTATAAAGGCAATTATGTCAAATCAAATCAAATCTTTGTTCATGTCACAATACATTAAATATGTTTACATACGTCAGTAGATCAAATGAGAATTGCATTAGAATTAAAACAAAGGGAGTGCTAATGATCATAAAAAAATGACAAACAAGTACACCAGCACTCATAAAGATATAACGCTAACATAACATATTAAGATTTATAGTTACAATTTATGTCTTAAAAACTCTTCAAACGTGTAAAATGAGTTATTAATGTCATGCTTATATCCAGAAAAACATCACAAACTGCAGAACACACATTGAAGGTAACGGCGAAATGGGTACATTTCACGGGTCATGAAATTGAAATGAAAATGCAGGTATAAAATCTACCAAATTATCATTCTCAAAACATATTTCTTTGACATATCGATAATTTTAAAGTTCCACGCTAAATTCCCCTATACTTGACTTGAGCGATATCCGAATTTATTCTTCCCTACTGTCGGTAGTTGCAGATCTGTTGGCTCTTGGTGTCAAACCTATAGAGCAGGTACCAATTTTTTCAAATCGTGATCACATTATTCGTCGGATTTTCGTTACCTAAATTTCCTGTAATTACTGGGATCAGAAGCTTCTTAATAATAGAACGTGTTTCACTGATTTCAACCCCCCCCCCCTTTTTAAGCAGTACAATTTTTTTATGTCAATGATTAGGAACCCCTGAAACGTCAAAAACGGAGTTTCAGCAATTGTTACTTTTTCTTTTTTGCCGATAGCACTGTAGCCACTGGACTAAAACTAAAAGCTTTGGCATACTAGTAACCCCGTGTGGAAGTTTCATAAAAATCCGAGCGGTAATTTCCAAGTTGATGATGAGTGATACAGTTTTTCGTGATGTAGATAGACGTCATATGACTTAAAAAAACAACATCTCATTTTGGAAATTTTTCGCGATTACAATACTTCCTCGCCAATGGCGTGGGAAGTGAAACGGCTTTAAAATCGAAGAGTATCAGCGATCGCGATTATGAGTACCTATTTGCAGAACGACTTATCTACACGATGTTATATGAAATAGGGCCACCAAATTATCTGAATACGTCCTTTCTTAGTCCGTACATTGCGCCGCAATGCTTGGCCTGGCAGCACGAAACAGTAGACACAATTCGTCCAAAATACGATTTGTAGACGTTTGCGCGCTTCGAAATTGACGCTTTATTTTTTGTTATTTTCGGATGAAATTTTCACAGAATGTTGAAAACACAACCCCACAGGGTGCTATAGAGCCACTTTTTCATTTTTTCACCAGGTTCTTTCTAAAAACCTCGCGAAGTAGAACAAAAAAAGTGCGCACTTCAACCCATCATAAAACTTGTGCAAAATCAAAATTTCAAAAAGTGCTCCTATAGCACCCTGAGCAATTATTTTCTCAACATACTGTATGAATTTCATTCAACAATATTGAAAAATAGAGTGTCAGTTTCGAAGCAGCTGAACCCTTGTAAATGGCTTGAAACTCACTGCGTCGGAGCCGCCTCAATACACACAGTATCACTCGCACTGCTAGGGCGAATCTAACAGTACCTCATATGTCAAAATCCATCTAGTCGTTTGGACTGTAGCTTGCAGAAAAACATAGAATTTCTTGTTTATACGTATAGGTACCCCACCCCAAACATACAGATTTTTTAAGGTGAGGCACTTATCGTAACATGCTGAAATTTTCAGGATTTGTTTTACATGGATTGAAATAGTTTTTACAATAAAATGAATAATGAAACACAAACTCAGTTTTTTTCCCGACCTCCGTTGTTGAGCGATGGAAGAGTTTTTTCACAAAAAAAAATGAATTTAAGATTTTTGCGTTGATTTCTAATAATCTCTGTTAACAAGTGACATAACCATTGCTAAAAGTAACCATTTAGCTCATACCAGAAGAAAAATCACAGCCCTAAATCTAATGGTTTAGTTGTAACTGCGATTGAAAGTTTATTTTCCCGTTTTTTTTTTTTGGAATTCCACAAAATTGCAAATATCTCCTGAACTATAAAATTTCGCACCACACATACAGGGTGACTTTGAAGTTGAGTCATTAATTTTCAGATAATGATTGTAGAAGGAAGATAAACCAAAATATGTGTGTAAAAATAAAAAAAAATAAAAAAAAATGTTACCTTGTTTTTTTATTATTATTATTAAACAACAAATTTGAGTTGAGTACAAGTACTATAAACTCAAACACAAAAATAGATAATAGTGTACAGACAAAAGAAATATAACAATTTGACAATCTTAGCACTTCTGAAGTAGACATATACAGAATGGGAACAATATGTTAAGCACTGCGGTGTCTATCGTAATTGTTTTTGAAACTGTTGACGGATTCCGAGTTCACTACATAAGATGGAAGACTGTTCCATGCATCGAAGACACGGTTTGAGATGAAGCGCTGACGAGTAGAGGTTCTAAAAGCTTCCTTCTGCAATTTGAAGTTATGGCCTCTGAGACTGTTCGTTGCCAGACGAAACAGATGCGACATGTCCACACCAAACAAATTATGCAGTGCTCTGAAAGTGATGATGAGATCTCCTCGTACTCTTCTATCAGCAAAAGCAGGCAGGTTATATAGCTCGAGGCGGTCTTCATAACTTGGCCTACGTGTGCCATATGGCATACGTGTAGCACGACGCTGAACGGCCTCTAATAAGCTGCTATCGCGAACAAGGTTTGAATCCCATACCGGACCAGCAAACTCCAGTAGGGGTCGTACGAAAGTTGTGTACAAAAAGGAGGAGGTACTAACGGTGCAACCGCTAAATGACCTTTCCATCATATATAGCAACCGCTTTGCCTTAGAGGTTATGTTCTGAATGTGCTCCGACCAGGTGAGCCGGCCATTAACTGTCAGACCAAGATCTGTGTGATGAAGAACAGTCTCTAAGGTATGTTTGCCACTCTTATATGTTAAGTTAGGATTATTCTTTCCCAGGTGGAGAACGTAGCATTTCGATAGATTTAAAGGCAGGAGCCAGAGTTCTGACCACTTTCTGATCAGCTTGAGGTCTTCTTGAAGCACAGATGAGTTCATGACAATGTTATAGACTTTAGTATCATCTGCATAGATGGAACACATAGAATAAAGTCGGGTGGGAAGGTCGCTTGTATAAAGAAGAAAAAGTATTGGCCCTAGCACAGATCCTTGTGGAACTCCACTTTTATAAAGTATCCTCCCGACAAGTATTTCAGTGCGGACCTGTATTTGATCGTGTGGTCTTGGGGCACCGGGTTGGTTGCACTCGATTGGGAAACCGATCCGCAAAATCCGTGATGCCGCGTAAATAAGTCCACAAGTTCAGCATTTTCGTAAACATGTGCCATTTTTGATTTCGTTTGAGCCACGCAACAGACACCACTATTCACTCACGCGTTACCGAATGACACTGACTGTATACAACTGAATAGAATAACTGTAAAAACATCGTTCCAAATTCTTTCGCTTTTTTGTTTCCGATGCGATGAACCGATAAGGCGGATTATATCCGTTGTCGCCAAACACGAGTACATAATATTATTATTGAGACAGGGCGGTACTCAAACTTCCAAAGGGCTATAACTTTGTTACTTTAATTTTACCAGAAAAATGGTAAAGGAAAAAAACATTTCTTTTGATCAGATCTACTCACTGTTAAAATAAATGACTCAACTTCGAAGTCACCCTGTATAGGGGTTCATTCGATAGGTTCTGACGCCCTCTATCACCTGACTTCCGTTGATCCACTACTAACTTTACACACTGTATAACTCCAGTGATACTATTGCACTAAATTCATTTGATGTTTAAAATGCTGTATAACTTATATTGAGGGGGCATATAATATTACGAAAAATATATAATTTCTTCTTACGGGTCCATCACATGACGTTGTTTGGTTGAACTGGACATATTCTCCGTCTTTCGCATACATTCCAATGATAGACTTATCAAGTGTGTTGTCTTCTTTTTTGCCAAAATTCAGCTTTGCGATGGAATCAAATAATTTTGTCAAATGCTTTACGACTAGTTCTGGCTGATTGCCGTTAGAAAGTACATCTAATAGATCTGCAGATGACACAAAATAGAATCTTGGAAAAGCAAGCCGCTTAGTTTCCAGGTATACCGCCAAAGCTTTTTCGCAAAGTGTTAGGTCCTTCTGATAGGCTTCCAGGACTTCAAGTAACCCTATAAGAATTCCACTTATTTGTTACCACGCACGACGCTATACAATTTTGAAGTACCTGGTCGATTTGTAGACTCGATGACATTAGGTATTTTTGCCATTTCTTTCATCAATTCCTTGAAATTCTTATCAGTATTGTCAAACCTAGCAGAGTCCTCTGGCAATTGCTTTCTGATATCTTCCGAGCTCATAAATATCGATTCTAGATGCATCCATGTTCTCTGAACCTAATGATCCATACATTAATTTAGAAATACAAGAGTTAACAATCTCAAAATTACATACTTCGAACCAAATCGATATCACTTGATCCGCTAATCCCAGTTTATACTGCCAAGATGACACTTCTTCCAAGAAATGTGCAATAAACTTTGAAGTGATCAGATTTTGCATTTGAACCTGATTTTCCTCCAAAGTTTCAATCAGCTCTTCGCTGGCTCTCAGTAACGTACAACCGGTCCTGGCATGTAACTCCTGTTCAAACTCCATGGCTGACCAAGTTATATTAAGCTCTCTGAGGATCTTTTCCATTGACATCTCTTTAACAGCTTTGTCTACGATATTCTTGACTTCTTCTTCGCATTCGTGTAAGTTTAATTCTAGCAGGTCTGCCAGGGTTGTGTTAGCGTCCATAACGATCCTCGTCTGAAAACGTTTGCATTGCACATTTATTCATTATACCTGTATGTGCAATAAATTTTGCGATGCTCATAAAAGTATATCATGCGATAGTGGATAAGCAATATAATAGTCGAACTAGAGTGAATTGTAATATACTAAGTGACATATAAATCCGAACGCCCAGTTTAAATGGTTTTATTTTAATAAAAGTTGGTGAATGTATTTATCTTACTGTAAATAACAAGTGAAAAAATTGTCAGCCTTATCAGTTGGACATTCCGGTTTTTATACTGCTTTAGAGTGCAAAGAAGTGTAGACACTGTGGTTAGGTGTTGTCAGGCATGGCTTCGAGAAGGCCGTACGTAAAGAGCAAGGGGCACTGGACGCCGCCGTAGAACAACAGACCGTGAAGATCGCCGCCTAAGATTATTGGCCTTAAGGGACCGTTTCTCCACTACCAGGTCCATTGCAAATGAATGGTTTGCAGAACACGGAAGACCTATTGGCATGCGAAGTGTTTACCGACGAATGAGAAGTTTTGGCTTGTTTTCATACTGGCCACACTGGGTCCTCCACTTTAACTCGAGAACACCGACGTAATCGCCTTGAGTGGTGCAGACAACGGTCACTCTGGGATCAGGAATGGAACAGTATTGTCTTCAGTGACGAGTCTCGATTTTGTTTAGGCATGCACGATGGTCGTGCCAGGGTTAGAAGGCGACGTGGTGAAAGGAGGAATCCACAGTTTTTTGTTGAAAGACATGTTCATCACACTGTTGGAGTTATGGTTTGGGGTGCTATAGCTTATGGTTCCAGGTCACCTTTAATCTTCATCAAAGGTAACATGAATGCGCAGTGTTATATCCACGAAGTTCTAGAACCCCATCTTTTACCCTATCTTGACACCCTGGCAGATCCAACTTTCCAACAAGATAATGCCCGACCACATGTTGCAAGAGTCACAATAGACTTCTTTCAACATAATGATGTCACATTGTTACCATGGCCACCAAGATCTCCCGACTTATCCCCAATTGATCACGTGTGGGATATGATGGGTAGGAGATTGCTCAATTTGCAACGTCCTCCTCAGACTCTAGAAGCACTTCGAGAGGAGTTGGTGGTTGCCTGGAATGAGATACCACAGGATGACATTGACCACCTGATCAGAAGCATGCATAGGCGCGTTGGAGAATGCGTAGCACATCAGGGTGCATCCACACATTATTAAAGGTCAAAGGGCTTTAAAGCAGTGCAATCATTTTGAAATTTTTATCATTTACTTATTATGCTTCATTAAGTACTTATACAAAATTTTATTAAAATAAAACCATTTAAACTGGGTGTTCGGATTTATATGTCACTTAGTATATTTATCGTTTACCGAATCGTTACAATCGTATCTTGTCATATGTCCAGCCCTCATATGGCTTTAACAAGCTTACTGGATGACGAAATGAAACATTTTAAGATAATCTTTGAGACATATTCTAAACAAATACTTTGAAGCTGTACAGGGCTGATCAAATTATCACAAGCCACATGCAACCTTTAAGAAAACCAGAATGAGTTCCATGTTAGATGAAGTGCATTCGCTAGCATGCTGTAAATAATACTTCTAAACACGTATTGCTTTGCGTTTAGAATACTTACCGTAAATTCAGTGGGTAATGCTGCTAAGTGCTGCAACAATCAACAAAACGGCAGTATGATGTTATGTACAGGTGAATTGGAATATACGTAAAAAATAAGAATCATCTGATAATGTTAGCTGCTTGCTGCAGTGCTGGAAATACTACAAAACTTACTGGAAAAGCAAATACCATAAACTGATTCTTACTGACCAACAGTTCATACTGTAATATACAGGGTGTCCCAGAAGTCGACGTCAAGCCGAAACCGGGTGATAGGCAAAGTCATAACAGCTATCAGAAAAATATTTAAAAAAATTGTATGTATGTGTTTTGAAAATTATGGTTTCAGCATGATGGCTGCCCAGCGCACTATGCACTCTCAGTGGGAGAGTATCTCGATCAAAACTTTCCAGGCAGATCGATAAGGCGGTCTGGTACAATACCGTGGCCAGCCCGATCACCTGATTTGAATCCTTTAGATTTTTTTACCGTGGAACTGTAAAAGAACAAGTATATTTCAAGCCGATTCAAAATGTAGCTGAGCTACGGCAAAGACTATTGGAAGCAGCTGTTTGTTAATAACCGTGGATTCGCTCGTTTAATAACCCGATCTTTTTAAAGAAGATGTCGAGCGTGTCTTGCGGCTGAAGGAAAACAGTTTGAGCATTTGCTGTATAAAGGTAAATCATGATCAGCAGCATTTTGACGCCCACTGTTGTGCAAACAGTTATCCTTAAGGGTCCTTGTGCGTTTTCATAATAGCTGTTTAATTAGAAAATTTTGAAAAATTTTCATCAGTTTTTCTTCAAATAAAAATTGTGCATAAGTTAACGAGTAATCTTCTAAGTGTTATACCATTTTGGAATCGTTATTAAATGCGCCAACTTTCAAGGTTACTTGCCAAACTCTCGTAGTACATATTTTTCCAGTACAGCCAGTTAAAGTTGAGTAAAGTTTTACTTTGGAATACTTGGTTGGGAAATAAGTGGCAATTTTTCCTGAACGAGAAAAGTTGGCAGTAAGGTTGAGACACCAGTTTGAAGATGCATTATTCATCATTACATTGTAAAAATAAAATCCAAAAAAAGTTAATATTTGTAGTAACAGGAGTTGACAGACTGCCGTAGGATGTGAAATTTCTATATCTTTTTCAAAGACCTATAATTTTCAAAACACATACATAAAATTTTTTTAAATATTTTTCTGATAGCTGTTATGACTTTGCCTGTCACCCGGTTTCGGCTTGACGTCGACTTCTGGGACACCCTGTATACCGTTCCATCTCACATGCTTGTTTTTTTAATCTAAATAGTCGATCAAATGTTAATAAGGATTGTTAACGTTGCCAACAATATTGACATGCAAAATCCAATTTCCACCGCTGCATCAAATCACCACCTACCGCCAATTTCATAATTGTCATTACCAAAGAATATGGTTCATATTATATAGTTTGAAAACCAATCCGTGAAATAGCGATAGGTTTATGTTTATTTACAAAAATATGTACACATTGAACCAAAGGTTCTCATCGATAACCACCTTTGTGCTTGTCATCAGCTGATCCCAATGTCTTTCCCTGATCGCAGGATTCTGTAGCTCTCCAACAGCCTTCAAGGAAGTCAAAGTATTTTTCACAGTACATTCCACTCCAATATATGTATCCCAAAGCCGCATTTCTTTGTCTAACATTTTTACTTCTTTAGCGAACTTCTTGCACTCTATATCCATATTTTCGACGTCTATTTTTCTCCAAGCTGTCGTTTTCCAATCATCCACGCAGGAATGAACTATATGCACATAGTCCCACAGTTGCTGAAAAAAAAAATAGAGATATGTCTAGGTAATATAGCGACAATATTTCAGGCTGAAGTAACAGCCATAAAGGTCTGCGCAGCTAAAATAAGGAAGCAGTCTGGAAATCAGTTGATCACCATCTGCTCAGAGAACCATGCATTCATTAAGGCATTAAGTTTGGACAAATATCGTCTCAACTAGTAGAGGATTTTGTGAATATGCCTTTAAAGATTTGATAAGCAGAAACAAGGTAACATTGCGCTGGTTAAGACGGACGAGCTAGAACGACAAATTGGACCAAGCATTAGTTCCTAGAATGGTGGAACATCCAGCTAGGGCAAAGATAGACAAAAAAAGATCATCAAACAACGAAACTCTGCGTTTACATTCCTGCTTGGACTTTGATAAGAAAGCTATTATGGTCATAGTGTATCTCATAAAATAGGACACTGTCGTCTTAAAAAACGTATGAGGCTCTTGGTTCTGGCAGAAGACGGCACATGCCGATTCTGAAGACAATATGTGAAAACCCTAGTGCATCTCAATATATGTAGTAGTAGTAGTAGAAAGGTTTATTTAGCACATTTGCCTACATAAACAGAATAATTGTAAACAACTTAGAACTAGTAAATTCAAGCCATATGGTGTATGATGTAAATGCTGGGCAACCTATAATTGTAGATTTAACAAGTGATTTCTCAATTTTACTTTAAATTTTGTCAAAGTTTACTGGTCTTTTATCTCGGAATATAATTTATTATATTCAATCAACCCTTGATGGAATACAGATTTGTAGCATATGTTATACTTTTTGGTCATTAAATGGAAGTCGTCTTTATTTCTGGTATTATGTAAATGATGGTCGACATTTGATGATGTTAAGTTAGTTAGACTTGTTGGAAATATATTATTTTTCACTTTATAAATGAATATCATTACAAGATATTTGATAAATTTTTTTACATTGAGCCATTTTAATTTGCTAAGCATTTGCCTAATTGGAGTATATTTATCTTTATTTAGTATTATTCTCATGCACTTATTTTGTAAAATTTGCAGTCTTTCAAAAATGGAATTATTTGCTAAATATAGAATAGTCGAACAGTACAAGAAATTTGGAAGAATGATGGTATTATAGATAATTTTTCTGCTATATGAACTCAGACATCCAGAAACTCTCGATAAATATCCCACTTTACTACTAATCTTATTTATAACTTTTTCATAATGAATATCAAAAATTAATCGAGAGTCAACAAAAACCCCCAGGTATTTAAAATTTTCTACGAATTCAATATCTTTACCATCAATATTCAGTTGAACATTTGTACATTGTTTTTTCCGATTAACAAGGCTTTCGTTTTACTTGCATTTAATTTTAGTCTGTTAGATGCTAACCATTTTGAGACAAGCTTCGAGTCTTCATTTATATAAGACATACCATACTGAATATTTTTAGTACTTATATAAATCATAGTGTCATCGGCGATAATCTGAATTTTGCATTTTTTGACTATGGCAGGTAAATCATTTATGTATAAAATAAAAAGAAGTGGTCCCAGGATACTGCCCTGTGGAACACCCAACATATTTTCAGTTTTTGATGAAATAGTGTCATTAACATTTGTAACTTGCATCCTTTTAGACAAATAATTTCTAAACCAATCTAAAACACTTCCTGTTATACCATATGCCTTCAATTTACCTAACAAAATATCTATCAATCGTTTCAAATGCCCTCTTCAAATCCAAAAATACTGCTATGACAACTTCTTCTGAGTCTATGGCTCTTCTCCAATTCTCAGTTACCAACTGGAAAGCTGTTTATATCGAATATGTTTTTCGAAAGCCTGCTTGCGCCTCCACTAAAATTTTGTTTTCTTCTATAAACTGCATTAATTGGTCATGCACTATGGACTCTAATAATTTTTCAATGTCTGGTAACACATTTACTGGTCTCATATCGCTGCATCTTTTAGAATTTTTTATTTTGGGAACTGGTGTTATTGTAGAGCATTTCAAATTTTCAGGAAAAGAACTGCTTCTCAGTGAACAATTGATCCAATTTAATACAGGATATCCCAAAATTTCGAAACAGTTTTTCAGCACGTTTTTAGTAGTGATTTCGGCACAGTTGTTATTTGATTTTAAACTGTTTACTTTTTTTCTTAGATAATTCAATGATTCGCTGTGAAATTTTGAAAGTGTATGCAACATATCTCCCAGGAAACTCATTTTCATATAGTTAGGTGCAGCATTGGCAGCACCTACAATATCAACAATACTTTCCACAAAATATTCATTTAGTTTGTTTGCAATCACCAAAGAATTTGTTTCGTTAGTGATTTCGAATTGAACTTGATTTACACAATCATGTGGCTTCGAATTGATCAGTCTTTTTAAAGTCTTCCACATCTTTACACTGTCGCACTTGTTATTATCGATTTTTTTATCGTAGAATTTCCTTTTTTCTTCTCTAATTACATATATACATTTATTATAAGAGTTTTATATACCTCCCAATCATCATTTGATTTTGTGAATATACATTTATTGTATTGTTTGTCTCTCAAATTTTGAGCTGCCTTAATATTCTTGTTATACCAGGGTGTATTTTTTGTCGAGCAAATCACTTTTTTATCAGTTGCAAGATCTAAACAATTTTTTATGTTTCCTATTATGTTGTCATATATTTTTTTCCATATTTTCACCAAAATTCCAATAGCAGCCAAAAAAGTTCTCGTTCAAGTTTTTCGTGCTTAATAGTATTTACGATTTTCTTAATTTTTGTATCAGAAAAATACCCTGCCAAGGGCAGCATTGTCCAACTGTGATCGCTAACTTTAGTTGTATGTACAGCTATATATACAGGGTTATCCAAATTAAGTGTCCACCATTAGTAACTTTGTTATTAGTGAAAATACAAAGTTGTTTGAATTAGCAAACTAGTAGCATTTTTAACGCTGGTAAAAATGAGAAATAAAAAAAAACAATTGAGAGTCGTTATTTTAATTTTTTTCAGTAAAATAACATTTTTTTAAATGGAAACCCCTGTATATTATATTTTTTTCTGTTAAAGCATCAAATTTTAAACAAAAAAGTTCATAATGACTTTTCCGCTAAAGTCAAAAATAAAGTCAAAATAACGATAAATATTTTTTATTATTTGCAGTATTATAATATTAAGACGGCTATGAAAACAACATGGCGTTCGCGATTTGACAGCATTAAGATAAGCGACAAATTGTTAAACTGGACATACTCGCAACTAGAAGGCTTTGGAAAACAATGATAAAATCAAATAATGTCAAACATTAGTGTAAATACTTGTTTATAAGCTTTATTGTGTCATTAATTTAAAGAAAAATGTTCTCCCATGAAGAAAAGTGTGATATGTTAGAATGCTATTTAGTGTGCAGAAAATCCTCCTTGAGAGCAAGAGAATACTACAGTGAATTATATCCCGCTCGCATTCAACCGTATGAACGATATTTTCTGAGACTTTATCGAAAATTTAGGGGCAACGAAAATGTTTTTGCTAAAACAAGGGCAAAAAAAGAATTCATAATAAGCGAGGCCACGGAAATTGCAGTTATTGGATATTTTGAAGCTTATCGTGAGAATTCAATAGCAGATATTCTCAAGGACTCTAATTTCAGTTATGGTACTGTTCAAAGGATTTTAAAAAAATACAAATTTATTCCGTATAAGTACCGACCAGTTCAAACGCTTTTGGCAGGGGATCCAGAGAGAAGACTTGTTTTTTGCCATTGGTATCTTAGCTTCTGTCGCCAAAATGTAAATAACTTTCGTTACCTTTTATGGACAGATGAATCAAATTTTTCAAATTCTGGAATGTTTAATAGAAAAAACCACCATTATTGGTCAAGAGAAAATCTTTTGTTAGTACATCCCAGAGGCCCACAAGTCCGTTTCAGTTTCAACGTTTGGTGCGGTATAATTGGTTAAAAAATTGTTGGCCCGTTCTTTTATGAGGGAACCCTAACTGGTGAAAGATATGTGGAATTTATGTCAGAAATTCTGACTAATTTCTTAGACGAATTGGATCTTATAAGTAGACATCATCTGCATTTTCAGCAAGATTGCGCACCTGCCCACAACTCCAGAGGTACTTATCATTTTCTAAGTACTACTTTTAATGATCAGTGGATAGGAACAAATGGCCCAATACAGTGGCCTCCCAGATCACCAGATCTAAACCCACTTGATTACTTCTTGTGGGGTTACTTAAAGAACCAAATTTACAAGCGAAGGTACGATAACCTTGACGCGTTAAAGACTGCAGTTAGGGAAAAGATAACCCAGATAGATGGTAGGACCATACTTAAGACAGTTCGAGCAGTTGAAAAACGTGCCCAAAAATGTATTGAAGAACAAGGTGGTGTTTTCGAGCATCTTCTTTAAAAAAAATTGTTATTGTATTTTGTAAGATTATAAGTTGATGTTGAAAATAAAGTTTGTCGATACAATTTAATTGTTTCAGATTGGAGGCCATAACTTCAACAATTTGTAACCTAGGAGAAAAGTTATTGTAAGCTTTTTTGTTTAAAATTTGATGCTTTAACAGAAAAAAATATAATATACAGGGGTTTCCATTTAAAAAAATGTTATTTTACTGAAAAAAATCAAAATAACGACTCTCAATTGTTTTTTTTTATTTCTCATTTTTACCAGCGTTAAAAATGCTACTAGTTTGCTAATTCAAACAACTTTGTATTTTCACTAATAACAAAGTTACTAATGGTGGACACTTAATTTGGATAACCCTGTATATATACGCCAGTGATTTGCCCAGTCATATCTCAGAGGGATATATAACCACGTTTGCAGATGATACCACTATAAGTGTATGTGCACAAAAAGTCAATCACCTCCACTCCAAAATTCTAAGTGTATTCGATGAGTTATCTGCTTGGTGTGAAAGAAATAGGTTAATCTTAAATTATAATAAAACTGTTGTTGTCAATTTTAACATCCAACGTACAGTTGACTTCGACTTGAATATGTATGATCTTATTTTATCGCATTCTTGTAAATTACTTGGTACATATTTCCATTGTAAACTAAATTTTCATGAACAATATAGATCACGTATGTAAAAAATTTAAGTAAAACTTTTTTGCCATTTTACAACTTAAAGATGTCGTAAATGAAAAAGCGATTATCAATGTATATTATGGGCTGGCTTATAGCCCTATGTCTTATAACATTCTGATATGGGGGAAATCTGCCGAAATTAATAGAGCATTTGTTGCCCAAAAAAGGATCATCAGACAAATTTTTGGAATGAACCTACTTGATTCCTGCAGAAAAATTTTTAAATCACGAGAAATTCTTACATTATGTATTTACATTTTGAAATGTGTCACTTACGTAAGAAGTTCAATAACATGTTCCTAAATATTAATGCTTATCATAATTATTATACTAGATATTAAAATTTAAAGATCATCCAGACACATACCACAACACATTTCAGATAATCACCATACTATAACTGTATCAAATCATACAATAAATTACCAGCTGATTATACAGCAAATATAGTATTAGTAATTATTTCCGATTTAAAAATGAAGTTAAAAAATTATTAGCATCAAATCCATTTTATAACATAAGTGAATATATGGAATGTACAACATTGAGTACTTAAACATGGAATTGAACATTTATATGAATTGTTATACTTATATTGATTTTACTTATATTTTTATACATTTTATTTATATTATATAGCTTACTTATTTTATTTTATTTATTTTTTAACCACCCATGTACTGATCTGTATCTGAGTGGTTAATAAAGAGAAAGATATGGAGTGTGACTAAAGGATCAAGGCTGGACGCAGTGCTTTAGACAGTATACAGGGTTATCCAAATTAAGTGTCCACCATTAGTAACTTTGTTATTAGTGAAAATACAAAGTTGTTTGAATTAGCAAACTAGTAGCATTTTTAACGCTGGTAAAAATGAGAAATAAAAAAAACAATTGAGAGTCGTTATTTTGATTTTTTTCAGTAAAATAACATTTTTTTAAATGGAAACCCCTGTATATTATATTTTTTTCTGTTAAAGCATCAAATTTTAAACAAAAAAGCTTACAATAACTTTTCTCCTAGGTTACAAATTGTTGAAGTTATGGCCTCCAATCTGAAACAATTAAATTGTATCGACAAACTTTATTTTCAACATCAACTTATAATCTTACAAAATACAATAACAATTTTTTTTAAAGAAGATGCTCGAAAACACCATCTTGTTCTTCAATACATTTTTGGGCACGTTTTTCAACTGCTCGAACTGTCTTAAGTATGGTCCTACCATCTATCTGGGTTATCTTTTCCCTAACTGCAGTCTTTAACGCGTCAAGGTTATCGTACCTTCGCTTGTAAATTTGGTTATTTAAGTAACCCCACAAGAAGTAATCAAGTGGGTTTAGATCTGGTGATCTGGGAGGCCACTGTATTGGGCCATTTGTTCCTATCCACTGATCATTAAAAGTAGTACTTAGAAAATGATAAGTACCTCTGGAGTTGTGGGCAGGTGCGCCATCTTGCTGAAAATGCAGATGATGTCTACTTATAAGATCCAATTCGTCTAAGAAATTAGTCAGAATTTTTGACATAAATTCCACATATCTTTCACCAGTTAGGGTTCCCTCATAAAAGAACGGGCCAACAATTTTTGAACCAATTATACCGCACCAAACGTCGAAACTGAAACGGACTTGTGGGCCTCTTGGATGTACTAACAAAAGATTTTCTCTTGACCAATAATGGTGGTTTTTTCTATTAAACATTCCAGAATTTGAAAAATTTGATTCATCTGTCCATAAAAGGTAACGAAAGTTATTTACATTTTGGCGACAGAAGCTAAGATACCAATGGCAAAAAACAAGTCTTCTCTCTGGATCCCCTGCCAAAAGCGTTTGAACTGGTCGGTACTTATACGGAATAAATTTGTATTTTTTTAAAATCCTTTGAACAGTACCATAACTGAAATTAGAGTCCTTGAGAATATCTGCTATTGAATTCTCACGATAAGCTTCAAAATATCCAATAACTGCAATTTCCGTGGCCTCGCTTATTATGAATTCTTTTTTTGCCCTTGTTTTAGCAAAAACATTTTCGTTGCCCCTAAATTTTCGATAAAGTCTCAGAAAATATCGTTCATACGGTTGAATGCGAGCGATTCTCTTGCTCTCAAGGAGGATTTTCTGCACACTAAATAGCATTCTAACATATCACACTTTTCTTCATGGGAGAACATTTTTCTTTAAATTAATGACACAATAAAGCTTATAAACAAGTATTTACACTAATGTTTGACATTATTTGATTTTATCATTGTTTTCCAAAGCCTTCTAGTTGCGAGTATGTCCAGTTTAACAATTTGTCGCTTATCTTAATGCTGTCAAATCGCGAACGCCATGTTGTTTTCATAGCCGTCTTAATATTATAATACTGCAAATAATTAAAAGTATTTATCGTTATTTTGACTTTATTTTTGACTTTAGCGGAAAAGTCATTATGAACTTTTTTGTTTAAAATTTGATGCTTTAACAGAAAAAAATATAATATACAGGGGTTTCCATTTAAAAAAATGTTATTTTACCGGAAAAAATCAAAATAACGACTCTCAATTGTTTTTTTTTATTTCTCATTTTTACCAGCGTTAAAAATGCTACTAGTTTGCTAATTCAAACAACTTTGTATTTTCACTAATAACAAAGTTACTAATGGTGGACACTTAATTTGGATAACCCTGTATTCCTGAAATGGTTCCACAGGTGCTTTGTCCCTCAGGTATGACAATCAATTATCACAAATGCTCTATTCATAATTTGAAGATGTGTTTTCAATTTGTAGGTAAAAGGTTTCCTAAAACAACAGAAGCTTCCAATAAAAAGCGTTGTTACTATTGGATAATGCACTAAGTCATCCTCCCGAGCAACAACTGAGGAGCAGGGATGGGTCAATTTTCGTCATGTACATGCCGCCCAACGTAACACCGTTAATTCAACCGATGGACCAGAATATAATAAGACTCACCTATAGGAAGTTTCTACTTTCGTCTGTCTTATCAAAGAATCCTGAAAACTTATCTGAGACTTTAAAAAAAGTAACATTACGAGAAGCTGTTTTAGATTTACATATGGCCTGGAATGAACTTAACCAGCAAACTATTCAAAAATACAATCTCTTTTGTACCAATAATGAAGATGATGAAGAAGACGATGTCCCCTTAAGCGTAATTAGAGAACGTTTGCGATCCAATAATGATAATGTTATTAGTGTGTCATTGGATGTTGTTGATTTATTGAAAACAGTGAATCCCAACATTGTTTGTACTCCTGCTGATATTAATTTATGGAACGAAGATAAGCAGACGAATGATGCTGATAAGGAGGAGGATATGGACAGTGAGGATGATGAAAACAATCCCATTGAAGTCAGAAGTGTAGTGACTGACGTGCAAGCTATACAAGTTTTCAACCAAGCTTTGGATTGGGCTGAAAGAAAAGAAGTTTCATACACGGATATTTTAGTTCTTCGTAAATTACGGGCGCAGGCATTGGAAGACAATGCTAAGCGCAAATTTACGCGGACAAAAATTGTTAATTAATTTTCTTCTAATTAAAAAAATACTTATCGCTGTTAGAATATTTGTTTATTTTGTTATAAATAGTATGTATTAAACGTTTCTTTTAATAAATCAAATATTATATAAATCACGTTCGCTAATGTAAACATTTCGATAATGTGAACCACACTTGGATTAAATTAGTTTACATTATCGAGCGTCTGCTGTATATAGTTGCCAGTTGAATGCATATTTTCTGGTGAAATAGGTTGATCAAATGTTATTGTAAAGGCTACCTTAAGCAGTCGAAGGTCCCTCCTGCATTGCCTCAGAATCTTGAACTCCGGGACGTTCACTTCAAACAGAGAACCAGATTCGTGGATGTCTCTCATCTCCTTCTCTAGTTTTCTAAGATCCTCGTCAACTCTATCTACCATGTCATATGGTTTTGGACAATTGTATCTGAAGAACGCGTATCTTTTGAATACCTCACGATAGTACGTTACCCTATGATCGAAATCAACGATACGTTTTCTGATGCAAGCAACTTCGGCCGCTTGCAGTGGTGCCACCTAAAAAATAGTTATTTATGTATCCAGGGTGGTAAGAGAGCGTTTGCGGCACTCGGCGTTAGATTAAAGCCCAAGACGCAAAGCGATGAGGGCATCTAACACGCCTAGGATCATAAGCGCTTATCCTTACGTTTATCAATGACTGGTATATAGTCTGATCATATTAGCAAATTTTCCTGAAATAATTGTAAAGTATTCGAAACATTAACGCATAAAATGGATACACTAATTTTTGTTGAAAAACTTTTTATTCGACAACAAAGAATAATAATAATAATAGACGTCTTTATTTATCCACAATCACATTGTGGTGTAGCCAAATGTCAGACTTACATGGCGAAGTTTAGCATGCTGCTACTCTTACACTTAACCATATAGTCTCTAGTAGATGTTCAAAAGAATACACTATCCACAAACAGATTTGGTTCATTACATCGAAAGTAAAATTTAAAAAAAGAGAAAAAGGCATACTTTCCAAACCCAGATGCACCAAAAAATTATTAATCTGAATTAAAGATGGAATAAAAAAGAAATGAATGATTACGTAAATTATATGTGTGGAGGGTTGAGTAATAATGTTTTAACTTTTTGTCGAAAGACAGGTAATGAAAATTCTTTATATACTTTAGGAAGGTCATTATAAATAATAGCAACATTGTAAGAAAAACTGCGTCTAAAAAGTGTAGACGTATGCAGGGGTATTCTAATATTATTTTCTCTGAGAGTTCTACAGTGAACATCATTATTAAATGAAATTGTTTCCTTCAAGTAATAAGGTTTAGACGTAAGCAGCAATTTGTGAACAAAAACTGAATAGTGATACTTGACCATGTCATTAATTTTTAACCAGTTTAGAACGGGATATTTCGCTGATACATGATCAAATTTACGTAAGCCAAAAATGAATCGTATACAATTGTTTTGAATAACTTGAATAACGTTTTTAGTGAAATTGTCTAAACAAGTATAGTATACGATATTACAATAATTTAGTATAGATATGACCAATGCTTCACATAGTTTTTTACGCATCTTAAAATTTAGTGAATACCTGTTTGCTATAAGAGTGCGCAGCCGTAGGTAGGTTTTCTGAGATAGACTTTTAACATGTTCAATAAACCTTAATTTTGTATCAAAAACAACACCAAGAATTTTTGCAAAATCAGAAAATTGCAAGATTTGGTTATTTATCTGAATGTTCAAGAGCTGTGTTACATTGTATGTTTTTCTTTGTGCGCAAAATAATAACATTTTAGATTTTTCTGGATTAATAAGTAGATTGTGATCTAAAGAGTATTTAATTAATTAATTAACATCGTTTTGTAAAATTTGAGTAGTATTATTGACATTATCTGGGTTAAAATAATGAAGCAATTGCGTATCGTCTGCAAATGACTGGACATGAGAATTATCAATACTTTTGCTTAAGTCGAACGTATATATGAGGAACAGAAGCGGCAACAATACAGAGCCCTGAGGTACGCCTGAGGGAATTATTGTCACTTGAGACATTTATTGATTGAGAAAAACACACTGAGTTCTTTGATGAAGGTAACTGTCGAAAAATGAAACTGATACACTGTCAAGACCTATGTAATTTAATTTAGCAAGTAATAATTTATGATTGATGCTGTCAAAGGCTTTCGAATAGTCTATAGAGATTAAGGCTAGTGCCATTTTCTTATCTAAGGCACTTAAAATATTGTCTTGCAGATTAAGTAGGGCAGATGTTGTACTATAATTTTTTCTAAATCCGGATTGAGTGTTGGGAAGTATAAAGAATTTTTCTAGGTAAGCGGTCAATTGGAACTTTATAATTTTTTCTAAAATTTTGGATAAAATTGGTAATAAGCTGATAGGTCTGAGATCATTATACTCAGTGGGTTTCATTTTTTTAGGAGTTGGAATAATTAGAGCTTGTTTCCATGTGTTTGGAAAGTAGCCTTTTTCCAAACAGTCGTTAAAGATGTGGACGATGTGATGGAGAATAACTGGCGGGCAAAGCTGGATCATTGACAGGGATATACCATCAATTCCCTTCGCATCAGATTTTAGGCTCCCTATTGCCTGTAATACGTCATTTGAACTAATCTTATTCAATGAAAAAATATATTCAGAGCTCAATTTATTTTTGAAATAGTTTTCGCAAACTAGTGAATCAACAGGTTTATAGCTATAAACAGACATAAAATAATCATTAATTTTGGTAGGGTCATTAAAACTTGTCGGAAGGGTTGGTTTACTACGAAAATTTATATCAAGTTGTTTGAGAGACTTCCATAATTTTTTTGAATCATTTTCATTTGCCAAATGTTCGATATATGTCTTTTTGTTTCTCCTGATCATGTTAAGAGCAGGGTTTCTAAGCGATTTGAAGTTATTATAGGCGTCCACGGTCTTATTTGTTTTATATAAAGCTTGTGCAGTATTCTTTTCATCAAGAACAGTGCGCAGTTCATTAGTTAACCAAGGTGATGGTGGCTTATTAACTCTTACAGTTTTAAAAGGTGCATGTTTATTATAGGTTTCCACGATAACGCTTGTAATGTGCATTACCTTCTCATCAATATTAGATTTCGTAAATAATTCAGATCGATAAGAAAATCATCCTCACTGAAATGTTTAAAATCCCTGATTGTGATAAATTTTTGTTTTCTTTTATAAGATGGAATGTCAAAATGTTTGTGGTCCGAAATACCATTCGTGTCCATGACGGAAGAATAGCTGCATATTTGAGGATTATTTAAAAATATTGGATCGATTAATGTTGCAGTGCTATCTGTGACACGGGTGGCTTCCGTTACGATTTGTGTGAACCCCATCAGCTCAAAACTGAGTGAGAATATATTTTTATTAAAAAAATTCATATTCAGATCTCCCAATATCACGATGTTATGATGATATAACGAGAGGCTGGGTAGGAAACCATTTAATAAATCTGCACATTGTTGTATGTTTTTAGAGGGTGGTCGGTACAAAACCCCTACTAACAGTTCACACCTACCCGCAACCAATTTAACCCAAATGCTTTCGAAAAAATGAGAAAACTTTTTTTTTGGGATTCAGTCGAAAGTGCTAGCAGGAACGAAAATACCCTCCAAATAAGATTTCTACGTACCTACAAAATGAGACTGCATGTAAAAAGATCCGACTAATTGTAAAAAAGTTATGACCGAAAACCGAGGCTAAATGCAAGTTTTGGCACTTGTTGCTAATGCGACGATAATTTCACGCAGCTACTTGAAATTCTTTATATGCTTAGGCTTCATACTTCTAAATAACCACAACAAAATTGGAGTCGATTGGTCAAGTAGTTTTTGAGAATTTCTAATTGTTTATCCCAAAACACCTGTCTTCCGGTCATCATTACTAGCTTACTGAGTTCGTTCAAAGGGCATTTCATAGCAAAATACACGAATTTACCTTGCCGACTTGAATCACAAACTACTCCGAAATATTATTGGTATTTTTATGCGAAAAACGAACGATTACGTTTTTTTTCTTCTAAACAAATTTAAGCAGTTAGTATACTTTGAAGTTGAGTCATTAATTTTCAGATAATGATTGTAGAAGTAAGATAAACCAAAATATGTGTGTAAAAATAAAAAAGAAATGTTACCTTTTTTAATAAAGTATCCTCCCGACAAGTATTTCAGTGCGGACCTGTATTTGATCGTGCGGTCTTGGAGCACCGGCATGCCCTCCCCTGTGAGGTCTTAAGTCACCTGATTCACGAGCCCTTTGTACACATTAACAACGGTACGAGCGGTTGGTTGCACTCGATTGGGAAACCGATTCGCATAAATCCGTGATGCCGCGACAGCATTTTGTAAAGACTCCCCCCCGTAAATAAGAATCATGTCCGCAAGTTCAGCATTTTCGTAAACATGTGCCATTTTTTATTTCGTTTGAGCCACGCAACAAACACTTACTATTCACTAACGCGTTATCGACTGACGAAAAACATCGTGATAAACGTTTCAAATTCTTTCGCTTTTTTGTTTCCGATGCGATGAACCGGTCAGGCGGATTATATCCGTTGTCGCCAAACACGAACATATTATTATTGAGACAGGGCAGTACTCAAACTTCTAAAGGGCTATAACTTTGTTACTTTAATTTTACCAGAAAAATGTTAAGGAAAAAACATCTCTTTTGATCAGATCTACTCACTGTTAAAATAAATGACTCAACTTCGAAGTATGTGTGAAACTGAACAGATTTTCTGCAATATTCGAAAAACATACGTTATTAAGTTATTATACATATGTAATTTAAAACAAAGCAGATGTGCCCATCACCTTTTGTTAAGAAGCAAACAAGTTTCTTTGGAGATGTCTCCACACTCTGCTGTATACATATTTAGAGCTGACATTTTCACACGGTCACAGATGAGCCTTAAAGTTTATAAAAAAAATATTCCATACTAAAATGCGCTGAACTGTCAGCACGCAAACTTAAGACACATTTATGTTTCAAACTGTCTTAGTCTAGTGTCAAATAAGTAGGTCACGTAATCCAGGTTCTTTACGACGAATTATGATTCCGGATACTTTTTTCTAAAAGTATCAATACAGTATACGTCTGTTCTCGAAATCTCGTTCGATTAAAACGACTGCGAGTTCAAAATGTTGGAAGAGAAAAGGGAATTATATTTCTTCATTTTCTAAAGTATTAGCATATCTTAACAACACCTGCATGGAAAGAAGAATGTTCCCGACCCAATTAAAATAGGCAATAATAAAAGTTGTATTTAAATATGGAGATATACAGAAACCTTGTAATTATCGCGCAATTTCAATATTGACAAGCTTTTCAAAAATTTTCGAAAAAACTCTTAGAAAACGCTTTTCAGATTTTATTGCAAAATACAACCTCATATCTGAAGAGCAATATGGATTCCAGGAAGCAAAATCAAGTCAAGATGTACTTATTCAGTTAACAACCAAAATTTACAAGTGCGTTGATAATAACTGGACAACAAATTTTAGTTTTTTAAT